AAACAGATCTCCAGATTTCCTTTGGACATAGGCACGGTTAACGCTGTTTAATAACTCGCCCTTAGTAAAGGCACTCTTTTATAAGTCCGTAGAGGTAAAAATCAAGGGGTGTCAAATTGGGTGGGGGCCTATTTCAAGATCAACTACTGGAATGTGGGGGTGCGCCCTGTTACGTGGAGGCACAGCATTTTGAACATCACTTGCAAACCTTCTAAGCATTTCCAAGTGTCTAAGATACTCCATAATTAGGCAAAAATACATTAAAACTGGAATTTTACTGTTGATTATTTTCTCTTATAACATAAATTTTGATTCGTCAGTCCAGACCATATTACGAAGGTAGATAAGCTGGAAAATAAACCAGAATATATGTGCCGTTATCTAGAACTTCAATTCTTCAAAAATTTCCAGAAGTCACTGCTGGTGCATTCGGTTATAGTTCGTCATATATTATGCATGTTCGTATGACAATATGTCCACATTATCCTCATAAAATGGGTTGGGCAAATCACTATTTTAATATTCGATATTTTTAGGTGTATAAGATTAATAGAATTTCGAACTGATGTTGCACTTGCACATACAAAATCAACAACATTGTTTCCTTTTCTGTCAAAATAGACGCTTACTAGAGAAAACTGTTAAAGTACATTTGGCTGGGATAATAACATAACACACAGAGTCTCTCATTTGAAAAAAAAAAGAAATTTTTTTTATTTGCTAATAATCTTGCCGGTCATCAAATTCTGCACGCCCTGTATGCGATAAATCAATTGTCAATACGGATTTCAAAATACTCACCGGCTTTGCAGAAGCGTTTACCCCCAATCAAAAATGCATAAAAATCCCACTGTGAAAAATATGAGCAAATATATTAAAAAGGAAACCCGGTGAAACTGGTTGCAAAATTTCCTCAGAAATCCAAAAATAAAATAATTTGCAGTGGGGTAACCTAAGAAAATATTTTTAAATGAAAGGAAATCTTGAGTAACCCTAAGAACCTGAATTACATACTAAGGTTCTTATAACAACAAAAACTCCTAAAGAAACGATTACGGCGAGAAACCTGCACAAACTCAAATCAACAATATCGTTACCATCGTGTCACTTGGTGTTGTTATTTCCACTTTTAAATTATATTCGGGTGCACTCAGCACACAGATATAGAAGCCGCTGATTTGCACTGGTACTGCATACAAAACGAGATAATTCGGTCTGGAGTTTGCGCGATTAATTTTTGTTAATTTTTGGTGACAAACTCTAGTATTGCAATCCGATTGCGCAGTGCCTCACGACGTCGCTTGCTCGGTACAACAAGGTTATGGAAAAAAATGACTAAAGAGAGTAACATTTGGACGTCCAAAATCGTTATCGTTTCCATTAAGCCGTTTTTAGCGCCATTAGTGACCCCAACTTCCTATATTATTACGTAAATGGCACATTACGAAATAAATTCACATATGGTGCGGCTATATGCCGCAAGAAGTACGGACCGAAATCAACGGATTGGTTACCACCTACGCCCCTAATAGAACCTTAATAGTAGATATTTCCAATGTGCTATAATATATTATTTTTTACGGAAAGCTTAAGGTGAGGTCACGCCGACGAAAGTGCATCACTTTGCCTTTCTTAGATCGGCAACACAGTATACACAAAATCTTTCTACTCGCATATCACACGCAACAATTATTATATCAATTTCAACTTCGACCTTCATTCTATTGACATTGCGTAACATTTATCACCATTATCACCAAATCTATGGAAACACTAATTCTAATTAATCAGATTCAACAATTATTTCATAATTTCAACCTCCGTTATTTTTCTTTGACGTTTACTTTTCTATTGACGTTCTTTAATATATATTTATTCATTCTACAAAGTGGTCCACGCAAGATGACCCCCTAACCGATTTGAGCAATGAAGATCTACGAAATTCCTATTCTTTACAAAAAAAAATGAACATCATTTGTTGTGCTTTACCTCATAATAAGAATATTCAATATGGCGCGCAATTTTGGAATCTATAATGTAACTCAAAAACAGATGGAAAATTTCTGTTTTCCTTTAAATAATTATTTTTTTCTTTTATAAAAAATTTGGTTTTTATTTATTTTTATTTAAGACGGAAAAAGGTTACAAAGAACGTAACAGAGAGTTTTATATAGAGCAAAATTGCTATTAGACGTCATCCAATATGAGGGACTCGGTATAATTTTCATATATTTAGTAACTAAACATATTTTTCGAAATTATGGTGGTTCAAATGTTTCATATGTTCATTCGTATTCTCACGATAGAGCACACGACAGTTATGATATTTTGAATAATTTCATTAGCAAGTTAAATGCTAAATAAAATTGGCAAACCAATATTCAGTACTAATTTTTGCAAACCTGCTGGATTCCTTTTGCGTCGGTTGCAGTAGCCTATGGAAGTGTCTTTGAAAAATTAATAACGTACCGTTAATAAATCGACAGACAAAACGTTTAAAATAATAAATTAGAACGAAAACTGCTCGTTAACAACTAAAATTGAAAACAAATGGCAAAGTGTTATATATATTCGGTAAGCCCTTAGCGGATGCAACGCTATGACGTAAAATTATACAGGGTGTCTCATTTAAAAATACGCGCCTGTATGTCATAATTAAAAAAATAGTATAAAATCCGAAAAAACTAGCTACTAGGACCTCTAATTCATATTTGTTACACGTCTGAATTGAACTCAGTTGTTAGGTATTGCAAACCAGGATATTATGTCAATGATAGTGAATTGCGCATATCTTTTTCACCAGGGAACTCTTTTTTGGCCATGGATATAATCAGCGCAGACATATATAGTATTGTTAATTGGTTAAATAACCATTCTCTCAAAATAAATGGCAGGTTTTCTGTAAACACAATGACCCAATGTTAGGTCTGATTTTTTATTGATAAGAATATCTAAGAATGGGAGCTTATTATTAGTTTCCAACCCAAATGTAAAACGTATGTTAGGGTGTATAGAGTTTAAATGTCTAAGAAAATCTACTAGAGTTTCTTGACCATGAGGCCATATAACAAAAGCATCCATAATTTTGGTTTTAGATGAAAAGTGTCGAGGTGTTCTTTTCAAAGGCTGTCATAAATATACCCATAGATGTTCCCGACGTTTGTTCAAAAAATTTTTTGTCTGTCTGTCTAGATTCTTCAGAAATTTCAGGTAGTGCAAAATTCACGTTGAAGACTCATTTGCGGTATAAGATAAAGATAACATATTTTCCATAAATCATGTGACAGTAAAATTAAGGAATTGAATATGAAACGGAGCACAACCCTCATAATAACCGCGCATTAAGATACCTTCGTGGGTTCAGAATTCCTAGACAGAAAACAGAATTTATCAGTAAAGTGTACACTAAATACTCTGATTCACTCAATCAAAAAACTTTGTCACAGTCCAAAAGAACCTTAAAACTTTCTCTTTTACCAAAACAATGTTCCTTAACTGCAGAACAGTAATTAGTATTAAAAAAGAAACAATATAAAATGTACCCTTAAAAATCAAATATGAATGCTTTAAAAATCAATAAAAGTTTAATTAAAAAATAGAAATAATAGAAACCAGATAAGTAATTGAAAGTGTCCTCCACCTTGAAGCATACACGCTTCAACCCTTTTCCTCATATTGCAGCGCACTGTTTGAAGTATACCTCCAGTGTTTCTTATTAAATCCCAGGAAGCTTTTATGTGATCTTTTAGCACTTCTACAGTGTTAACTGAGGCGCTTTAAAGCAGACTTTTAAGATGCCCCCAAAACAAAAAGTCCCAATTATTTAAATCTGGGAAACTAGGAGGCTATCGGTTATTGAAATATTCTATTACTGCAACATTAAAGTGAGCAGGCGCGCCGTCATGCATGAACCTCATTCTGGTCCTAATTAAGTGGTATAGCAATATTGGCAAATTCTCTTCTAAAAACCGGCGATAATTATTACCATTTAGCGTTTCTAGCAGGAAAAAAGGTTCAATTAAGTAATTTCCAACAATTCCAATCGAAACATTTACCGAAAACTCTTCCTGATGTTTAAATTCTAGAACTGCATGGCGGTTTTTTATCGCCACAAATATTGTTATTGGAAATTGAAAAATTAACGATATTGTTATGACTATGCAGAGAACAGGTTTTTTATTTTTTTTAGTTAAAACGGTACATCGGATTTTAAAAAAATCAAAAAATTAATGGAGATTGTAAGAGTAATTTTTATTTTGGGAGAAATCAGAGAAATCAATGTCTGCCAGAACAGACTGGTGCATTTTAAAAAAATGTGGTACACTAAATAAAGCCTCTTAAAATATGTGTCCCAAATCTCGTTAAATCATCTCAAGTAGTATGATAGATATTAAAAAACTGTATCTTATGAAGTTTTCGTTATTAAAAGGGGCCCAAAAATCGCACCCTTAATTATTGACATTCCATTAGAAAACACGATGTATAGTCTATTGGTTGTTTAAGATATTAGAATTTTTATAAATAGTTTCTATTCTATTCTATTTTTTTTATCTAGTTGGAAAACGTTTTCTCCTTTTTCTCTTGTGTTCTGCTGAACTAGTTTGCACAAACATTTGGTGAATGTATGTCCTAAATTCGACAGTTTCATCGGGTCCCCGTAATTTTTTGGAAAGTTACACTGATTTGTGAATAATGCCCTCAGAAAAGTTTGACATTTTGTTATTTAATTAAATTATTAGACTATTATTTATTTATTTGGTATCCTTTTTTAAACAATTGAATGAAGCACAAAAATTATTCAATAACATTTATCGCATTGTTTGGTAAATAAATAGTTCGCGTTGTCCGAATGTCCCGCGCTATCGTTTACAGGTTCAAAACAATAACATCACGCCGGACTAACCGGCCATAAGAGGCATTAATTGACCGGGCGACCTCGAGTCGCAGCAATTAATATCATCGTTCATGAAAAAAAAAACACAAATATTCATACAGTTTCACGCAAAACCCCTTCGAGATGCACCGAAGGCGATACGCCTCGTACGTGTCACAACCTTATTAGCATTCAAATTTTAAGTGGTCACGAAGGAACACGCGCTCGAAAGCGAAGGGGATCCCCGCCATTGATCCTAGTTTGTTTAGTTTGCAGAAATGTTCGCGCGTGGTCGGACCCACGGCATTGTTTACCTCTGGTAATTTTCACCGAGATACCTGGGTCGTTACTCGATCGAGTCGGCCATGCGTTTTGTGCAGTTTGTCGCGTTGCCTCTGGTCCTCCTCAATTGCGATTTCGGAGTCTGCTTGTATTACGGTAAGTTTGACTAAAACGCCGGCAAACTCGGCACCCTTTGATAGAAAAGTGAGGCAAACTTTGCAATGGAAAACGGCTGCTAGGAATGGGGATTGTTGTCTTTCTCTTGCTGGTGAAAATATCGCAGGCAAATGGTAGTTTCAAGCAAATGGCTATTGCCTAGGCTTCATGAAATTCTATGTATCTATTTACGAAAATGTCATATGCTTAATTCGTTGTTAGGCAATGTGAGATTTGTTGAACGTATTTGGTGTATAGGAGTATGTTTAGTAAATTTAAGTAAATATTTATATTTTTTATTATTCACTGATAGTTTTTTACAATTATTTTGTTTAAGTTACATGTTTACGTTTTACTTATTATTTGTAGAATTAATTTATAAAAAAAAATTCATTAAATAAACTGGAGCGTATTCTGCGATTTCTTATAAAAAATATTCACTCAATATACTGGACCTTATTTTATTATTACAATATTTCCATTTCCATTTGTCTAAAACATGCTTAGGCAAATATCATTTGGCTAGTGAAATAGCATTTGCTCAGTTATTTAGCACTTGAAAAAGAAAAGGCACTATTTGCCTAGACAAAAACCATTTGCTTAGAATTACATTTTGCCTAAGATATAGAATGGGATGCTGTCCCCAATGTATTTACTAGTTGTGAATATTTGTAATAAATAAAAGGTAATAAAAAAAAACTCGTTCAAATTAATAATATACTTACAAATATTTTTCAAAAAATACACGTCTAAAGGGCGGTCCGTTATAAATTTTGCCTCCTTCTCACTTTTTTATTTGACATTTTAGAAATAAAGTCTATTACAAAAGTTGGAGGGTTTAATATGTGTTATTTAATGTTGTTGTGCCATAAAACATAGCAAATAAAAGTTATGTTTTCTTAAATTGGAAGCCCTGTATATCATTTTCTATAAATAAGGGCCCTTTTATGCTGGTTTCAAAAATATATAACATGTTATAGTTGAACATGCATCCCCAGTTAGTGTTTAAAATTTATAAAAAAATAAATTTAAGTTAATCTAACTCCCTAAAAAAGCTCAAAAAAAAACACATACAAATTAATAATATACTTGGAAATTTAAACTAAACCTTTCCTAACATCATAAAAAATGTTTTTCGGAAAGTAGCAGTATGTATATTTTAGAAATATTTTTTTCAAAAAAGGCTTAAAATACACACGTAAAGGGTGATAAAAAGAGAACAATTCTTTCACTAATAAAAATCATTTCTATACTTAATTGAGGTTGGTTGTGAAAAATAAAATTTATAATAATATAACTAAAACTAAACCAAAAACTCTCCATAAAGGTGCATTTTTAGACATTTTAAATAGTTAAGGGGTGCTTTTGTTGTTTAATTAATTAGCGGTACGTATTTAATAGGAGTATTTTTTTTAAAAAAAGCCTTATAATATACACGATCCATTATTGACTTTTTTGCTTTACATTTTAGAAATATAGTCGAATACAAAAGTTGAAGATTTAATTTTACGTACTTACATATTAAGTATATAGAAGGTGTGCTAAAAAGTATTACATATAAAAGTTATGTTTTGTTAAATTGGAGGCCCTGTGTATTATTTTATAAAAAAAACTAATTTTATGCCGATTTCAAAATATAAAAATAAGAATTAATCAAAAAAATGTGAACAAGGCCAGATGCAAATAGATGGAAATACACAGGGAAGATAGGCTCATTTAGAGAGCTAATTAGAACTTAAATAAGCGATATCAATAGTTTGCATCTGGATTGAGTAATTAAAACTTTACATCCCTTAATAATACTTTAACAACTTTGTATTCAGGAAATTAATTAAATTCATATTCTTTATATATTTTGTATGTAATTTATTGACGCCTAGTCATATTAGCATTTTTATCATTTTCTTATATACAGCATTTCAACCAATAAAAACATTTTTTTTATTTTGAACATTAATCATAATATTCAAAATATGCCACAACTGCCATAATTAAGCAAAATACGTGGCTTTGGCGTAACACCATGAAGATGCAGTGACGATTTTATTTTTGGCTAATTCTAATATCTAATATAGCTACAATTGTTAGTAATTATATATTCCATTCAATTTGTCCCTTGGTACTTTTTGATGTTAACTAGAAATGGCATAGATATGAGTACAAGATTCTTGTTGTGGGATTTGTAGAAGTTGTAGAAGAAATTATACAAAGAACAATTAAGGAAGAGAATGAATCTTATGATGGATTTAAATAAAACCAATCACTTGTCGTCCTTGATACAGTTTAAAGCCTTAATAACCTTCAAGCCTTAAAAACGGAATGCCAAACTATGGTTTTTAGTATAACTGAGCTATTAAGAATAAATGAATACTATCGCTATCGCAAAACTTGGGGATACCGTAAGATTAACGATCCTTGACCCCTGGCCATGATTGTATTTCCGAATTAGTTCAAATTTGGATTTTCCAAAAATGTCGTACAGAGCAAAGTAACTTTTTATCATTTGCGTCGCAGTCGCAAATTGTAACGCCGACCAACAGATCGGTGGAGCTTTATCCTTGAACACTCGCTAGGAAAACCTGCTTTTCTTTAGACAACACCTTAAAAATTTTAAAAATATCATGACTCAGCGTCATAATTTATTTAATTGATGGCTATCATAGTTTATGCGCTATTTGTTAAAACTTTATCCGACTGAGTCATATATGTCGTTGGTTTTTCGCGAACACCCAATAATTACTACTAATTATTATCCCATTAATAATTACAATGTTGATTTAAAAACGTTTGCCGCTCGCTGCGCTTGTGACGCGCGTGAAGTGCCGCATAGTCGAACCTGTGGACAAATTTCTGCTTAAAATCGGTACTTTCGTGTCCGCAGCAGACCCATGCGTTATCGAGAAGAACGGCAAAGTGGGCATCTGCAAGTACTACAGCGAATGCGAGGAGGCCATCAGGGAACTACAGCTTGGCCACTATCCCCAAATTTGCGGCTTCGAGTGGTCCAAATCGATAGTATGCTGCGTGCAGAAGGGGGACTTGAAAGAGCCTCCGCCGAAACCGAAACCGACTAGAAAGCCTGGCGAAATATCCTTGGCGAGTAAGTAACATTTATCACTGTATATTAGGACGCAAAGGGGTGACCAAACGAATACCTCTTAATGGCATACTTGTATTGTTTAGGAATACACGAAAAGAATTTGGCCACAATTGAACTTCAAATTTTAGAATAAAACAAATAATTTCATCAGAAAAATAACGTTAATGAAATCACCTACTGAGAAGTTTCAGTACTTTATATCTATATTAATGGCATGATAATCCTATCACTTTTGCTCACATCCCTAGCAATTACGCCTCGGTGCATAGCCTACTACCATATATCTGGTCTCCAATCAAGCCTTTTAGTGAAGCCATATTTAGAAAAAGCCTTTAGAGAGGCGATTCAGAGCATTAAAGGCATATATCCTATTTCAGTTGTATCATTTCAGCTATGCAGTATATTCACCAGTTATACTACAATACAAACAAGGCACCAAGTGTAGGTTATTAATTCACTCATCCACTAATCCTCACACATAAAAAAAATTTTCCGCTCTTTGGAGTATTTTCTTCGTCAGCAAAAAATTTCAAAATCAAAATCCTTACTTTTTAAAGTGGCTTAAAATGTTTTTTAGTTTCTAAGAAAATTACTGCCATCCTGGCCAAACACCACCCTAGATTGGGTATTTGTTTTGTGTGAACTTCTTCGTTTTTTTACTCTAGACTTATCTGAAATAGCCTATAGTTGCTTTTTCTGTTTTCACTTTTTCAAAATTTTGCTTTAGATTTTATTTAACGAGATAATTTCACTTATATGAAAGTATCTATGCTTGTAGCAACATTTCATATCTTCCTCTCGAACCGTTAGAGCTAAATTTTTCAAATTTTGCTCCTTTTTTCACGTCATTGGTAGCACAAAATTTGGCAGATATATGGGTTTAGTCCTCTGACGAAACCTATTGAAACTGGAAGAGGTTAAGGGTTGAAAAATAGTTATTAAAATTCCAAAACCGGAGTTTGTTCTGGATAGCAAAGAAACTAACCAGAACTAACCAAAACTTTACTATTGAAGATTTTAAAAATTTAAAAAATGTGCCGATAGTGCCGTTTCACTTTCGAGAAAAGGAAAGTGACTTTGTACAAGGTGCGTGCAAAAAATAATTCTACTCATTATCCTACATGCTCAGTAGTTGTTACCAAAGCAATACATCGTAACCCGAGGTGCCATTAATTTGTTTCAGAATGCAAGGAGTACAGCCAGTACGTTTGGGTCACGGAACCGTCTTATATAGGAATACCCGATGAAGAGGACACTGTGAGGTACGACTGTCCGTTCGATAAGATCGAACTGATCGTCGGTGGCACCGAGGCCACTGCCCAGGAGTTCCCCCATATGGTAAGCTAAATCGACTGGTCCTGCTTCAACTTTTAATATACCTGATGCACTTCGCTTAAGGCTCACATAGGTTACCAGGGTGAGGCCGAGATAATGTGGTTCTGCGGCGGATCACTGATCAGTGAGCAGTTCGTACTCACGGCGGCTCACTGCCTCACTGACAGGAACTGGTGAGTAGGAGTCACCTCCCAAATCGTTTTTGGGTATTAAGGGTGCTCTGTGGACTGAATAAGCACTTTTATCAGGGGCGAAGCAAAGTACGTGAGGGTGGGGTTCATTAATGTAGACGATCTCATCAACGTTCAGCAGTTCGAAGTCGCCGACAGGATAAAACACCCAGACTACGTCCTACCGGCCCACTACAACGACATTGGTTTACTGAAGCTTCACAAAGCAGTAGAATTGAACTCCTTCGCCAGACCGGCTTGTCTCCACTACGATAATCGATTACCCGACAGTAAAGTGATAGCCTCGGGCTGGGGCAGACTGGGTACTTTCACCGACAGCAGCAAATTGTTGCTAAAGGTCGTGTTGGAGTTATTCAGTCAGCCCGAATGCAACCAGACGTTCAAAAGGCTGGCGGGTAAGTCCAAACTGAAAGATGGCATCAGAGACGACGTAATGATTTGCGCGGGGTCGAGGAAAATCATAGGAGACACCTGCGAGGGCGACTCCGGAGGTCCCCTTCAGGTCTACAAAGAGGAAACGAACGATATCAAATGTATGTACGACATACTGGGGATCACATCGTTCGGTCAAGCCTGCGGGCTAGCGCCCAACGTGCCGGGAGTATACACCAGAGTGTCCCGTTACATACAGTGGATCGAAGATAAAGTTTGGCCACCTTAATCGAACAAAAAAACGTTGCCTTACTTTTGCTAATGTTGCAGTGTCTTAGATATTAAACAAACAATTGTTCTAACAGTGTTTTTCTACTCCCGTCTGTAAAATACCTAATTACCCACCGATCTAGCGTGCGGGAAGCGTCACTTCACCACGTCAGTTTCGTTTCCCATGAATACGAGCTACTTCGGACATTTCCGGGATTTTACCGCGCGAGAGCAGTCGGATGTTTTCGGAGATATTTCCCACGCTTTGAATTTTGATGTTTGTCAATTCTGACGCTCATGTCAGTGAATGTATTCGTGTTGTTTTGCGAAAATGTACCCAAAAACTAACGGTCGTAGAAAAAATATAGTATGCAACACGTTCGGTAAACTTTTTAACTCACTCGTTTATTAAAAACTCGCTCCGCTGCGCTCCGCTCGTGTCAAATAAACTCGTGAGTCAAATGCCCTTTACCGCGCTTGTTGCATAATATACTATTCCTTACTCACTAAATTGCGCCTTTGTATGCAAAGTCACTAACCTTTAATTTTTCAAAAAAACTTCCACAGGCTACTGTAATACTTTTTACAAAACTTCTGGATTCCCCCTGCGTCGGTTTTTGCTGAGTCGAACTTGCTGACGTTTCGCCAATCATCCTGTTGGCTTCTTCAGAGCTTGACTGAAACTGGCTCGTATTTTACACTGTATCTGCTTATCTATTGTTTGAGGGGGGCGGAGCTAAATGAAGGGCATCAACACCGTCTCTGATGACTGATTCCCATATTGGTGACAGGTAGAGGCCTGAGTCGCGGTTAAGATTGTTAGGTTGTTTATAGATTTCTATAGATTCTCGGATTTTTCGTCGGTAAAACAATTGATTACAAGCAAGAATTTTAGTTTTATTGAATAAAATTTTGTTTCCGGTTTCAGGAGTGTGTTCGGCAACAGCTGAGTGCCCTGTTCTTTGAGTCTAGTTGATGTTTTTCGTCCGGTGACGAGTTAGGTCTGATTTTCGATTGATAAGAATATCTAAGAATGGAAGGTTAGTATTAGTTTCCAACTCAGTGGTAAAACGTATGTTAGGATGTAATGTCGAAGAAAATCTACTAGGGGTTCGTGACCATTTAACCATTCTTCGATGTGATCGAGCGAGAAATCTAGCTTCAAAAAAACCGTATCTTGCTCTCTTGTAAAGTTTGGTTTCGAAAATATTAATATTGTTACACAATTAAGTGGGAACACTCTATAACTTTCAAACGGGTTGAGGGAGCGATTTGAAATTTGGAGGGTTTATATAGGCTAATTGTCCAATTTTTTAGCAATATGTAGTCAATGGTTCCACTTCCGGTTTGAGCGGAAACGACAGTAACCGAATTTTACATGGCACAACCTACACACCTATTTTTGGATTCAGGAGATCATTCTACCTAGGATGGGACGGTTGTTCTGTTTTCTTTTTTGTTTTTTGTCATTTTTAGTTAATTTTTGAAAATTCTGTCTAGGAGGCTGTGACCTTCATAAATACTATTTTTCAACTCCCGTCTGTAAAATGCCTAATTACCCACCGATCTAGCGTGCGGGAAGCGTCGCTTTACCACGTCAATTTCGTTTCGCTTCGAAAAACTAACGGTCGTAGAAAAAGTATAGTATGCAACACGTTCAATAAACTTTTTAACTCACTCGTTTACCGTTGCCGATTAGCGCACTTGTTGCATAAAAATTGTAAATGAAACTTTTGTTTACTTGTCTAATGCTATTTGCATTTAATGTAATGAAGTATTATTTTTTTAGGATAACCTAGTTTTTTTCAAATAGCACCCTAGTTTGAACAAAAACTTTTTAAAACCGGTAGTTTTTTTGCAACATTTTGACACCAAATCAAACCAGATAAGTAAACACATTTTTCTAAAAACAAAATATTAGTTAGGTGGCTTTGCTTTTATTAATTATTAATTGTCAAGTCGGTAAGGTTAAAAATTCCGGAAACATCCGCTCGGGCTCGGATTCGTGGGACAAGAAACTCTAGTAGTAAAGTAACGCACGCTAGATTGATGTATAATACGGCATTTTACAGAAGGGAGTAGAAAAAATATAGTCACCGCGATATGAGGATTTCTTGCTAAAATCGTTCTTCTGCTTCTTCTTCTTATAATACATTTTCCCATCTGATAGGTTATCACCTATTTATTCTAGTAAAGCTGCTGATGAGGATGTAAAGCATTCTTTCTCCACTTCTGGATCTTCTTTTGGCTGGTATGCTCTTTGCCATTTTTATCAATTAATGATCGTGATTTAATCTGTGACTCTAAAATTGACCCTCTTTACGGACTCCCTAAGATTCACAAACCAGAGTTACCCCTTCGACTTACTTAATTTGTTCTTTCATTATTCAATTAAAAAGCATCGATTAGATCCATAGGATATTCTGGTTAGTTCCGACGCAGAATTCCTCTTTACTAAAATCTCTATTCCTGAGACTGTCAACATTATTTTGGATACCTTTTTACCCAAACCTTTTTATTTTAATTAAAAAATGCTTATCTAGAACATTTTTTTTATAACTGTTAAATTTTTTAAAAAACGTCGGAAACAGGTATGGGTTCTCCATTATCATCAGTGTCGGGGAAGAAAAAACTCTACACCTTCTATCTAAAAGCACATTTATGGAGACGGTACGTTGATGATACTTTTGTTAATTCATCATTCTCAAATATTCCTATCAATAGAAAATCGGACCAAACATTTTCACACTGGTAACCGGCCCTAAAATCGTCGATTATCTCTTGTTTACAGGGTCGTAAAACTATCTCAACCTAAGTCACTAAAACCATAATTTAAAGACCTTATCCCTCTAATAATTTTCACAATAGAGATATTAAGCTTTCTATCAAAAAATACACTTTACCACTACCATTCAAAGGCAATGTGTCCGAAAGCAATTCCACACTTGCCATTGTTGTCCCTCTTTAGAGTCGCTTGGGGTAAGTAAACGCAGTTTCACGCTTAAAGTATGTTAAAATGAAAACTATTATATTTAGGTAGTATTTATTACATTGGCATATTACAAATAAACATATAAAAAACCTAAGCTTTGGGATTCTCAGTCTTATTATTAAAAAACTACAAGTTATTATGCGCGCACTTGTCCTGCCACTGGAGTAATTGTTCGCAGTCTCCAGGGCCGTTCTTTTCTTCCATTGGTCTGATGTAGCTAATTCTTCGTTTTGTTTGTTTTCCAAATTATTTCCGATTTTAAACTTTTTCTTTTTTCCGTGTCAGTTCTTTTAGGCAATGGGCTGATAGCAGTAAGTGCAATATGTTCATTTTTCTCTGTCTTCAAAACTTGTGGTATTTTGAAAACCTGATGATAAGTTTTTAGTTTAGCTTCAACTCTTTGATTTGACTGGTAAATTTCTGTATTGTCTAATGTCTGATTGTTTTCTGGCTGATTCTCATTTCTTTGGTTTGGCAGGTCAGTATTTATATTGTCTGTCTGGTCATTTTTTGGGTCATTTTCATCTGCTTGGACTGGTGAGATAATATTTACATTGTCAGTTACAGCAGCCGGGAGGAAGTCATACTCTTGAAAAATGGATAAATTCCAGTCACTGAAAATCCCGAGGAAGCATTGCCGACTGTAGCAACTAGTTTGTAGGCTTCATTAAAAAGAGCAGCTACTTGATATTGTGTGATAGCCCTCCCAGGATGTTGAGTCATCCAACGGTCACACTCGATGGGATACTTGGCCTTAAGAGGACCAAAACAACTCCTGTCTAATGGTTGAACTTTGTGGCTGCTGTGGGGAGCTAAGGTCCAGTAAAGAGATGCTTTCAAATTAATATGGGACGAGTGATTGTCCTTCCTTAAGTTCTAAACATCACTGACCACATATCAAAAGTTCTTAAGAAATATAACGTCAATACCAATTTTGCCACTTGACCAAAAATCTCTCAAAATCTTCGATCTGTCAAAGACAAAATTCCGTTTGGGATACCAGGAGTTTACAGCAGACCGGACGAAAAATATCGAGACGTCACCAAGTTCGATTCAACTAATATTCAAATAGCATTAAGCACTCTGTGAAAGTTTCTTTGAAAAATTAAAGCCTTTGTGGGATGCTTTTATCGTTGTTATTTTAACTTTAATCTCTCGTTAATTTTGCACCCGGATACGTAAGAAAATTGACCTATTCAACGGTTTTCGTATCATTTTCCAATTTAGATTTTGACGGGTCTTTCAATGCTGTCATGAGTGTAATCTTGTTGATGTCCACCTAGCATCATCACTTCTTGATTGCAAGGGTGAAGTAGTTTTTATAGCGTCATCTACATAGCGTCCTATTCTATCCTATCCTGTTTTAGGCAACTTTTCCTTGCTTTGCTTTTACTTTGCTCTCAGTGTGTTACTTCCTATATTATCCTTAAGGCATTCAGTACTTTTTGTAATTTTTTGTGCTTTGTGCTTATATTTCACTTTTCAAATTTCCATCGCTCGCATACATATGGGCAAATTGATTGACCTGTTCGAGGATTTGGTTAGGGTCTTTAGATGTTATACCTTTAGGCTTGTTGACAGTTCACTATTGAATCTAATCGCTTTGCTAAACTAATAAATATCGTGACACCAGGCCTTTACGAGTATGAACTATTTGTTCCAAATTGGATCTGTTCGAATAGCTGCGTATCTCTGAGGGATAACTCCGTCGGAGAACGGTTTAGAGAGAAATCCCCCACAATTTCCCCTCCGTATTTCACTCGGACGCCAATAATACGCTTCCTTTTCCGTTTGGCACTTTTCCGCGCCGCACCGCGTCGCGTCGGATCCCGAATACAAAGAGGTAACGTCCACGCAACGACGGGTATTCCTAATTTGAGGCCAATTTTCGACCCTGTCGAGGTTAATACGCTGATGAAATTTACAATACATTAATGGTACTTCCTCTCTTGCAAAATCGAAAATTAAGCGGCAGTACCGCCGTAACCATGATGCCGCGCGTAATTCCCCTGGCGGTGATTTTCGCGATTCAACTTATCGGCGCTAAGGAAATCGGTAAGCCTCCACGACTCCTCTTATTTTCGATACAACAGCCGCCATTTTCCAGGACGGGTCTTTCGAAATGACCGCGTCGCGAAAATCGTCACCCCACCCCTAAGCGATCAAGACCAGAACAACGCGTTCCCAGCGAGTCCAGTCCTGGTCCCGTCCACACCTTCGACACCCCAAACCGAGCTAACGGAATGGGTGACGCCAGAGAGTACCGTTTCCACCATCAGTACCGCCGCTACCACGAGTCAATCGGTTACCGGAAGTAGCTGGTCGCCCGAGATTATCCCATTGAGTGGAGGAGTCCGCATCAACTCCGCCATCGTGGTACCTCCCACCGAAGACACTGTGGCGGTATCAGCGGAAGTGCTGGAACGGGCAAAAGACATTTTTGAAACAAGTAACCCTGCGACTCCGCCATTAGGCCGCTTGCCAAGCGAGTTTCGTTTCAGAATGCGACAATTACTACTCCCAATCTACGACGACGTCTTCAGCGCCAACTTTTCGTGTGATGGTGATCGGAGGAACTAATTCTGGTCAAAAGGAATTTCCCCATATGGTACCCGCTTGACTTGTGCGAATATTTAAGAACGAGTTTTTGACTGTAAAGTGTTCGATTTCAGGCAGCGTTGGGGTTCGGAAGCCAGGACAACAAGCAGTGGCTCTGCGGCGGTAGCCTGGTGAGCGAGAACTACGTCATCACGGCCGCGCATTGTGTCTCAGTTGAATCCATGTGAGTTACAGTGGTCAGAGTTCAATTTTGGTGCGGTTGGAATGCCACCAACGTTCCTTTCTTCTTTTTAAAATGAACGGTTCACCTAACGCGACAGACCCATGATTTAAAACTGTCTTAAACGAACCAAATAAAGCAACTTCTAACCTCACTTGTAAATTATAACCGTATCATAGAATAAAAAAAGGCAATTGTAGATTTCCCTAGTAAATGTCAAAACTGTATTAAGTAGCGGGAAATTTGAAAGAGGACAGGCATTTTAGAATTTATTGTTTCTTAGTCTTTGCTTGTGTTTTTTATCTACCAGTCAATTTTGGTCGCTATTCATCAAATGACATTTCCATGCTTGGTCTTCCTCAATATCGTATAAATCGAACATCTAACCTAACTTTTAATTTGTAAACACGCCAAAAAAGAATATTTGTTTGAAGGATATCTACTACTTCTTTCCGTTGCCTCCATATGAACATGACACAGAAAAGAATTGTTGTTGCAGCGGCGATGTGCAGTTCGTGAAGTTGGGAACGCTAAATCTACAACAAGACACCGAGAACACTCAAGAATACACCGTAATACGCAGACTTCGTCATCCAAACTTCGACGCTCTAACCCAGTATAACGACCTCGCTCTGTTAGAGCTCGACAAGCCCGTGACGCTTACCGAATACGTCACGCCTATATGCATTTTCACGTCAAGTGATTACGGCGACAAAAATCTTGTCGCCACCGGGTGGGGCAAAACTGCGTATTCGGGGGGCGGCGGCAGCGCCGACCTCCAGAAGGTCGGGTTGGAGCTGTTCGAGCAGAGAGAATGTCAGACGGCTTATCGGGAAGTTTCAAAAAGACAACTGCCAAAGGGGATAGTAGAAGATGAGCAGATATGTGCCGGCAGTAGGACTCAGAGTAAAGACACTTGTCAGGTACGCTAACTTTTAGTTGAATCACCCGTGAACGCAGAAGTCTGTTCTCAATAAGTTATATTTTTTACTTTCAGGGTGATTCTGGCGGACCGCTTCAAATACGCAGCAACAACAGATGGTACCTTGTCGGCATAACCTCATTCGGTATTGAATGCGGAAACATCAACGTTCCGGGGGTTTACACCAGGGTGTCGCATTATACGCGTTGGATACGGGAAACTATTTGGAATACCAAGTAAAATTTTACCATGCGACGTATGCTTTGATTGATGATTAAACAATTTAATGCGATTTCTGTGTGGCAGATAAACGCTGTAACTAAAAAATAATTTTAATCAGTTAAAAAAGATTGTTTTATTTTACTTTTTTAGCTATACTAAAGTGAATGTTTGAGATAAACAGTCATAATGTAATACGACAACAAAAAGGTTTGTACCCGAACAAGTGCCGGTTATGGGCGAGTGATCCATGGAATTTCACCCACAGATCAATAAAATGAATTGATGACGATGTCATCTTCCAACCGTCTTCTACGTTAATATGCAATTCATTTTTGTCACAACTTTTGTAGAGGCAACAATTTTTTCTATATTTGCACTGTAAAAGTTATTTTTCGATTATTATACAATTTCGACTCAATCAACTGGCAAGCTTGTTACATTTTTTTTAAGCCATATATCTCACTAATTTAAAAAAAAGGAAATTAAGACATTTATAGAAAGTAATTACTTTATTAAATTTAAAAAAAAAATGGGGGTGGGGGGGGGCATTTAATATCATTTTTTTATACAGAGGTAAAAACAATTTTTTACAACAATCTCCTGGGCAATAATTTACAGAAAAAAAAAGACGAGGGGCCACTTATTAATTGAACCAATGAAACATAAAAAAATACATGTAAACTTATTTCAAAGTTTTCTTTACATCCAGAAATGGCAGCGAAAACTTTACAGATAAGTTGCTTTAAAAATACAACAGTGGGCCATAAAATTACCAATATGGGACTGAATTTAGAGAAGGTAGGGCTTAATCAAATTTAGAAACAAATTATCTATAAAGTTTTAAAAACGTTACGAAACAAACTCGGAAAAGGATTTCAACACTCAATCAATATATTGGGCTAACCAGCGGAAACCTTCGCCATAACCTTGTCGCTTCAAAATCGAGCACATAAATAATTCTAAGGGGCGCCCGGGTAGGTCCGATCTTGGTACTTTGCCCTAAAAGAGTAAGTTACTTCCACTGTTTCTTTACTCGCTTTGGTAATACCGTTACCTTGCCGGTTGTCTGTCCAAATAGAGCGAAAAAATTTCTAAGCTCATCCTCCGAAGCTGCGCCCGGCAAATCAATTTTGTTGCCTAAGATAAGTACTGGGCAATTGGCTAAACTCTCATCCGTCAGCAGCGAGTCCAATTCGGCTTTGCTTTCGAAAAACCTAGGCCTGTCATTGGCGTCTACTAAAAATACGATAGCATCCACCGCCGGGAAATAGTCTTTCCACACCCTCCTGGCCTGAGAATGTCCGCCCAAATCAAATGTAGTGAACCTCATGTTACCAATGGATAATTCTTCGGATGCTGAGAAAAAATTTAGTTTCAATAAAAACTAAGTACAAAAAATAAAAAATCTCTTATACTATCGAAAACATTTATAGGGAGTAATAGGCGAGTGAAATAAAAACACTAATTGTTTTAGTAAGATAATGAAGAAACAGATATAATTAGTCTTACTAGGATGAAGAGTGGGAAGATGCTGTGCGAGCCGGTCATCCTTGAGCATGTGTAAAAGGGTAGTTTTTCCAGCATTGTCCAAGCCCAGGAAAAGTAGCTTGCCAGATTTCTTCCACAATCCTGCGTAAACATGCACAAAGGCTTTAATATGAGCTTAATAACTCACCACTAGTGTTGTCAGTGTCTGTATCTAACACGTAGGGCACCGAGCTAATATCTTTGTCATCGACTAATTGCCGAATTAAAGTGGCTTTTCCCGAACTCGCGAGTCCCAGGAATACGAATTTTCCTTTTCTCTTTTGTAAACCTAACAATTTCATTATTTCAACCAAAACATAGGAATATTGTTTAACAGGTAAACATCTATTATGATACAGTCGCTAAAATTTGCTATTTATTCAAATTACGACCTTTTAACATTAATAGTTACGCGAAATTGATAACGACATAATCTGATTCAACTGGACGATTTTTACAAGTCATCAGCCTTGGTTATACCGATTCAAAATTACGTAGCACGTAATTGTAAATAATTAGTCGAAATAACGCCATACTAGTAGGAAAACAAATTATAAGCTACTTGGAAATAAACCAATCAACTTTTTCGTTTTAAAATAATGTGAGAATACTGATGAACCTGAACAAGACAACACACCTAACAAAATTAAAATTCATATACATTTAGACTAACAAATAATTTTTATAAGCCAAAATCTATGATTAATCCCAGTTGAATCAACATCAATTAATCAGAAAATTTCAAGTACAAAGTGATTATGAAAGTACTAATAAAGAATAAAAAATGCCACTCGCGATCTTGAATATATTTTGCGTTAATTTAATTCCACAAATGTACTTTGCATATATAGACTTACCTAAATATCCCAAAACTCCAGTAAACCAATCCCAAATGAACATTTTTTCCAAAAAGTAAGCGGCTGCTTAAATTTCCGTTACCTTTAAAATAGGAACTTGCACAGTTAACTTTACAATAACAGAACGAAGTTAGAAAAAGAAAATTTACTTTCAGTACTGGAAAAACTTAATTTTATTGCCCTTTTGCTTAGTCAATAAAAGTTTTTAACTGATTTTAACGTAGATTTTTGACACTGGCGAAGTGACAGTGACACGATGATGTGACACCAGTGTGCCCAACATTCGAAAAATGGAACGTGCAGATCATCACAGAAAAGTGACCTCGATTCAAATTTTCGCTGTTCTGCGGTTTTATCTGTGTTTTCTTATTTCTTATGAGTTTGCATATATGCATTCCTAATGCTCCCTAAATAATTATTTTTTTTGGAAAATAAACAAAAAGTAACCAAAGCCAGCGAGTTGATCTAAAATTAGTACCCATTTCAAATTTTTAAATGCCGATACTAAATTTGATGAGAAAAATGTCTTTCTTGGAAAAGCCTGTAGAGAAAGCTATAATAACGAAACTGACGGATCTTTTGGCCCCCCAAGACTTACGCGTAATCAACGAGTCCCACATGCACAACGTACCAAAGAACTCTGAAACGCATTTCAAAGTGGTGGTGGTGTCAGACAAATTCACAGGCATGCCTCTGTTAAAGGTAAAACTGCAAAACTTGCTGGTCGAGTTGTTTTTTTGAGTTGGTTTACAGAGACACCGGATAATAAACGATGCTCTTAAATATGAGTTGCAAAACGGGGTCCATGCGCTGGCAATCGAGGCCAAAACGCCCGAACAATGGGCGGAGAGCAGTCGGATAATCGATGCGAGCCCTAATTGTCGAGGTGGATTCGGAAAATAGGAAAAATTTGCTGTAGACACACGGATTTTGGTTAGTTGAGAATTTCATTTTTTGGCGTTGTTGTGAAGTTATTCGTGAAATTTGCAGCGAATTTAAACAACTTCTCAAATTCGAATTGTTAGAATTTTAGGTTATCAGCTGGTTGATTTTTTCATTGCCGACAGTGTGAGGTTATACGTATTGGCGTTTTTTGATATTCATTTTACAGTTGTTTAAGCGGCTATGTGTAGAAATTCACGAAGAACTATGAAGTGTAAACTGGTATGGATGAAAATTCTTTATAAAGTTTAGAGATTGGAAGGATTGGGAGAATAAATAAAACAATTTGATTTCTTGGCTTTACATTCCAAGGTACACCCAGGATATTTTTATTACATTTATAACTTATTTTGTCTTTAATGATTACATTACAGAGATAATTGAAAATTTTTTGTGGGCACGAAGTTACATCACTTAGCTATAAACATTTTACACTTTTTTTTAATGGAAGAAAAACAATATTGAAAAAAAAAAAGGTACTTTACTGTCAGAGTACGAAACTATCGAGACGCAACCGTCCTTCATTTTCAGTCAGATAAATGACGTCGGCTATAGTTTGATCGCAAATAGCTTCCTCGCCCCTTTCGGCCATCTAAAATTAAATATTTGCGCAACAGTGTGAGCATTTCGTGCGACAAACTCACGGCTTTGTAATTAAATTCTTTAGTCGAGGGGGGATACTTGAAATTGGGCCCAAAATTCACGGATACGGTCACGTTTCGGTGCAACGAAAGTGCAGGATAATAAGACCCTTGATAGATATCCTCGAAAGCGACGCCTTGACACTCGCCGTTCTTAAAATTAACTACCTTGCTCCCAGGTAAGGTCATCAGAGATTTTAACCTCTCCTGTACGTTGTCTTTCTCTTCATAATACAAGTGACTTTTGAATTTCACCAATGGCTAAAAACAACTGGCCCGTGCACACGTTTCACGCGCTCCTGAACTCTTACCCTGTCCTTGTATGTGTTCGGTACCATTTTTGTAGTACCATTTCGGGGTAATACTATCAGGAACCCGACGGTGTCGCCTTCTCCGTACCCACCGTCGCTGTAGTGTTTACCGTGCGACTCGTGGAACCTTGTCCCCTTTTTCGACCTCCAAGAGTACCCAAACTTATCGTAACCCAAGGGGGCTTGTAAATTCGCGTAATCTTGACCCCACCCCAATCTCGTCGCCGAACCTTCCGGCATCTCCTCGATCGTGGCTTCCCAATACCAAATCCCTTTCGTTACACCTTAAAACCGAAGTATTAAACACTTAAAAAACATAATATTTTTATTTTATTTTTTTTACAATGTGTGGCCCGCACCGTAGAATATCCTTTGTCGCCGGTCACTGCGAGTCTGTCCTCTGAAATTTTCAACTGGGGCGCCCGGTCGTGCAACGCGAGGAGCACCGTACTCGGTATGGACGTCCTATATAACCACCCGGGTATGGGTTTTCCCGCCCAGTCCGAACTCTCGTCGAATTCCTGCCTGAAGGGGGCGTGCGGGTCGGGCTCGGCCAACAAATACCTGTACCCGTCCTTATTGAACGGGTGATCCAAGGGGTACCCGTGAGCGGGCAATTTCGGCGTCCCCAGATCGGCCCCCCGACCTTTCTTTCCCTGCCCGCCCACCTCGCCGGGGAACTTTCTCTTGGTATTCCTGGATTTGACGCCGCCGCCGACTGGAACTGCGTGTGACGTAAATCTCGTAAAAGAAAATCGAAAATCTAAAAGGGCCTTACTCCGAGGCCTCGGCCTGTTCACCACTTTTATTTTGGCCATTTAAAATAAGCAAATTAGCCTAATGAAAAATGTAAGTGGTCGAGACGAAAAATATGTCAAAATAAACCTAGCCTACTTGACTGGGAAAACGCGAAATTGAATGGTGACTGGTAAAGTTGATTTAAAAAAATTAAAAAAAAAGAATAAAGAAAAACAGATTCCATGGTGCTATTTAGTCACCCGATATGGGATTTAATCACCCAGTTAGCACCGAAAATTTTATTTCTTCCTGGGACGGATAACGCACCCATAGATTAAGCCAATGACGTCAGACCCGTCGTTACATTTCAGATCGAAAATTAGCAGCACGGGGTAACCACGGCCTACTTTAAACAATGTTGCTTTTATGTGCTCTGTGTCTGTCAATGGTTTGGTTGATTTTCAATAGGTTAAAATCTCTTTCAAACGTACCAGTGTGTAATTAAGTGAGTCTTTTTAGTCACTAAATACTTACTCGTCCCAGTTAAAGCTCACAGGACAAGGAACAAATTAAAGCTAAGAGAAAATGACATCTGTAGATAAAATTCGGCGATTAGAAATTTCCAGGAATCAATTGATAAGATTTTTTAATGATAAAAACTGGTAATCTTAACATTGAAGAAACTGGGTCTTTGGTAAAAAAAATTAAGCAATTTTTTTACCGTGTTGGATTCCCATATCAGTCACTTTCAAGGTCCCGCCCTTGATCATTGCATCATAATTGGGTTTTAATTGGGTCAGGTCAGTATTAATAAGTCCGTACATTTGACCATCTGGACCTTCTTCGAAAACAAAAAGTATATGGATGTCTTTAATTAATGCCTTAGTGACGGTTATATGCCACGACTGCGTCACTCTTCTAGAGGTGGTAGTAAGGGCTTCCCAATGGTATTCAATATATGGTATTATCTCCTTCTCTTTGTTGAACATTAAACGGTTAGACCCTTCTTTCACGCTGCTTTGCTGCAGGTTGGCAATGGTCGTTACTATCATTTGCGTAATTTCTGCAAGAACAAAATTAAGCAAGCCCACTTTGCTTGGCTTTGGAGTACAAACGCGCTTGGCTCTTCCGGAACGTTTCCAGCCCCGTGGGTGAACAATTTTTACAAAGGAAGACATAATTCGATAGAAAGGATACTAACTTTCCCAACTGGTACCCGATACAAGACTCGTGAAACCATCGGGTACAATTTGCACACAGTAATTCAACTATGTTCAAGTTTCTATCCTTTCCGCTAAAATTTAAACAAAAAAAGCTGGTAAAACTCTAATTACAACCATTGAACAGGTTCACCAGTAGCAATTTCCCTGAGGTTCTATCACTTTTCGTTCCCTTTTGTCGTCGTCTATCGATTTTGATAAAACGTTGGTTGACGATTCGTATTCGGCTTCGCTGTTCATCTGCTTGTCGTCATCAGTCGAAAAGGAATCCGCGTCGTTATCAACGCTCCCGTTTTTACTGCTGCGAATAGGAGAGAAGTGTGGTTTTTATCAAGCCCGCGCGGTATTCGCGGTTTAATGAACTACCTTAGGTTCGACTCTTCCGTCATTGTGAGGGATGTTAAGTAAAAAGTAAGTATAAATTAATTAAATATCGTAAACTCGTAATATATATAATGTACAGGTATACAGTAAAAAGTTGAGGTTAAGTCCCGAACGTGTTTTTGTATATCTTCTTCAAAGTACAGATTATCTTCTTTTATTTTTAGAGGATCACGGAGGCATGGTCATTCGGCCGTCGCCTAAAAAATTCATTCTAAGCGAACTTAAAACTTTTCATATACTCGGAAATTGTAATTAACGCCGGTACCCATTAATAATCAGCCATCCTATAAACAATAACACTCGGGGCGTGCTTTTCGTGTCACGTGAAGGCGCGTCGCGACGTCGTCGGATCTCGTTCCGTCTCAATCGATCCGCTGCAGCAGAAGGACGCGTCGGCGCTGGCGTCGTCGCGGTCAGGCGTCGCTCTCAGTTGCTCTGCGGGTGTCTGATCGCATGCAACGTTCACAAAACATATTTGCAGTAATATATATGTCCAGCGCGTCGTAGCAGTCGTAACGTCAGCAGTTATCAGTGTGTTGTTTGGTGTATGCGTGTGCAATAACCGGGTTCGTTCGATGGTAGTGGTCGATAAGACGCCGCGGGCGGCTAAATGACGGCCGAGGACCCGGAGTGCGTTTCCCCTGTCACACCCACGAATGTCACCCTCGACAATTGCCTGCAGGAACGAAAGTACTGGTGCTTTTTGCTTTCGTCCATATGCACCTTCTTGGCGGGATTGTGTATCGTTTTGGTAAGGCCGCCCTTCCGATCCGGGTCAGATTTTGACCTATATTAACGCGGTCGCCCTACTTGGAGTCTAATCCAATCCCGTGACGAAACCCCGGCACAACCCCGCATTGGAAAATCGAATTTTTTGAATAATTTATCATCAAATTCGGATACGGTAACCGAAACTGTGACGTTTTTGCTTTTTTTACGAAACAATTGAACCACAATTTGGGATTTTTTTTTAAAAATTTTTGCTCCTGTTGCACCCACGAACTTTTTATTTTTTCAGTCCCCTTATATCAGGTTATACCGATTCCTTCTCCGCCCCATTAGATAAAGCTTTTACTAATCTTCGGTTATCGTGTAATTAAAAAAACAAAACAAAAAATAAATCTTAAACACAATTTTATTTTTTGTCCGGTTTCCATCAGTAGTGCGTGTAGTTCTGTGAAAAAGTAAGGTGGGGTGGGTATTTTTGAGCTCTAACAAAGTTTGTTTTCGTTAGCACAATTTAAGGCCTTAAAACTAGAAATTACAACTAGAAGAGTGTTGATATCGTATTTATTGCTTTCTATAACTCGCTTGCGCAAATGGGTGTAATACTGTTAAAATTCTCAGTCAACATTGTATTTGCTCTCGAAATGTGAATATTTAATATCGAAAAAAAATAATTTTATAACATGCATTTCGCGACACGTGGCGATCGATAGGAGCCATAGCGTCTACTTTGTCAATACATCATAAATAGTTCCGGTATGCATATTTATTACCGCCAAAGTCGTACAACTTAAATAATGAAAGCGGTAGTCGCTGGAAATTAACTATCGGTTTGGTCATCTGACCCAAAATTATTTTCAAATAGAACATCTATGGCTAGAGACGGAAAATATCCTGCACTTTGTGCATTTTTTTTTTCTAAATTGCGATATTTACGTACCTTATTTATTTTCACAGAATATTTAACGAGATCTGGGCACATTTTGAGGAAATACTGCCGTAAAAACGCTACCGCTGAAACCTGTCGAATCGACAAATTGTCAGCGGCCATGTTGGTTGTTGAACGCCGTCTTATTGGTTGAAAGCGGAATTTTAAATAACCGGGCATGCGCATATTGAGTGACTTACCTCAATATTTTTTACCGTTACCATAAAATGGAGAAGGATTAGGGATGGCAAAAAAACTAAATCAAGAGAACGAAATAATCGGCCGAAAACAAGACGAAATCACTCTTCCCTACGACGAACCTGCGTCCTGGGCATTTTCAACATAAAAACACGCTCTAGTTGGTCGACTTCGCCAAAAAAAAGTATAAACAATGCTCTAGTAAGTCGCGTAAAATGAGTCGCGCGCGCTAGACATCGAAAATAACAATTTCTTTAACTCGATTATAAATAGACTGCCGGTATTTATAATATGCGACCGCCTAATGAACCCGCGACTTTTGGTTGTAAACTTACAAAGTGTATAAATAGACGTTTGGCATCTGAACTAGTGTCAACTATTAAGTATTGTGTTAAAATATACGCCGCCGTTGAAATTTGTTTTTTTCTTTTTCGTCGGACGCGTACGTCGTTATTTTTATAAACCCCGCGTTTTATTGAGCGGTAAGTACACCGGGAAATATAACGGAAAATCGAGCGCTCGTAAAGTTTTACGCGCGAACGGGTTTATAAAATAATAATCGTTAAGTAATTAACCCAATTCTCGAGTACCTGTTTTGTTTACCTATCCGCGAGAGTTTTTTATCGCTCGAATTTGACATTTGACGTCCGTCTGACGTTTAGTTCCGGTTGCATCGATATAATTATCGATTAAAGTCGTAGACACGTGTTTCAAAAAGTTAGGTTAACTAGCTACGTTGACAAGTCGCAGTGCCCATTAAACTCAAATTAGGTACACTAAAAACGAATTAAGGGCGCGTCTAAACGTTCTAACTATGCATTATATTATACGGAATTCTGAGACGGCTCTAATTCCAGTTTGCTGCCTCAACTCGATTAGCAAAATACCCGCGAGCGATATGCGTTCATCAAGGCGAACATTAATCACTACATTGCACATTGTTCAGTCACCCGGGTGATGCTATCTGCCATGACACCATGCATATCGACTTTTCCTCGGCTCTAATAATTTATCATCGATTATAATCGCAAGTTTAAATTTAGAAATTAGTTTTAGCCTTTATTATATGCCGCCGTGGTGTAATTGCGGATTTTCCGCGGTCCACACCATACAGCAACTGCAATTTGTTTTAAATTCAACTACACGTCTAGTTAATTAGCATAATTATAAATTTTAATTCCGGGAATGTTAAATTAAAGGACGGTCTTCGCCGCGCTGCAGTTGATAAAGCTGGCATTCGAAAAAATGTCGTCCCGACAAACATGTTTACCACGATTTTTAATAAACTTGGTCACATAAACACATAATTATTCAGATGTCATTAAAATAATGAATAAGTAGCGTCGCATTTGGAATAGCTAGCTATTCGATCAAATAATATTGTCACGCGTTGTTGACATCGATTCAAATTCGACAGAAAAAACGCTAAACAGCGCGCGCTCCATCTGCCGGACGCTTGGTTAGTTTTTTCTGTCATGACCAACGCGATTTTTTGTCCTGTCGAATTCTATTCTATCAGAAAGAGAACGGACTACAAATGATTAATTTTAACAGCGATAGTAAAAAATATCTTGCGTTTTGTGACGGCATCACTTTTAGGCAATATTTATTTGCGAAAAAAATGTCAGTTAACAAAATTCTTAAAACAATAACACATTTTTCGCAGGTATGGCGACTGTTTGCGTTCCTTTGCTGCCGCAAGGAGGCCGAATACGGCCCGAACGACCCCAAACAGAAAGAACAGAAAGCGGCGCGTCAGAACAAGCAAGAGTTCGAGGGGACGTTCATGACAGAGGCCAAGGATTGGGCTGGGGAACTCATTTCCGGCCAGACCACCACTGGCCGCATCCTGGTAAGTCCGGAAAATGATGCATGTTTGGCAAATGCGCGACTACAAGGCTCATTTCGCGAATGAAAGTTAATATATTGATTGGTTGACGATTTCAAAAACATTGGGCGATGGATTTTGCTGCATTCGTGACAGCGCGTAGTTGAAAACGTTTGAAATGACACGCGGATGCAATAAAATGTCTAATCGGACGCTCGATTAGCATGGAAACTGCTTGGGTCGCGACATCTTCCGGTCAATTACTTCAGCTTTGTCGGGACGCTTTCAATTTCGCACCTTTTAATTTCGATAAAATTGGAGACGCAAGGACTTAGCAGGCGTGCGACGTTGCTAATTAAATTGTATAGGAAGCGCATAATTAGGGAAAAATAAAGTGGATTTTCCTTGTTTCAGGTTGTACTGGTCTTCATACTTAGCATAGCATCGCTCGTAATCTATTTTATAGACGCAAAGTAAGTATATTTGTTTAAAAACAACTTTAATTTTAATAAGTATAAGTTGCTACCCATAACGGCTTACGACTAATAAGACTGGAAACCCAAACCCACCGATTCTCCAACTATATCGAACAGTATGAAAGAACATGCCATAAAAGTAGGGTTGCCTAGTACCTATGAAGGAATGGCACCTTGCCCAGATAAGAGCAGCAAGTGTACATCGTACAATACTGATTTTGCTGTCGAATTTTTTGCCTGTGAAACCAAATAGGTATTATATAATATAGTGGTCCTAATACGGCAACAATTGAGCAGATATTGATTTTCCACGTATGCCTCTACATTTCACCCACTAACCTGTACTTTGTGCCGTTTTCTTTCTAAACACACACTTAACTCGTGTTGCCGGGACATTTAACGAAAACTACATTTTGAAAAAATGTCGCATCCCAAGTTATTGGAGATCTATCTATTGGTTGTTAAAATCCGCGACATCACTGGTTACAAAGGTTTTTTTTTAACCTCGCGCACGCGCATGTTGAATCATTATCAATTCAATTCAATTCAATTATGCGTTTCACAAAAAAAATGTTGGGCTCGACTGCTAGGATCATTCGCCCATTGCCGACTTCCGTCGAGGATTTTAGCTTCTGGTCAATGACCACCACGTGCAAAGAAGAAAAATAACCAATAATTTGCTCAGCTAGCAAAAAACGATTCTGACCGATACCAAAAAAATCGGCTTCCCCCCGCTTCCACCGCGGACCATCCGGGCCCATCCGGCCTCCATACCGGCGTGAACAGGGAAAAACGACGGGGCCGACGACGATTATCACTTTAAAACATGCACTGAACACTAAAAACACTAAGTCCACACAGTGGAAACCGATATCAAACTTTTGAGGACGAATACAAGGGATTCTGTCGGGAGCGAACGGAGGTTAAACCGCCTCGTGCAATGCTCCACCACAGAATCAAATCATTATCAAAAATATTGTCATAGTTCTTCTTCTTTACTTCGTGGGGCCAGAAAGCAGAGGAGAATTTTGATATTTTAAGTAAAACCCCCAATCCTAATTTTTATCAAATAAATTAATAACGTAAATACTGGGTGAGGATTAAATTTACTGTAACGGTTGATTAATTTAACGTCTGCGAAACTCGTGCGTACGAAAACAGCTGCTTCAACCTTTGCCAAGCATCGCTATCATGGCCTACGAGAATTAAAGCGATCGTCGGCGACTTATGAGCATGATCGGCTTGTAGTCCGATGGTTCATAAATAAAATCACAGTATAACTAAAATTCGCGGAAAGTTTTTGAATTCGTTGTTTTTTTTTAATCCAAAATTGTGTTTTATGCATGTTGCTTTTCTCAACATACTTATTTTTTCGAAGCCCCAACTACGAAGTCTTAAAGACAACATGTTTAGGTTTACTAATTGGCCACGCCCCTTCGTGGTATTAATAAATATAATTAATGATTGGCGGTTTTATTAATAACCTGTTTTTTTTCTTAGGGAACAGGTGGAGAATTGCCAAAAGTGGAGCGAAAACGTGACTCAACAAATCGACCTTGCCTTCAATATATTTTTTATGGTGTATTTTTTTATACGAGTAAGTCTAGAGCTAACGCCGAACTTAAACTTTGTGAATTTTCGCCTTCTGTTCACAGTTTATAGCGGCTAGTGATAAGTTATGGTTCATGCTAGAGATGTACTCGTTCGTCGATTATTTCACGATACCCCCGTCGTTTGTTTCGATTTACCTGGACCGTACGTGGATCGGTGAGTTTGTCGGATCCGTTTCGTTCGATCCGGGTGCGTTCAACTGAGGACGTCTTCCCGTAGGGCTCCGATTTCTTCGTGCCCTACGCCTTATGACGGTCCCCGACATCCTGCAGTACCTCAACATTTTGAAGACTTCCAGTTCCATACGTCTTGCTCAGCTAGTATCGATATTTATATCCGTTTGGCTTACCGCCGCAGGCATCATCCATTTGGTGAGTGGGTATACGATACGTGGACTATGTACGAGGTGTGTTCAAAAACTAAGACGACTTTTGAGTTTTATCAAAAATTATTTATTTATTTATTAAAATTAATGTCGTCCCCAGATATAATACGCTTGTGCCAACGTTGTTCCTAATGCTTGAAGAACTTCTGGTAAGCACTTTCTGAGTTTTTCCAGCAATTTTTTCTTTATCCTCCTTCCTTACATGGGTTTCTTGAGTTTTGAGAACAGGAAAAAGTCCCGGGGGGCTATATCCGGTGAATATGGTGGCTGAGGCACGATTGTGGTTTTGTTTTTGGCCAAAAAGTTAGACACAAGCAACTATCAGTGAGCAGGTGGGTTATCGTGATGCAAAATCCATGAATTGTTTTCCCACAATTCCGGACGTTATCTTCGTATTGCTTCTCGCAAACTCTTGATGTACTACGGCACGACAATCAAAGAAAACAGTAAGTGAAACCTTGACATTTGATCGAACTGGACGTGCTTTTTTTCGGTTTTGGCGATTCTCGATTCTTCCATTGGGTCAACGGGGTTTTGGTTTCCACGTCATAACCATATACGCATGACTCGTCAATTATGACCTTTTTGAGCACATCAGGATAATCACTGACGCCGTTTAACAGCTCTTGAGCAATGCTCCTTCGACGGTCCTTTTGTTCAAAATGAAGCAGTTTGGCAACAAATTTTGCTGCTACACGTTTCATGTCCAAAACTTAGTAACAAGTAGATTCACTATGTGCGGTTGAAACATTTCAACGCTTCTGTATCACAAAAAAATAGTAAACGTGCGTGCAATATAACAAAAAAAATATCGAATATCGAGTATACGTAGCACGTTCAATTACAAACTTCACCTTACTTTTTGAACACACCTCGTATAGTCAAGCTACTTCTTCTAGAAATATATATATTTTCGCACTGTTTTATGACCATAATTTTCTATAAACTAACCATATATAACCGTAATATATATATATATATATATATATATATATATATATATATATATATATATATATATATATATATATATATATATATATATATATATATATATATATATATATATATATATTACGGAGGAATTATTATTACAAAAACACACCATCTATTATTGGCTATTATTTACAAAAGGGATACGTTTCCTTAAAGTTGCTTTATCCGCATCACCATTTATTGTCTGAGGCTCAAAAGATTAAATCAGCGGATTCTCTAGTGTTAAATTGCTTTAACTATTGTGATCCATGCCTAGATAAAACTGACACATATAGAATTGAGAGAGTGCAAAAAATTTTTTTGCTGTTAATTTATGGTATAAGAAAATATGATCCAGTCTCACACAAACTACGGGATGCTAAGTGGTTGAATATGCTGAGTAGGCGTAGACTACACTCCTTTGGTATTTTTTCACAACATTATTTTTAATAACAGTCCTCCTTACTTGACAAACATATCGGACAGAAGTTCACAGATTGAACCTTAGATTTAGGGGTCTTATCTCTCCATCACCACACAGGAAGTCTCTTTCTCAAAGAAGCTTCTCCTATAACGTTTACAAACTTTACGATACCGTTCCTGCCTCTTTAAAAGCTTTATCGCTATTAAACTTCAAAAAAAAAAAAGACAAGAAATATTCAGCCAACAAGCAAATTGCAATAATTGCAAAAAATGTATAGGATTGAATTATGTTACTTCTATCATTCTTCTTAACTAAACCTAAAGAAAATATTGTCGTCGAAAAATAATGCCGATAAATAATAAAATAAAATAAATTGCAAAGCGTTGCACGTCGAATAAAAATATTTTTTGGAAAAATGATTTAGTTTAGGTATTATATTTTGCACCAACATTTATCAATTAGGTTCAAAACAATTACATGTGAACAATGTAACCCGAATAAAAACAAAACAAATAAGCAAGACATCTAAGGTAAAAGAGAAATACAATTTTTATAATAAGTGTTGAAAATGTCCTTTTTGCCATATAATAAATGCATTTATCCTACGCATTATTGATTGCCTAATCCTGTCTGGACTATTTCTTATAACCTGACAAGAGAAAACCAAAAAAGAGAAACTGTATTTCAAACGATTTAAATCTAATAATCCAGGCGGCCAATGATAAAACCCACCTATCCAGGTTTTCGTACATACGATTTAAAAACATTCGCACATTAGAAAATAAAAATAGTCAATCTTAAAGCTCGAGAATGTGATTAATTAAACGATCATCTATAATTCCTAATCAAGTTTGAAAGTTTTATATGGCATCCCTTGAAAAATTAGCTTAGAATTTATGAAAAAAACAAGCATTATCGGTATTTATTTGGCGAAACCATTTGAAAAAAATCATCCTAGGTTCAAAATATCTTGGTTTAAATCAACCGTACGTGGTATGGATTTAACTGTTGTTTTAATATCTTCAATAAGCTTCCAAGACAAGGCATTCTCACACCTGTACATAAAATGCAATTTCTGTATTAGTGTAAGTCTCCACTATTGAATTAAAACTTTTATTAAATTAAATGAATGAAAAATGGAAAATCATCTGGTCCATGAAATTTCCCAGGAGAACTTCTCAAATATGAATGTGAAAAACTGTATAGGTACCTCACGATACTGCTTTAGAAATGTATTAACCATATATGATTACTATGAGACAAAAACCAATGTGGGAAATATGGAGTACCAAGATATGAAGAAAAAATGGCACGGAACGAAGAAACTCACCTAGTCTTTATCGACTTAAAAAAAAGCCCAACCTAAACCAAAAAAAAAACAAATCAATGTGGAACTGGTTAAATCTGTAATGAGCCTGTTAGAAAAATAAACAACACCATATTTCACTGCAGCAAAATGGCGAAAACCGGAATGCAGTGTGTCGCCAATTCTGTTCAAAACATACTGGACGGGAGCTTTGAAAAATTGGAAATAAAAATGCAAACTGTGGGTGGGCCTTTGATGGACACACACCATGTTTTACCGCCGATCATGTACCGATAGCTCAAAACTACGATAACTTAACTTATTTGACGCGAAAACTTACCAAAGACTCCAAATGAAGGGACCTAGCAGCGGGTAACAAAATTTGTTTCGGGAAAATCGAGATGCCAGAATTTATAAATGTCTCAAACAATTGAAAACTCAATGCAGTAAAAGACAAGACAAGATGATTTCAAATCAGGAATGCCGTCGCTCTATTGAATTCTGTGCTCAGAGATAAAAATATAACAACCAAAAATTAACAGATTGATATATAGAACTGTTGTGAAAAACCATCAGATCCTGATCGACGAAAGAAAAGAAACAATAGAGAGAAATAAAATAAATAAAACATAAATTAAAAAATATATATATTTTCCCTTAAAATTTGATTAAGAAGAATGATATAGATAAAAATTATGTATGAAATGTTTTTTGTTTCATTGTTCTGAATGTTGAATATAGTTTAAATTTAAACATTAATTTCAAAATACTTTATACTTTCTTGCAATTATCAGGCGACATAATATGCTGGATTCTCAAAAAACGAAATTAAAAATTGTGGATAACTTTTGAGGGTCTATATTTGCAAAACTAAAATACAAATTCGCACTGCATTTTTGTGCAAATTTTTTAATTATGCTTTTCTAATATGCAAAACCATTTTTCGATTGATTTTTGGTGTCATCGCCGGTTATGACAAAATAATAGCGAATTAACGGCTGTAGTCGATTCGTCGGGATCAGAGAATATTAAAAAGACAGAAACATAATTTCAAATTTAAAAATATAAAATTTAGTTTAAAAAAGAGGTAAAAATGTAAAAGCAGACCTCTGAAGGTCTATGCAATGTAGACCTGACTAACATATACACTTATTCAGGAAATATGACGATTACGTTAGTAGTGATACGAAGCGTATTCTTATCGCACTTGCGGGTGTCATCATTTATGACGTCATCTTTCCTGATTTCGAGTATACTCATGCAATTTTAGTACCCTTTTTTTTCAAAGCAACCGAGTATATCGCGAATTTTGTTTTTAAATTCAGCTGGAAAATTCTGGCGACCCCCTAGAGTTTAGCAACCCGCACCCGTTATCGTACTGGACATGCGTGTATTTTTTAATCGTCACCATGTCGACCGTCGGTTACGGCGACGTCTTCTGTCACACGGTATTGGGACGCACTTTTCTGGTATTTTTCCTTCTCGTCGGCCTGGTAAGTTTGACACGACGTTTTGAACTTAATATTACATTCCTCTCTCTCTCTCTTTCTCTCGTTCTATCTTTTTCTCTCAATATATAGTTATATAAAATGCTATTGTTGCGATGTCAGCTTGCAGCTTTCCATCTGTCTGAAGCTGCCGAGTCCGGTTTTCATTTTCGGTGCTTTTGACGCAGCAGCTGACCGGAATTTTTTCCATTATATACAGGGTTTTCGGCGCCAACCATCCATTGAAAGTTTATATCATAATCGTTTGTGAGTTAGGCATAGTTAGTTTATATCCGGTTCCGCAGGAATCGCGCCGCCGTGTTCAAAATTTTAAATTTGACACCCTATATCTTGTATCATTTTATTTTATATTCCATGTCCCACATCGAAGTTACAAATTTTAAGTCGTAACATTCAAATTTCAGAGCATAAGAGTAAATGGTATGATATACAGGGCGCTCCATTTAAAATTTTGAACGTCGATAACTTTTAATGGACGGTTCGTATTTGTATATCCAACATTGGGAAGTTGTAAATAAATGTAGGTCAGGTCACTGCCGTTTCGTTCATTAGCGACGGTGCAAAACTGCTGGTAACTTGGAGGAGATGACGTAGATTATTACCGGAAAGTGCTTTAACAAAATCAATAACAAAAGTTCATGCAATCGTATGTGAACGAATGCTTAGTGTCGAGATACAAGGTGTTAAGAAGTTACTATTTTTTAATCTTAACCATTTGCGTGAATGTCATGTGGTTTATTATCTTAAAAATTGTTTGTCACATCAAACATTTGCCTTCTTAAAACCCTACCAAATTTCGATATGTGACGTACTAAAAACATCCTGAATACTAACCATGGGGATTCTGTCGGTGGCATTGCGCATGGCGGTTTAACATCCGTTCGCTCCCCACGGAATCCCTTGTATTCGTCCCAAAAAGTTTGGAATCGGTCTCCACTGTGTGGATTTGGTGTTTTTGGTGTTCAGTGCGTGTTTTGGAGTTCGACCCCATCGTTTTTATGGAGGCTGGATGGCCCAGTAAGCTCCGATGAGAAGAGTAGGGAGGGGGGTGGCGTTTTTTGTGATCGGTTAAGGATTATTGAAGGGTCAAAGAACAAATGTTGGTTATATTTTATTAAGTGATGGTCTGTGACCAATGAAAAAAAAACCTCGACGGAAGTCAGTATTGGGTGAATGTCCTTAGTTGACGTGCCCACGTTATGGAAAAGAAGAAGCGAGACTATACTAAGCATTTGTCAACTCTATGAACTTTTTAAAATTAATTTTTGAACGTGTTGATGCTTGTCGCTCTATTACATCCAGTTTTGTGCCGTCGGCTAGAAAAAAATCACGAAACTATCATCAAATGTATATTAATTGACGACATAATTTGAACTTGTTTCCTCCCCGAGACATTTTTATCCGAACCCGTTCCTGCCAAACTGAGTCTCCTCGAATCCTTACGCTTCCGGAATATATACGTTTCATTGTGGCTGTTTTCTTTTGACACCGGATCTGTTCGAATTTTACAGTCACCCGGCAACGTATTGTAGTCTGTAAAAATATGTTGAGAGTAGAGCGAGTATAAAAATGGGTAACCAGACAGGATTCAAAAATATCCCAAACAAGGAGAGATGAAAAAAGAAAGAGTTCAGTTATACCAAAAAAATCTAATTTACCCGTTTTTATATTTGACGGCATGGCATTTAAATAATGCATTCGTTGTGTATCTCTGTTTGCACGTTGCCAAGTTTCTGCACCGCCCCGTCGCTTGTAGTCGCTTTTTTTGACGCTCTATATATATATACCGAACTTTTTATCTTAATACTGCTGAAAAAAATTTTATAACCCGATTGCTTAAACATAGATCAAAAATGCTGACGGCAAAGCAGCCGGTCGCGATTTAAATGCGACTTAAGTTGACATGGTGCCACCGTTTTTGGTCTATATTGCGAGAAAATCGACAAGAGAAAGTAAAAATGAGGCATTTCAGACTGTTTTTGCAGGCAATGTTTGCTAGTAGCATTCCGGAAATCATAGATCTAGTAGGTACAAGGTCCAAGTACTGTGGCGAGTACAAGAGAGAACATGGAAAGAGGTACTGAATATAATTTCAAAGAAAATCTGGTTACACTTTTCGCACACTCAATTTTTTTTGTCAGGCGTTTTCTTTTTTTTTTCCGTAACACCGTAACCATATTTTCTTTGCTGTAAGATAACAGTGTAATCATTAAAAAAAACGTATAAATCGGATGTGTACGACTTGTACTTGAGCCGGTCTTGACATGCATGTCGTATTAATCACACAATATTTCGTATTGCACACAGCCAGCCCGCACAATACTTCTTTTAAATACTTGTTTCAATCCGCTATCGAAAAGTCAGCATTATGGAGGTTACAGATTGCATTTAAAGAGGCGACATTTTTTGCCACCATGCTTTCAACTAGAAATACACATTGTGTTAGGAAATTGAGTTTGGAAACTTGGAGTAAAGATTCGAAAAAATCGAAATCGTAATGTTTTCAGTGTCATAGCTTCTCAAAACTCATTGTTTTAAATTTTATTCTTAACACAGTGGCCTTCATTCTCAACGAAATAAGCTGGTATTTTCTCGGCCCGAATACCGCACTTCTAATTTACAGAAAAATATGGATACCGATACTTATCGCGATATGCAGGCCAGCATTATTAACCTGCATGCTACAAATTAACAAAGTGAAGAAATGGCCTAAGCCAATACAATAACATGTTGAATTTAAGTAACATAAATATAATTAACATTCTCTAAAAAAATAATTATTAATAATAATCGGGAATTAAACGGTATACGACATTTACATCCAATTCATTTTCTAAATGCCCACAGTTCGTTTCTAAACATTTTCTTATACATTTTTAAAAATGTCGAACACGAAAAAATACGCCTAAATTATTTCTAATGACTTTATAGGTGTCATACACTAAAGAGGTTCGTCCAGACCTATCCATCAATGTTCAAATGCCTGATTTAAATACCTTCGTACAGCCAATTTTTTGTATCCACGAAGAAATTGCAAGTACATTTTTCCATTAAACGATTTTTCCATAATCGCTGCCCATACATTTAAAAAAAAAACGGCGATGATGTTTTCCTTCAATTTTTGCATGTGGGTTTTCAATGTTCTACTAATGCGAAATAACAATGCCATCATCAAATGACAAAATCAAATCATACAGTGCTTTAAACATGAAAGGACCGTGTCAGCCTTTACATTTTGAAGTATTCTTTCTTCTCCTGCAGCAGTTCTTTTATACCTTGGTCTCTCTTTATTCATATTATCCTCGTTCACCAAGTCTTTTGCGTATGTTGATGAATGTTTTGGCAGATAAGCCTCAATATAAAACCGTCGTGTTTGATCTGCATTTCCATTTTCTCTTCCGTAGCAAAAATGCATATCGCGATATTCAGTTGTTGAATATTCCTGATAGGCCATCACAGTAGCAATTGAATAATAAGCTCTTTTAATATAAACAAATTTTTAATGTTTAAGGCAATCTGTTCGATTTTGCAATATCAGTCTAAATAAATAAAATCGATAATAAAAATATTCTAGGTAAAGAGCCCTCTAGTGACAGATTTATGAAACATTTTTATTTTGTAATGATGACTTTTACTAAATCAGGGCTGTGTGTGAAATACCAGCTTATTTCATTGAGAGTTCAGACCACTGCATTAAGAATAAAATTTAAAAAAAAATTGACAAGCTATAAGTCGGAAAATTCGATTTTTTTACATGATTTACTACCATTATTTTGCCACGTTGAATCTTTCCTCCAAGTTTGCCAACTCGATTTAATACGAGTTTGACAATAACAGGGATTGATTACTTTCGAATCTCGTTTTTCCAGAGAACTTACACATTCCTAACTAACCAAAGTCTCGCCACTCATCGACAGATAGTAGCACAGCTTGTAATAACAAAAAAAGTTCCCCGCTCATCCACAGATGGCACGCCAAACGAAATTACAGATTTCTGACTAACCAAAGACCTAAATTTCGCCGCTCACATCTAGATGGTCGCGCAGGTCAATTAAAGATATCAAATTAGTGTCGTGTCAATCGTTCATTTTACGAGGACCGAATCAATCACTGACAGATTTCAATCAGTCGTTCATTTCAATACTTTTTGTTGCCAATATAAGGGTCACTGAATCTAAACAGTCCGAACGACCGATTCAGATTCATTTGAATTTGAATTATTGTTATGTCTATATGTTGTTTGCTGTTTTAGTTAGTATAATATTTAGCTGCGTTCTGCTTTTTATTACATCATGATTTTATCAAAATAGGTGCTACGTATTGGGTTGTACCAGTAATGCATTAAGTTGTTTAAATATTTCATTCAAGATTCAATTCAACACATAAGCAAATCTACCGATCGATGTCGCAACTCAATACTATAGAATAATTATAACAATACTCCTATTCCATTTTCTTGGCCTGTCTCAGTCATGCATTTAAATCTTAAACCATTCGAATGAATCGTATTCCGCAAAGGGAATTCGATTTGTTTTGGTACGGTCGGTCGATCGGTCGTTCTGTATTCGCTCACTTCAGACCGGTCAGGGCGGCAGCGAGAGCGAACAAGGTGATCGAATCGTTACGAACAAGCGGGATTCAGTCGTTCGATCCTACGAAGTGATGGAACCAAAGTCACCGAATCAATCGCGATTGACACAACTCTATATCAAACTAATCAAAGAAATATTGTCGTTAACCCGAAGTGAAACTCATATAGTGATTGGTTATTGGTTGAAAGCATGTATGTCCCTTTTCAACATTTTTGTCGTTATATGGTGAAGCGGAGTATTATTTATCGACTTCAACTTCAAGAGAACCGAACTTCTAACCGAAATATCGTGCACTGACCTCTATAAGGCTAGGTCAAATTTATCTGACACTTTTCGCTAATTTAGTGAGCTATTTGTCCTCATTTTCGCGTCACCAAATATATGCCATTCCCTTAAACGTCAGGCTAAAGCACTAATTTTACAAAGCTTTCACCCGAATATTAGACGCAAACATATAAAATCGTGCGTTAGCGACGTAGAAAGACGCACGTTGTTTTTGACACTGCGCGTTTGACCGTAGATTCGTTAATATAGTGCACTACTAACCATTAGGTTTGCCGTTAACTAACAATTACGACTTATATTTATGCGATTCCATTGTTCCCGGTGCCTGGCATCAATTTCTCGCACCTATCCCGCCCAAAGTGTTAAAAAAATAATATTACACACTTGTCGACACACTTGAGAAGGATTGCACAAATACCGCTTCAACTGTCAGCGTTGTCACAGACCAAAACAATTTCCAATAACTTGACCACGGAGACTGCGTTTATATCTTCTGGTTAACAATACATTTTCGTTTATCACACTTGACGTTGAACTTATCAACGTTATCTTAGCATTTTAGTTATTTTTATATAAGAACCCGGATGAATATAACACAACGAGTGAGTTTTCGCTCTGGCTACGCTATGCTTACCATGGTCTGTGGTTCGTTGGCGTTCCGTGTTTATGCAATCCCGACCAACGAATGCTTCACGGGATACAGAGCTACACGTACGCGAATAACGTTTATCTTTTAATTGGGGAGCCTGATGGGGTTTGTGGGTTCTCTGGTAGGCTGTATTTGCCAGCTGGATCCCCGAAATCACCGAGTTGGCGGCCAATCGTCCCAAATACGGCGGAAAATACAGCAAAGATATCAGGCGCAGGTATTGAAGGCAGTCACAGACCAGACCGGGCACATTAGAATATACAGGGTGCTTCGTCGCCGTCCGTCGCTCAAGTATACCCGATCGGAACGAACGGAAGCGTCCCTGTATAATCTAACGGTTTTCCCATTCAGATTTTCGTAGTGTTGCAATAAATTCGTTCCTCCCCCCTCACCCCGCCGCCCCACTTCGAGTTTTGAAATTTTTATAAGCCGTATATATATTGTTGTTGAATTTTGGAATTTGAGCTTTTATCGAGCGACTAGACCGGGCAGCGATGCAAGTCAGTTGGCGAGTGGCACTGTCTAGTACGCGTCAGAAATGTCACCCAGCGGCGGGACTATCGATCGGGTAACACTTCTGAAGCGGCCAAGTTAGATTTTAACATCCCTTTGGCATGCTGTATTAGGCTAGCTGACGCGGGTCCGTTCTGTATGCTTCGCGCCATTTTCTTTGTATGTTAGTGGCTTCCAATCTGCACCGCTATTGTTACACAGGGTGTTTCAGTGCGTACGGCGTGGTTTTTTTTTTCTATAAAAAAAAAGCAGCATACGATTTTCTCTGTGAGTTCTTTGTTGCTCAGGAAAGTTGTAGAAAAAGTGTGAGGCAATTATCGAGGATGCATCTAATTTGTACGTTTTTGAGGTCGATTTTCAAAAAGTTCTGCAACAAATTCAGTCTACTTTTGTATAGGATTAGTTGCTTGGCGGTTCTTATTAGACGTTTATGGACAATGGCTTACGGGAAAAACCTGAAATGTTGGTTACTTATTTAAGCGAATATGAGCTACATAACATTTTTGACCATGCGGTGCTGCCTGATATACTCGTAACTTTCATTTTTCAAATGAAACGCCCTATATATTATTACATTTTTCGCAACCCATACAGCTAAACCCTTGAATTTTTACTTGCGGTTCCCTATTAAATTGCTTTTTTATATTATATTATGAGAATTAACTTATCGATTACAGGGCGTTCATAAGATAAGACTCAATTGGCAAGTTATAAAAATCCATGTTACGTGGGAATTTTAAATTGTACACCCCATATTTTTTATTGGTACCTAAATGAGCAATTAACTTGCCATCTAAAACTACTAAACTGTGGTATGTTATTTTCACTGGTTTTCGAGTTAGAAGCAAAAAACAAAAAAACGAGTATATCTGGCAACACCGCATTTCCAAAAATATTTTACGTCGGTAGCTCAGATTTTTACCTTAAGTCATTCTCCACAAACGTGCGATAGGACATTCACCGTGAATATCAGAGAACCAGACGCCAACAAACTGGACCACAGATGACACGACGTCAAGTTAAGGGAGCAGCATTAAATTTCCAAGAATTTTCAAATTTTTTCAATTCAATACTTAGGAAAATATTTACTATATACATCGTGGTCAAGATTGGCTGTGACTTATTAATGCGGTGATTCCATTTGCTACTGCATGTCATTTTCCTCATCAATGTTGCCAACCTAAATTGCCACACTATGGTGAATCCATGTAGGGAGAAAAAACAGCTCATTTTATGAATCCACGCTACGAAATGGCCCACCAACCGAAACACTCTGCCCGTTTTTGGGTTTTTTCGTAATCCAATTGTGTGTTAACAAATTAACAGTCGAGCATACAGAATGCGGACCGTTAAGAGGATAGTCCAGCGGAGTGATCCGCGAGAACTAAATATTTAGTGCTATGGATCGTGTTGCCCCCCTGAGTTCCGACTTAGACCATAGACTATATAGCCCCGTAGTCAGATAGAAGCACCTTAAATGCCTGCACAGCCTAACGAGCCACGCACGCGCGTCGTAACGAATGTGCGGGACGCGTCGAAATTTGCGCCTCGTGCCCGTTCCAAGCGACACCTGTCGATTGGATCCGGCACCACCGCGGGAACGCGACCAGATGTCGCCACTAGAAAAAATAACACATTCACCAATAAGGCTCCTCAATTTTTACAATATGGTTACTCGATATATTATAGGGCTTTGTTTCAGTGTGTGAGGAAATCCCGCCCACTGCACCCTCTTCCCGTTTTGCCCCCGCCGGGTCCTCCCCCGTTGTCCACGTCCGCCTCCCGTCCCGTGTGCGCGTACGCCGATTTTGGTTGTGTCTTGCGAAATGCAACCAACGCGCTTTGTACAATACCGCCTGTCCGAATATTATGCAACTGTTTGTTTGTCCGGAATAGGCGATTTTCGCCAGTTGTATCCCAGAGATCATTGACTTGATCGGGACTAGGCCGAAATACGGAGGCACCCTGAAGAACGAACGCGGTCGAAGGTGAGAAACTCTAGAATTTGTTTGCATTATGGGCCGAGAGACGTACATATATAGACGTGAGATTCGATAGTGATTCGCGGGGTTGGGCAAAAAAAAAATAGAATCCGACCCAAGACAAACGGATCCCAGAGTGTTTAGTCTGTGCGTAGAGTTGTGTGACGTTTGTCTTGGTCGCGCGCGCCAATCGAACACGCGGCCTTAGCGTTTCTCTTTATGACCTCGCGCCCTCCCCCGTATAGAGAAATCCGTTGGTGTTCACTGATTCCTGCACGCTTCTTTGTCTCTCTCCTTCGGTGTTTTCCTCTTTTTGTGTACATATACGCAGTTTTTCCTCTGTAGGTGTCAGCCGGCGTGACGGCCCACTTTCGCCACCTAAATGTGTTACTTTTTTGCTTGCTGGTATTATATACGGGGAAAATTGACGGTGGTTTGCATGTGTCGCAGTCTCTAACTTGGAAATCGTGCCGGTTTGAGATGGACGTTGACCTCTTTGACCGACACGGTTCTGGTTCATATCCATGTGCGTGGCAAGGCTGTGGTTAGGCGATCTCACGTTAATGTTTTAATTTAATTTTTTTTTTGTAAATAGTACTCTTTACCTTTCGCGGAATTGGACCGGCGAGATTTGCATGCGTTTGTGATTAATCCACTAACCGCGTCTACTAACGGAAGTTTCGATTGCGTAGTAGTTAGAGGCACTTTTTTTTTTAATTAGAGCATCCCTTGAACTAACGAAAGTCTCCCGCGGTACGGCCCGCAATATTAACGCGATTTTTTGTGAACAGGCATATAGTGGTCTGCGGACATATAACGTACGAATCGGTGTCCCACTTCCTGAAGGACTTTTTGCACGAGGACCGGGAGGACGTCGACGTCGAGGTCGTGTTCTTGCATAGGTAAACGATTTAATTGCTTGTTTTTTAATTAGCGGATGAGAGCCACTATTTAATTAAAAAAAAAACGATTTTCAAGAAGGATTATAATTTGCAAATCAAAAAATATCTTTGAGGAAGCGAAAATTTTGCTAAATGTCATTCTGTCCGTAAGATCGAGTAGGGTCCAGAACCGGCGTACACTATCTACTTGCGTATGAACAAAAAACTAACCTAGCGATAATTTTGAAGGACATTCTTTTCTTCGACAGCTATTCCGAGTGATAATTGTGCCTAAATCCTCTTAAATTATTCGAGGAGCGTTAATTACATAAAATATTGGTTTTACAGAGTATGCCTTTAAGTTATTATCGATTTCTTATACATTTTGTCTCACCTAAGAATTGTACACCCTTGTAAAATATTTGTATATTTTTCGATTTTGTTAGTTAGATCTCTGAAATATGCACCAAAACCTTGTTTTGCTTATTGCTTCAACTTAAAGTTATGGGCAACTGAAACTATTTAACAAAAGAAGGAGAAAAGTACTATTAGAGATATTTAAAAAAATGAACCAGCAACGCATTCTTATTCAGGAGTACTGAGAACCCGACTATACCAATTTTTATATAATGTTTCGATGTATACATTGCTGTAAAATCTTTGATTTCCGTTTGATTCCGTTCAAGTACACGGTGCTCGAAATATGGCGGGCGCTTCGCTAAAGCATTACTCCTATGGAATGTTTGTTTATGGCTCAATTTTGATAATAATAATAAATAAATGTTTCACTGAAAGACTAATGACTTTCTTAAAATCAGATATGATTAGAGATAATTAGATATGAACTAAAGAAAATAATAAATATATCAAAATCGACTGTTGATTATACTATTATTATTATATTAAAATGATACTAAAAAATAAGTGGCCCTTAAAAAGAATTTTTTATCGTTATTTTTGAAATATGTATAATTAAAATTGATATTAAAATCACATACCAAATAATCGTTATTTACAAGGTTTACAATATTTATTTTTTGATAACATATAAAACTTTGGTCATTGGTCCAGTCACTTTTAGGTAGTCCAGAATACGAATCTGTTATCATTTTCAATTTAAAAAATCTCTCTAAAAGTACTTCTCGATTTTCCGCTTCAAGAAACTCTGTCAGTTAGCCATGACTTTAGTCGATGCTATATGAAAAAACCGTTTCATTTCTCGTCAGTAAGATCTATCCAGCAAAAAGGGATGATCGAAATTGCTTAATGCTTAACCGAATTTGGAAAAAACCCTAATTGACTTTAGATTGATGTAAAAAAAAACATAAAGTTTTACTGCGTTAACAAAAAAAAGTCGTCAAAATCAAACCGTAATCAAAGATTTTACAACGACGTACTGCCTTAAGCAGCGCATAAACGATAGTTCGAACACCCTCTATTGAAATATTAAAGAAATTGGTACAGTTGGGTTCTAAGTCCTCCTGAATAAGAATTCTTTGGCAATTTATTTTTTTTTAAATCCGCAATAGTATGTCTCTCTTCTCTCTCTTTTATAAGTAGTCCCAGTTGAAGCACTCATGAAAACAATGTTTTAGTGCATTTTTCAGAGATCTATCCAACAAAAAAAAAATCAAAATCAATCTGCAATAAAGATTTCACAAAGGTGTACAGTACTTAAGTGGGATATACTGTCCAAGAATCCATTTCAATTTTCCTGTAAATATTTATACTTTGGTCTAAATCGGACGTGTCCAAAAGTGTCGATTAGTTTTTAGTTTGTAAGGACATGTCTACTATTAAATTGGGCCAAGAAGATAATAGTCATATCAAAAGTCCACTTCCCATCCTATCAAAATTAAGATCTTTAGGTAAAACGGTTTATGTGAGATCGATGAAACTTGGAATTTGAAAATGACTATTTAATTTTGGCCACAAAATCAATACGGGTTGTGAACCTGCGTAGACCATCTACTTACGGAGACGGAATAGACGGTCGAGGGGATATTAAAATTGACATTTTCACGTTTGGTAGTAAACTATAGCGATGTTTGTGACTCTCGATTTGACATAAATCGTCTTCAAAAAAAACATGAACTGCCCCTGGACAGTAAAAAAAATTCTAGTCAACATCATTTAAACGAAATAAGAAGACAAGGGTATTAAAAAAAATCAAGAGGGTGGTAAATTATGAGTGCGTAGTAGAGTATTCGATACCAATCATCCCTGACATTCGAAGAAGCACCCTAAGTGTACACCGTGCTCTTTCTAACTCGTGTATTTTAGAAAGGAACCCGATCTGGAACTCGAGGGTTTGCTGAAACGTCACTATACGACGGTGGAGTTTTTTCAGGGTACCATGATGAACGCCGTCGACCTTGAACGAGTCAAGGTATACCGGACAATGGGGAAGGATTTGCCGCTTGTTCTTTATCGTTCACGACGCAAATTTCATCGTTATGTTTTGTTTTCCGTTCTTTTGGTTCTCTTTTTGGGTTAGTTTAGTGGCTATATATTTGGTGCATGGTATCGACACGCGCCGGCGTAGAAACTGATGCCTTTCCGAACAATTAGTATTTTTTACACTATGAATTTTTGCCAATGTCCAGGAAACCGCCCGACCTCGAACTGGAGGGTCTCTTCAAAAGACATTTTACCACCGTAGAATTCTTCCAAGGTACAATAATGAACCCAATCGATCTGCAGCGTGTGAAGGTAAGCGGTCAGCCTCACGACACCCGGTATAAAAAAGTTGATTTGAAATGCGCGGACCGCGGGCGCCATTTTTTTTTCGGTAACGGTAATGACGCGAAATTTACATACGTATAGCTCCAGTTTAGTCAGTGGTTGTATAGGGAGTAGATTAGAATGTACGACGAATATCCGAATCGATGTTTTCACACCGTACTAATTAGCGTTAATAGCCTCCCCGATATAAATATAGAGAGAAACAATGACATTTGACAGTTAAGCATCTATTATTTATTCTATTATTTCTTTATGTACATTCTGAAATTTGCCTTTGAGAAGATTGGACTAGGGTATGTAAATAATAATTTTGGAGACTCTAGTTGAGGAACAAGCCTACTTTCGTACTATAGTTTACTATTTTCGCACTATAACATATATTTCTTCGCCAAAAATAAGGTAGGTCTTATCTATTGCGATATATCTATCGTGTTATGGAATTATTGCCTGCCAAAAATACTCGCGATACCGTTTGCACCTTAATTTTCAAGCAAAATGGCTCCAAATATGATAATTTTGCTCCAGATATTCTTATTTATCCAAATTAATATATAATATTCATTTCGGCAGGATAAGGTTACAAAAACATGCGGCATTTGTAAATATGTGCGCAAATGTTATGATTAAAACAAAAGGTAGTGAGTTGAAAGTATTTTTTTCGAAAAACGCACATCATACATTAGATCATACAATCATAGACACAAGTAACTAGTTGATTGGTCATAAAGGAGTTAGATGAGTAGAATATGGCATAGAAATTAAAGAAAAAAAACCTTAAAAGGCAAATAAATACAAATATATCTACCAAAATCGGTAACAAACCCGTAATGCTAAACACCACGGTGAAGCCTTGGTCATGGTGGGTAAGTTGTTTTTTAACGATGGCGATCTATCTTTAGTCCCCTTATATTGGTCGATAAAATTTAACGGAGCTTGCATGCGTTTAGTTCAGAAATTTCTTTGGCACCGATTATAATAGTTTTTTACGAACGTCACGACGTGAGTTTTGGATTCCTAGCTTAGAGGAATGTTAGTGATTTCGCATGCATTTCCATTAATTTATGAGACTTAGGTTCGCAACTGAAGTTTAGTTCATTTTTCATTCGCCAAATCATTTACACCGAGCCTTCTGAAGCCTTGTCGAATAACAAAATCAAATTTTAACTGCCACGATTGCACAATCGGCTAGCGGGATTTCCGGATTTTGTTCTCGTGACGTTAAAATTCGATCCGTCCTTAAGCCGGGTGTCGAATATAACCTCGGGTTGTTTTAGGTGCACGAAGCTGACGCCTGTCTGGTTTTGGCGAACAAATACTGCCAGGACCCGGACGCAGAAGACGCGGCCAACATCATGAGAGTGATTTCCATCAAGAACTACAGTGATGACATTAGAGTCATCATACAGCTCATGCAGTATCACAACAAGGTATAGTAGGCTAAAAAGAAGATAAATCTTCTAGTAAAATAACCACACAAATTGCAATATCGAAATCTTACTGTAAAATACGACTTTTAGGGATTTATTCCTTTCTTATAGTCTTCCTTCTTTGGATTTGGTAGACTCGGAAATTGTTTTACTATAATTTTGCGCATTATTGATCATATCATCACAAAACGTTTTGCTACAATCATTTAGTAAAACAATTTTGCCGATACGTATAAGCGGCGCAGTCGTGCCGGATGACCAAGCGTCGGTTCTGTCTCCCGCAGGCGTATCTACTTAACATTCCATCGTGGGACTGGAAGCAGGGCGACGACGTCATATGTTTGGCCGAGCTCAAGTTGGGATTTATAGCCCAGTCCTGCCTGGCGCCCGGTTTTTCGACCATGATGGCCAACTTGTTCGCCATGCGATCCTTCAAAACCGTAAGGGGGTTTATTTCGTTCCGATCGCGCAAAATCGAAGAATTTTTTGCGTTTTGGTCAAGAACATTGTTGATTGCTGATGATTGATTAATTGAATTGTATATAGAGTAAGTCCGCGAGATTGGCCCACACTAGAAGTAATTTAGCTTGTGCTGCCATCCGTCTATAAGCGACGAAACTAAGAGTTTGATTAGTTAGGAATCTTATTATTTGTTGCGGGGGATGGGAGATGCAAAACAGGGATATTCCTGCTACTGTCCACCTGTTTTTAAGTAGCATTCAAACCTTAAACAGTCAAAAAATCAGCATAAAAATATATTTCTCATAAAATGACAAATATTTTGCCACACAGGGTACATATTTTTAAACATCGTAACATTATCTTTTTTATCACACTGCAACTGTTCTTTTTCCAATGTTTTTCTCTTCTATGACGTTCTCTGTTCTTTTTCGTTCTTTCTTGCTTTGGGTCGTCTATCCCAAAAATTTGGGACCGATAAAACCATTAAATAAAGACAAGGAAAATTACGACTAAACGCGATTATTATTATTACTTGCTCAAAATTGCACAAAAGTCTAAGGGAAATTAAGAACGTAAGTACATAAAAAGAAAAATATTTTTAATATATTAATTATAAATACTTGGTAGAGTTCTCCTAACGATATACCCCGTTTACAACCTTTTATGGTTTTGACTTCGAAATGAGTTTCGAAACCCGCCTGATGTAAATCGGACTGGTATATTTTAAGAGTAAGGAAATTTTCTTTACTGTTATATTAATTCATATTAGTGTGCTTTTTGTAAATCTTCCTAAAACAGTCTCTACTTGGGGTAGCTCGATTTCAAGTTGAATTTCCCCATTAGATAGGTTGATTTCCTATATTAAAAACACATTAGAAAGCTTAAACTGATTTCAAATATAAGGGTTTATCATAATCTAAAATATTTTCCTAGGACAGCAGTGCAAATTTTATATAGATACTTAATTTATAATGGAGTATTTTCTTAGACTTGGAAGCTTTGAAGTTATTTCTGTTCCGTCTTGTGTTTGTAAGTAGTAATTACCGACTAACTTACTGTGTCATGTGTGCCATTTTATATTAATAATTAACATTTTAAGTAGGAATAGATTTTTCACTAATTGACTAATAATAATCGAGGAATCTCACCGATTAAACCATACATAAATCCGTCAGTTTTCAGCATTTGTATGCACGAAGTACCGAAGTACGTACGGAATTGTGGAATTATTGAGAGTTACAAAGTTACAAAAAGTGGTATATCGTTAAGAGAACTCTATCTAACATCTACCCTTAGGTATTACCAATTTATATCATTTTATATGGTAGTTCTGTATCGTTCCTCTTTACACAAAAATGAATTATAATGGTTTAACAATATGATTGGATGTATAAGAATTTTCTACAATAATTTCAAGGTTTACCAAATTTGCTCTAGGTAACTCCCCGTTTTAATGCTGCCATCAGGTCAAAACCATTTGGGCCATCTCCCGGAATTACCTTTAATTTAATTGCAAACAATTTTTCGACCGTCGCTTTCTTTTTTGGTGGTAGCGATTTGTTTGGTCACTTATCCATTGTCGGATATTGACATTTTCGTGTGTAATCAACAGCAGAATTTCGTCGTGAATCGGTAGGGTAAAAATGTACGGGGTAAACCAAACAGGGGGAATTTTTACCCTGCCGTTGAACACGGTGCCTTTGTACAGTGCAATTAGGGAACAGATATTTCGAATGGTTCTAGTCGCCAGGAATGCAGGTGTGGACCAACGATTATTTACGCGGTACCGGCATGGAAATGTACACTGAAACACTGAGCTCGTCGTTTATTGGCATTCCGTTTGCCCACGCGGCCGAGTAAGTCTAACCAAAAGCGACTCTCTGAACGAACTATGACTATATATATATATATATATATATATATATATATATATATATATATATATATATATATATATATATATATATATATATATATATATATATATATATATATATATATATATATATATATATATATATATAGAATTTTGCACCCGATCATACTCTGTACAAGTTCCCCATCATTTCGAACAACTTCTTATTTTCTTGTCATTTTACTGTCTATTAGAAGCCCGCGTATTACAGTTTACTTTACGTTTTACTCCTAACATTAATATTTTTTTCAAACAACAATTTTTTTGCTTTTCTCCGATAAAAGCTTATGCATTAATGAACGTAGAATTTTGGAACGGTATATTTCTCGAATTAATTTTTATAGTTATACTATGCTTAATGAAGAAAACGAATTACCAAGTTTTTAATTGAAATCAAATTTTCCATAAACATTTACATAGTAAACTCTTCTATAGTACATTTTCAAAAAACTGTCTGAACTTCAAACAAGAATCAAAATTTTTTTTAAAAAGTCAATACAAAAATATATAAATTTTTGCAAATCACAATTAGTGATTAAACTAATTTAACCTCGATTTTTTACACAGAACATCCTGTAACTAACTACTTTATCGTTTTTAGCGATCGCCCTTCTACCACTTTTGTTAAGATTTCCATATACCTATAGAAGCAAGTTTTTCCAGCATATTTTTTGAAATTTTTTCTACTTTTCTCCCAATAATTAGGCGCCGTAAAATTCAAAAACAATTGGAATTATCATTTAAGAAAACATGTTTTTGTATTGCCACGCTTTTGCCGAACACCCTGCGTTACTGAAAACATATTCAAAATGTATGTGTTTCGATTTTATGCAACACATATAACGAAAATAAAAATAGACAAATTTTTACTTTTACTTTTTTACTAAACCCCAAATAGAGAGCCACAAAAGTCTATAGTTATTATAAAATTCTTTTTATTGTTTTTAACTTGTCGTTATAATTTATCACGTTACAATAGTTTCACTATCACCATGTAAGTAAACTGTAATATATTATGTACTTCTTAATACTCCGTAAGACTGGCATTTAATCCGGCTATCGTGTTGTGTAGAACTTCAACTGTAAATAAATCAGTCAAATCGGAAGAATACGGCGACGTCTATATAAGATCGGCATCACGCAGCGAACACCATTTTTTTTTACTTTTTCCAAGCTGAAAGATGTTCAGTACCATCCGATCGTTATGATTATTTTCGGCAAGCTTTTGTGTATTATCTGCTGTTGATGTTTGTTGGTTTCGTCTATTTGTTTATTTATTTATTTATTTAACGGGAGAACCGTTTGTGTTCATTTTATTGAGAGGGGGGGCGACACACTCTCCTCGTGTTTCAGTCTCCCGATACACAAGTATGGCAGAACGATTATCTACAAGGGACTGGGTGCGAGATGTACACTGAGACTTTGTCCCCCTCGTTCACGGGCATGTCTTTCCCCCAGGCCAGCGAGTAAGAGCTCCAGTAGACTTTATAACACGCAACTGGTTATAACCTACTAATGTTGTGTATTATAAACGACTAAACTCGGTGTAGTTTGAAAATTAGATATATACCCGGCCTACATACTCATAGATTAGATGATTTTGTGTTTTTGGTGGTTCCTTTTTTTTGGATTGACCTTTTAGGGGGACGAAGCGAATTGTTCGGGCGTTTTTGCGCGACCCAAAAATGATACCGTGCCAAAAAAAATTGGCGTTATATTTTTTTGTATTGTCACCCCGCTTGCTCTGCTTTTATAAATACACTTTCTGGTCGCTGGTGTTGCTTTGCATGCTTGGTGGTTTCGTCTAAGTTTACGTATGACTTCATGATTTACAAAACTTACTTTGTTTATTTATATTAAAACGATATTCACTTACATACGATTGTTTATGATTGGTGTTTGAGTTTGACTTACAGTCTTTACCTATAGTGAAATAATGCACAATAACACATTTATCTATTGATTTAAATAAACTGTATTTACTTACAATAAAATAATGTACACATAGTTTTTTATGAAAAATGTTGGTAATAACTTACAGAACCTAAACTCTTTACTTACAGTAAAATAATACACAATAGCCCATCACTGTGTTTATTTACAATAAAATTAACTTACACAACTTAAAGTCTTTCCTTGCTGTTAAATAATGCACAACAGAATATCATTTCTTATTTATAATATGCAAATAGTCATAGTTGACTTACAGAACTTCAATTCTTTGCTTACAGTAAAATAAAATACAATGCAGCTCAGTTTTTTATTAATCTCATTCTCTATTTACTGAAATTAATATGCTTATTTAGATGAACATAGTGTACAAATAAACAGCCTCTTTTATGACTAGTATTTGAAATTGATGAATAAAACTTACTATATCTATTTACACTAAAAAAACTACAATTGTACACCATTTTTTATTACCAGTGTTGGACACTGATGTAGACAACTTACATGCAGTGTTAATTATAAAACTAGTACTTTTTTATAAATAGTTGATCATGTTTGATAGTCGGTAGTTAGTAAGTTTTAATTTAAGTAGTCAATCAAAATTTGGAACAGGTTACAAAAAAAACCTTTTGATACAGTTTTTTACCAATTTATTTTAAAAACATTTTTATAGGCAAGAGCTTTAGCTATCTCTAAACGCACTATGTGTTTTTTAAAACCTCCTAGAAACGCTAACGCGTCGATTCTGAACAAAACTAGATGGAGTATAGTATAGTTGCATCCAAAGTATTTTTCTGACCCCCATCGGATAAACTGACGGTCTGCCGTTTTCAGATTGTGTTTCACCAAACTAAAGCTCCTTCTGTTGGCCATAGAGGTCAAGGGGGTGGAGGGGGCGGATACGAAAATCTCGATAAACCCCCGCGGTGCTAAAATAGTCGCAAACACCCAAGGGTTTTTTATCGCCCAATCTGCCGATGAAGTTAAGAGGTAAATTAGGAGATTTACAAGCGCCATCTACTTTTCTTTGATCCATTATTTTAGGGCGTGGTTCTACTGTAAGGCCTGCCACGACGACATCAAGGACGAAACGTTGATCAAGAAGTGCAAGTGTAAAAATTGTGAGTTATACAGATTTTTTTCAAACACGCGTCTTAATTATTGTAAACATATCAGGTTTATTCTCTAGCCAGATTTAATCGTTCTACTTACACACATATCTACACTCACACACATACGTAACACGTTGTTTCCATTTTCTCTTTGAAGTTTCGGAAATTTTATAGAAGTGCCTGTGAAGGGGCACAAAATAAACTCTACTGACGGGATTCTTTTACATCTCCGTGCGAAGTTATTTTATCCAAAAATTTTAAATGCAAATATTGTTTGTATGGATAGTTATTATTATACAGGGTACCTCATAGCACTCAGATTCCGTACTTTAAATGGAACACTTCGTGTTTACTAAGCCTCATAATTACTAACTATCTACTAACCAATTACATCGTTTTTACAATTGTAAAATTTATTTTTTTCAAATTTTGTTATGTGGAATGACGCACAATCTAATTCTACATCGACTATATGCCTTTTGCTATTAAAAATCAATGAAATACCCTGTATAATGGCAAAAATTTTTATCCTGTGCAGCACATTTAAATAAAAAACCTTTTGTATTTGAAATTTTTTCTATAAAATAAACTACTATGGCCTGTATACATGCTTCCGTTATTCCTTTATTTTTCCTTGGGTATTCATGCCTGGAAAAACTAAGACCTCTTAATAACCATAAAAACACTCTATTATTCTATTACGACCACGATGCGGGTCCTTAAGTAGTTGTAATACTTAACTTCGCCATCATTTCGTCCACCGGGCAATTTCACATGTCAAGTTCAGCTTAACCAAAGAAATTGTTGTTCGACCCTTTACAGGCACGTCACCGATTGCGTTAGTGAAATTTACTTGTCATTGTTTTCGGTTCCGTTAACGGAATTATGTTTCTGAGTAACACTTATGGTGACTTTTAGTGGCCACCCAACAACGAAACTGGTCCTACGATTTAGGTAATTTATGATCTATACAGCGACTCTAGATCTGTCTAAATTTTGCCTGCGAATATCGTTTTTATCCCTATTATAATGTTGACGATTTTTTTTTGTTTTTACTTTTTACACAGGCGCCCAGAAAAATGCAACCGGTACGTCGTGTATTTGCATCTTTCGGGGCGTCGCGGAGACATTTTGTAATTTAGTGCAACTTCCATCCCGCCCCGCCCCCACTTTCTCAAATGCCGAAATTTAAATTTTGCCACATTGAAGACCGGCTGTATAAAGTTTGTATCGTGCTTTTGTTTACGTCATCGCGACCTGGTTTCTTTTGAACTCCTAATCTTTCTCTCAAGGCTTTCAGTAGATTTAACGAAACTAACGTTACCCAGTTTATATCTATTCTTACGATAGATTTTTCATCTTTTTTTTTTGCACCAACCGATCTCCGTGACGGCAGATCGTTTTTCTTTTAACGAATTTCTTTCGGAGATTTTTGAAAGGCTGACGATTTCGCTGGAAATGCCTGCGTACCGGAATGTACATTATATTTATACACATTCTGTACCCTTTTGCACATCTTATGCATGGCTAGGAATAAATTGCCCGAATTCCCGCCCCACCTAAAAAAAAATTTTTTTTTGAAACGTGATTTCCTTGAGAAACTGGGTCCCGAGAATACTCCACCAGTATTTTTTCGTCCTTGTGAATAATATTTAACCGTTGCTCACATATCAAAGACGTTGAACCACGGGAAAGATCCAAATATTATTTATATTAACAAAAGAATAACAAAAACGTTTTAAGAACATAACAATACAAGACTTCGAGAAATTGGAAATGTAAATAATTTCAAATCACGTTCAGAAAACAACTTTTGCTTATTACTACGTTGGCTTATTTCAAGAACATGGAAGTAAGATATCAAAGTATTTGGACTACTACTGACAATGCATAGAAGATACAACTAGGTATACATTTTTTTCAAGTGGTTTAGCGACTCTGATAAAACAACCATCCCCCCCTTCGTCCGTTAACTTGTGTGTAATTTTCAGTACTTCAATATTTTTTTGTGTGTTCTTCCACAGCGAAGATCGGCATCTTTGTTTTTTGGTTTTTTTGATTTTTTTCTTGCAGATGTCGGAATGATCATGATGCAAACGGGTATGGTCAAACACGGCCTTAACTCTTACCAAAGAATTATCGATGGTAGGCCACCCTTTAAATGCCACGCTTCGTGCTTCTCGATCGATGTCGTTCGAACTTTTTTTTTCGTTTGGTTTAGGCGTATTTTTTTCAAATTAACGACTAACAGCCGCGGTATATACGAACGAATGCATTTTTTTCTTTGAGGTAAATCTATACTAAACGCACACTTTACTAATGGTCGCCGGAAACTTTCCATTTCGAGCCCAAACAAAATCTCTAAAGTAAAGTTTCCCTTTGTTGACCAACCGCTAAACCTAAATAACGATGACATTGCATTAAAAACAAAGCATACCTTTAGAAAAAAGTTTTAGTGATAGCCAGCGTCAACAAAGTCGACTAGAGGAACATTAAGATTTTTATTAAAAACGATTTTGTGGTTCTATCTTGAAAAAAAAATAATTGCATAACCGAATAAATCACTCAAAGAATAACCTCCAGTATTTTGAACTTTTATTTGAAAAACACCTTGTATATGTGTTTCGTATATTTATATCAATTTTTATTCCAACTGGATGTTTCGAAATATTTTTCCTGTGGATGGAACGTTTCCGTTAGACGACCACGCAACAGATTTCTCTAATACCACTTTTACCACATTATACATAACAATATGACCTAACGAAAGTCGTTTCGTGAAAATGTGTCGGCATTCGTGAGATAACGTCGTTGAACGAAAATATACAAAAACTGAAAAGTGCACTCTGCTACAGTGACATGCTTAGCCAGACGTTAGACGTTACGGATTATTGTTAGCTAGTCATAACCACGCTTTGCAGATGGCAATGCAGAAACGTTCGATTGTGTATTTTGGCGACGGTGTGCTATATGGTTGTACCAGCATCGGGTATCGAGCTAGATCGGATCAGTATAACCATTTTTGAAGCGTCTTAACGCGCTAATTGAGCTACATAAATTTTGATTTGCCCATCTGTATTATCGCCAGAGATTTTAGAAAATTCGATGAGATATCGCGTGACAGATAATAAAGATCAGTGTTGTACTTGGTGTGTTTGAAGCGGTGGTCTCAACAAGTCAGATTAAAAATGAGACTTAAGCTTGGTACACCTTGTGCACCTTGTTTGCTATAAACGGGATGGTTCCGTATCCTTATTTTCTGTCGCTAAAACATACTGTAATGTTGTGACCAATTTCCCGCAAATAAAGTGGATTATCTACATTAAAAAATAATACTTTTGATTCGTTATACGCAGTATCGACGTTCAGGAAAGGGGTCAGGGCCATACAATTGGTAGGCCGTTCAAGTACGTATGACGACTTTATTTGTTTCTGTGTCACAACACACATTTACGACGTCACACGTCTATTTTCGAAAACGAGATCTTCTTCGATCGGGAAAAGAGCCGCTATCAAATTTCGTCCGGTAACGCGGCAAATAAAAAAATGTCGACGTCACGATATAGTTCGCGTTAAGTTTTACCTTCCGGTGTCCGTACTTTCGTCCACTTTTTCTGTGTACTTTGTTTGGATGTTAGAGCATGTCCACACCAAATATTTCGTATGTTGCATGACCACGTTTATTGATATACTGCAATTTTTGCATGAATGTATTTTCCTAGACGTTAAAATTTATGCGGAGTAACAGTATTAACGGTCAACCAATCGCAGTAAATGAAGTGGGCCTTACCCACTTTGCGGCGATCGGTTGACCCGCTGCTATAAATGAGCAATATATGATGAAGAAAAAACTGTCGATGTTGTGTAAATGTAAAAGCGTTTAGTATACCGAAAGATCGTAGTTTAGATGAAATAGAAGTTAGGTTCCCGATTAATAGTTGAATGCGAGATTGGTTTATGGTTTACAGATGACCATCATCCTCCTCCTACTTTCACACCACCAGAGTTGCCCAAGAAGGTTCATGTTCGAGGTATTTTGTTCTCAATTCTTCTTAAGTCACATCACGTTCGCTTCCGTATTATCCAAGAGCACCCCTTTATAGTGCCTTGTTTACGTTTTGTTTTTGTCATTTTTCGCGGTTTATCGCTATAGCAAACGAATCCGCGATCATCCATCCGTTTACGTTACTTTGCCAGTTGTTTTTCGTTTGGTCATCGAAATCCGACCGATTCTTGAGAAACTCTGACCTTAGCGATATCCATCATCCTTATTTTAGTTTTATATAGCGATCTTAGATCATCGCGGGCTACGCCGTATAGTTACATGTAGCTTGCTAGTCTCGATTACTATATAGGTTCGGGTTAGCCGCGCTGAGGTAGAGATTATTCGCCTGTATCGGCAGTGAAATGCCGCCTAATTGGTTTTGTTTCTGATTTCAGGTGACTTGAATCGCCATGACAATTTTATTTGTAAGTCTCACACATTCGCGCACATACCAATGTATATAATTTCGATGTGTTTGTTCTTATCCCCCGCACGCATGCATTCTATGTACAAAAGGGTATATCAAACTGGCGACGCGTATAATACAGCACTGTAATATGAAGGGTCCGATCGATGAGGGTCCATTTCTATTTTCATAATCGACATTTCAGCGACATCTGTTAGCTTATGGGTAACCGTTGTAGGAACATACATAGGTTTTTGAGTTTGATAACTTTCATTCCGACGTCTGGTTGAATGAGTTTAGTAATATTATTTAGGGTTCTTTCTAAACTGAATACCCGAGTGAGTTCGAGTGTCATACGCGATAAATTTTGATATGATTGAGACAATTTGTTTTGTCGCTTCAACCTAAAAATGTTAAAAATGATGATTGGAACGTTTTTTGTGTCTGCCCTTCATATATATGTATTATACGAAAAACAAATCAAGACGTATAGCTATTCATTTTTTAAGAACCGCATAGAAGTATACCTACTACAAAAAAGTATTTCACTTATACAAAATATATCTGCAACCAAGGGTTCAAGTATCAAGGGGTTCGCCAAACTTTCGCGCTCATTCTCGATCATTGTAGTTGCCATATAGCTGCACAAAGATACTTCTGCGATCTGCAATCGCGATATTCGATTATCACCAGCTTTTATACGCTAATACTTGTGGGCGTGGCTTGCTTGATCCGATTTATGACGTCGAAAAAAGCGCTTCTAAACTACTTCAGATTGTCCTTGACCTCGATGGGACGAATATTCGGATTGACTCTAACGGCGCGTGTTTTGCAGTAGCCCAAAGGAACCACAGGAACAGCACACTCCCGTCGATGAACATGGTCAATTCAACGAAGCAAGTGAACAAGGTGAAACCTAACATCACGCGGAACGCTGTGGATAACGTTGGGTCACCGAATTACAACTCCAGGTACGTTTCATTTGACGTCACATTTTTCGAAATCATTAAACACGAGGTTGCAGCTTTGACGAATAAACACAGTGTGTAAAAAAAAAATTATGGCCAACACACGATAAAGTCAGTAAGTTAAAAGCTGATTAGTTACATAACCGACATAATACAAAATATTCTTAATTTTCGCTATTCATTGAAACCTTGGATCAGCTGCTAATGTGAGATCGCGTTTTTTTTTTAAATACGTAAACTAAGCAAAATCGAAAATGAAAAAATACGTAACATAACAACAAAGCACCTAATTTGTTCCCTTGTCGAGCACTACGTTTTAATTAATTAATCGACACCTTCCAAAGGGTAAAGAAATTTAAAATTTCTCAAACCCGCCTTGCCGTCGTGTTTGTTTTTCTACACGGTATAGATATTATAAAACGTATGTTATGTGGCGTTCTATCAGCAGTGTGCTATATATATGTTCCAGACCGCCGGAGCAAGAAACTACGAATTATGCCGGCTATCACCTGGCCTATGAAGTCAAAAAACTCATGTACGCTTTATATAGCTGTTTACTTTTACGCCTCCCCTCCATCTTGATGTTGCTCGACCAAATCACGTTGTTATAATAGATGACACGCGCACGCGTCAGCGAATGCGATCGGCTTTAATAAACGGGAAACGCCCACGCGCGATGGCACTGGTCGGTTCGCCCTTTCGCATTTGTCAGTTAAACGATTGAGCACTCGCTAACGTAAATATTGTTGACGGTAGTCGCATGAGTCTTTATATTGTTCCGTTCTTGAATGGTCTGCGTAACACACTCCTCTACAGCTAATACTTAACACCAGGACACTTTGTATTTACCCCCACACTTCACTGGGCGGCGTGTTTCTAAAACTTGCGGCGCGAATATATAAATAACAAAACCAAAAGAATTCAACAACTTCAAATTATAAACGAATTTCGAAAATCCAAAATAACTTGTTTCGATTGTTTGTTAAAATTCATTTCCTTTACTTTTTTAAGGAATATTAAGGTTAATTAGACGATAATACGATTTTACATAAATTTCGCCCCATGTTTTAGAACCGGCCTTATGTATATTAAGTTGTTTACATCTTTAACGTTGCTTTGGAAACAGTCCTTCCAGTTCATCCGTCGTTTAAGTAGTAATAGTAAAGGCACTATCCTTGAATACCCAAATAGTTTCAGAGACCCCTATTTTCCGCAAGTTGAGGTACTGGGATGTAGATGAACTGGGCTGTAGTATTCTCGCTTATACACCCAAGGTATCAACCTGTTATGATTTTAATTTGTTCGACTTTTAAAAGACCATAAAATATATAGTATTTTAGGGTATTCTAAATATGTAAATATGTTGATCCAAAAATGTAACGATTCATTTGTTTCAAATATGTAAAATAATTTTGGAATTGGACAGTTTAACAGCGTAACACGAAAAAATGTGGCCTTTGAAAAGTGGTCAGATTAAAATGAAAGTAACACTTCATGTACCCCTTTTCTGCAGTGCTTTCGTTGCAAATTAATCAACCCGCTAGCTGCTGATAGATGACCCAAACTTTTGAATTTTTTCCGTATAGGTAAACCTCCCGACATCGCGTAAAATTTAGACGATCCGAACAATAAAAAAAAAACGAACATCACACGAATTCCAACTACACAGCATGTTTCACGTCATCGACCAAACGGCCGCGCTGCAATATACAATGACATGAAATTTGACAAAATCAAATATTCAGACACCATATTAAAATGGAAAGGAAACTGTTTATGAGGCATGATGCCTACAATTTTGCACGAAACTGGAAAAAAAATTAATTCGAGGAGTTTTTAAAGAATTTTAAGAACCTATCGATCCGTCAACAGGATCAAATAATATTTGAGTTTGTTTTCATGTCAGGATATATTTAAAAGTGAGAACGCTACCGATTGGTCGGCCCGTCATTTCGACGTAAGTGCATGCGATTCTTGCAAAAATCCAGATCGCTAGACGATTACGTAGACGGCGTGTAGAACGCGCTTGAACTGAACCAATCTGCGCATTACGTCGACACTCGCGAAACCTATCGGCTGCGTTTTAGGCCGACGAGCAGGAGTAGTGGGGGCACGAACCAAAACAACAACGGCGTCGCGCTGCCGGTGGGCCTGGCCGACGACCAGGCGAAAGATTTCGACTTTGAAAAGACTGAAATGAAATATGACAGCACGGGAATGTTCCATTGGAGTCCCGCGAAGAACCTCGAGGAGTGCATACTGGTAAGGCTAAGAAATACGTAAAATGAAAACTGCTTCACTCGAACTGACTGTGTTTAACCGTTACAGCCCTTAATATTTAAATGATCTCGTGTGGATTGAAAAGACGGAAAACTATGTTGTTTGGATGTTTCTTCTTGATCTGCCATATCCGTTTTTTACCGAATGTCAGCATATTAATTGATTGTCCGAGCCACTGTAGGTTTTCCAGCCAAGATATTCTTCTTGTTCCTGTTGGATGTTTCAGTATGTTTCATAACATGACCGAAATATGGGAGTTTCTTAATCTTGATGTTAGCAATGATTTCTTTTTCTTTTTTTCTTTTCATTCTGTTCATGAATGACTTCTATGTTAGTGATGTACATACATATTTCAAAAGTTTCCAGCATTTTTAAGTTAGTCTCTGTGAGAGTGCAAGATTCTACTCCATACAACAGGATTGAGAACACATAACATCGGGTACGCACACCACTTTCCTTATACGTGTGAACCTTGCTCTTACTTGTTCAATTCTGGATTTTATCTCCAGTGATATTAAATCTTCTTGACCCTTTCAAGTTTACTTTCTTTCTTTCTTTCGGTTTTTTAGTTACAGCCATAATTTTGATCTTTTTGATGTCAAGTTTAACACCGTAACGTTTGCATCTAGGAGTTTTTGAACATTAAAGGTTATCTGCCAGTAGAACGGAATTATCTGCTTATCGTAAGTTGTTTGTTATAACCCCATTTATTTTTATTTCTTTTTCGATATTTTCTATAGTTTCTTGGAATATTGTCTCCTAGTATAGATTGAAAAGCAATGGTGACAGAAGGTCTTACCCATCTTTTAATTAAGATGCTTTGGGTCATCTAATTTCCTATTAGCACATTTGCCTTTGGGTGGCAGTAAAGGTTGGCAATGATTCGCAAGTCCTTGTCACCGATTCTTGTTGTTTTTAGTATTCGAATCATTTTTTCGTGCTGCAGTCTGTCAAACTCTTTCTCGAAGTCAATAGAGCGCATAAATACATCGTAGTTCATATGTCGACATCTTTGAATTAGAACTTGAATGCTGAACAGAGCCTCCATTGTACCTAGGTCCTTACGGAATCCAAACTGAGTATCTTCAATGTGTTCCTCAATTTTGGGGTGAATTCTTTGGTGTATTATTTTTAGAAACAATGTTAAGACATGACTCATCCACCTTATGGTTCATTGCAATTTCTAGCGTTTGCTGATTTAGGAATCGGAATAAACAATCAATCAGATGGTACATCTGCTTTGTCGTGTATCAAATTAAACAACTTAACTAACAGTTGGTGTTTCATCTGGTCCTGTTGCTCTCTGGTTTTTTGCTAATTTAGTGGCTCTCTCTGTTTCGTCTTTGGTAATTGCTGATCGAGTTATGTTTCCTTGTACGCCATGATCCGTGTTTCGCTCATCTTTAAATAGCTCTTCAATATACTCTACCCATCTTTTTAGTTTTATGCTGTTATACTTATGTAATTGCTTTAACTTTCTTATATAGACTTCGATGAGTTCCATCTACTTTACGTTACGAATTGGTCGGTTTCAGGATCGCAACCAAGCGGCCATGACGGTACTGAACGGCCACGTGGTCGTGTGTTTGTTCGCCGATCCAGACTCGCCGTTGATCGGCCTGCGCAACCTGGTGATGCCGCTGCGCGCTAGCAACTTCCACTACCACGAGTTGAAGCACGTCGTCATCGTCGGTTCGGTCGACTACATACGTCGCGAATGGAAGATGCTCCAGAATTTGCCCAAGATCTCGGTGTTGAACGTGAGTTTCAACCCTTCCTTCCCAGCTAACAGTTAACGTTAATTTCACGTCAATTTTCGTACCTAGTCGTATATGTGATATGAGAAAAGATTTTTAATTTACCCTGTATCATTTAAGCAAGTCTAGCTAACAGTTTTAAGTTCAATTACTTAAAATTATTCACATAATATATCTAATTATTATTTGTTCTATATTATTTGAAATATGGATATGTTTAACAGAATTTGCCCAACTTTGTGGAGGGATGTTAAAAACTTCCGTTTCTATAAGTTTGAGGACATTAGAGTTAACACTGGGAAAAACATTGTTACGACAGATTTCAATTGGTGCCAAACATGTTCAATGGGATTAAATATACAGTGGCAAGGTGGAAGCCTTAAAACTGTATGCCCTGGATTTTTTGCATAATTATCACAGGCGTATTCGTTTTGCACATGTAGTTTTGGATTGTTGCTTTTGTGTCGCATGAGGAAGGGGTTTTAGTCTACTGTCTACTGTGATAACTTGCATTGTCCATTACAGTTACGCTATTAGGAGAAATGTTTGGAACTAGTTTGTTTTTAAACCAACTTTCAAATAAATCAGCTGTGGTGTCTTCACGGTAATCCAGAGAAGAATCTTTTTAGTAGAGAGAGAAAGTCCATTTGGAATCCAACCATCTTTGGAGCCAGCATGCCAAATAGTTATTTGGCATGCTGGCCGGGTATCATAAGTGTCGAACCAGGTTTCATCCAAGTAAATAATTTTCCTTTGTTGTTCTCTGTAAATCCTAATTTTTTCTAGATATTCCAGTCGCCATTTCCGAATTCTAAAAGATTCCATTAAAACTTGCCTTTCGACAATTTTTTTAAATCTAAAACCCATGTGTTGAATACACTTCCATAAGGTAGTTCTGCCACATTTAACACCGGTTTCATCTTTTTCAAGCCTCCTAATTAAGATATCTAATATAGGCATGCTTTGTTACTCGTAAAACTGGTAAATTTTACGCCGTATTATATCTTGAGCACTTTCATCTACACTCGAGCATCGCTTCTTTTTTTCCTCGCTAACCAAAACTAATCGCCGGCTTTGCAGGGCTCGCCTCTGAGCAGGGCCGATCTGCGAGCGGTAAACGTAAACCTCTGCGACATGTGCTGCATACTGTCAGCGAAAGTGCCGAGCAACGACGATCCCACTCTCGCCGATAAAGAAGCCATTCTGGCTTCGTTGAACATCAAGGCGATGACGTTCGACGATACGATCGGAGTTCTGAGCCAAACCAACGGTGACGGGGAAACCGGAAGCCCCGTGGGCAGCCCCATTATTTTGCAGAGGCGGGGCTCCGTTTACGGCGCTAATGTACCGATGATTACAGGTTCGTCGCCCACCCCAGGTCTCTATGACCATCCTACATATTCCTACCGCTCCTACTCTCGATGAAGTTATCATTCGGAAGTTCGATACCACCCTGGTATATATAAAATCTGAAAGAACCTGTAAAATTCAACCTAGTATAATACGACCAAAAATATAGTGCATTTATTACGATTTAAGGATTTAACCCCAGACCTTCACAGGAGCAAGGTAAAACCCAGACGTTTATTCTGCATTTAGTTGGTCTTGCCTGAGATGGACCGTAACGAATATTTGTATAAACTTGAAATTTTTATTTGAAACATAAAGGGAACGTTTTAAGCATTGATGCTGCGAGGGTATTTTCGAATAAATAGAAGCGTTTATTTTAACATCAGGTGATGTGCGTCGTTCTTAAGAGTTTAATTTAAATTGCAATATGTTCGAATATATTACGGAGGTATTTGACTGTGATCCTTCCAGTAAGTATGTATTTATGTACCTGATTCACGAGGTTTGACCCTGTGAGGCTGTTTTCACTGGATAGTTCAAAGGGTAAGGGTAAGTAAGTGTACTCTATTTACCTAACAGGTAAGTTTAAAAATCATAGTTCTTCGATTTGTAAACAATCATAGTATTATTTAAGACTATATATTATATTCGCGGTTCGGAAAACGGACATGAAACCTTGAGATTACCTCCATATTATATATTGATCTGAGTTGAAAGCGCATATTAGAAGAAATAACGCTGCACCAAAATTTACTGATGATACCATAAACGTAATTGCAAGAAGTAGTTAAAATATCAGTACAAAGCTGGTTTAACTGTGAAAAACGTGTAATAAAATAATAAAATGTTTATCGAGAACGATTAGGGGCGGAATTGGTCATTGAACTAAGTGACGACAATAGCGATAGTGATTTTTTAAATGAGTGATACTTTATTATTATAATATATTATTACATATTTTGCTTATTAATAATGAAACTATGTAGAAATGGTTACGGGTAAGTTCTATAAGGTTCTATAAGGGTTTTCGAGTAATAAACAGTAGGCAAAGTTAATCACGGGGTCGGTTGTAAAAGCACTATATTTCTGGTCCAAGTATCACTTAACATTTGTCCATTAGCCATCATCTTCCTCAATTTCAGAGTTGGTGAACGATAGCAACGTTCAGTTCTTGGATCAGGATGACGACGACGATCCCGATACCGAACTCTACCTGACGCAACCGTTCGCTTGCGGGACCGCGTTCGCTGTCAGCGTCCTCGATTCGCTGATGTCTACGGTAAACGAGGCGACGTTGCGTGCGGTGCTAACTTACCACGGTTTCGTGTTGATTCCAGACGTACTTCAACCAAAACGCCTTGACGCTCATCCGCTCTTTGATAACGGGAGGAGCGACGCCGGAACTCGAACTGATATTGGCCGAAGGTGCCGGACTTAGGGGGGGATACAGGTAAACTTTTTCCTGATTTTTTAATATTTTCACCTTGTAAAACTACTTGGCCATAAAATGGGATGAATTTTGTTTCCATATCTTAGTCCGAGAAGACTAAATGCTTAGTAACATCCAAATCACTTTAAATATCTGAGCGCAGAAATAACGACGACGCAAGAAACAATGAGAGCAAATAATGAAAGCGGCTCGAATTGTATTGAAGAACAAATACTTTAATACGAAGAGCAAAAACAAGATATAAAAAACGGCTATAACATACGCAACAGGAACAAGAGTAGATACAAACAGAACTCTACAAATGATGAGAACTGTTGAAATGAAAATATTAAGAACTATACAGGGTAAAACTTTGTATGATAGAATACGGAATGAGAACATCAGACAGCAGTCCGGAATACAAGACATAGGAAAGTGGGTGAGGCAAAGACGAAGGTTTTGGGACAAACACATAAAAAGAATGGGAGATGGCAGACTCGTCAAGAACTCAAAAATGAACAACCCAGTAGGGAAAAGATCTCAAGGAAGACCGCCAAAACGGTGGCGACAATGCTGGACGTCGTCTACCGGCGAAGACGTGTGGGCAATGAACAGGCAGTAGCCTACTAATATGGTATCCAGGTTAGAAAGAAGAAGAAGAATAAGAAGAATGTTAACAAAATTCACAACTTATCAACATTACGGTTTTATATCCCCAGAAAAGAAGGTGGCTTCTAAATATAAGCAAAATTTGCAGAAACCAGGTCTCTAGAATTAGTGCGACATTATGATAAAAACTTCACACCACTCAACACCAGGAAATACAAACTTGGAAATAAAAAGCACTTCATAGTGCTAACACTACAGGGCTATCTTTATCCTGAAACTTAGGGCTTTATGCTCACAGTACACGACAAGGAAAATCAACACCATTGATAAATGTAGCAATACTGGAGAATCAATAGAACACATCATGGGTGGGTCGAGCGCACTATATAGCAGATAATTATTATTTAGGAAGGCACAATCAACTGGCAAAAATCATACATCAGTAACTGGGCTTGGAATGGAAACTTTTGTCGAAAGATTCGCTTGCATTTTACAAATTTAAACCAAAATCAACTCTCGAAAGTAGGTCACATCTGCTATACTGGGAGCGTCCGGTACTAACAGATACAACGGTCGCTCACAACAGACCAGATATTTTCCTCATTAATACACAGGGAAACAATATGAGACCTACGGAAACTGAGCTATCCAGCTAAAACCAATCAGGCGTCTTAACGAATTAATCGTATGTCCATCACCGGAGGGAAATGTTACAAAAAATTTCAAGAAAACATCTTTGAGGCATAATAAAAAGCTGTAATACTCCAGGCATGTCACTATATTCGAAATTTTTTGAGGTTAGTACCTTAGTACCTACAGTACCTTTTGCCGCCGGTTATACAGATACGTCTGCAGAAACGTTTTAACGTATATAAAAAAAGTTGTTTTTCTATTTCTTGATGCCAGTACGCCGGACAGTTTATCGAACCGGGACCGATGCCGCGTGGGCCAAATCTCTTTGTACGACGGGCCACTCGCCCAATTCGGCGAAACGGGGAAGTACGGCGATCTATTCGTCGCCGCTCTCAAACAGTTCGGCATGCTGTGCATAGGCCTGTATCGGTTTCGCGACACCAGCTCGTCGTGCGACGCGAGCAGCAAGCGTTACGTCATCACGAACCCGCCCGACGACTTCCAGCTGCTGCCCACGGATCAGGTGAGCACCGCAACGTTGCCGCTTCGGCGTCGCGAATCTCTCCCCTTGCAGGTATTCGTACTGATGCAGTTCGACCCCGGCTTGGAATACAAACAGGTGAAGGGCGGGCGCGCGGGGACGGGCCAAGGGGGCGGCACCGGCGGCGGCGGCACCAATAAAGACGAGAACTCTTGACTATTGTTGTGTAGCGCCCTCACAGACGGACCCTACTCCTATATATAAACCAAATATGTTGCAAGGTCCAAGACGATTGTTACACGACCCACCATTCCATTTACTTTTACGTTTAATTAATACGCGATTGTTTTTATACGTACATCGGTTTGGATGAGTTTCGTTTAAACAGCCTCAGCGTCCCTTTTTTACTTGCTATATTTTACTTTCTGTTCCGTGGGTAACGTAATGTACTTAACTGTGAAGGCGCTACACTAACCAAAATTTTTCTTCTTCTTAAAATCCCAGCGTCGCCGGGCCGTTAGACCGCCGACATTCCCCTCCGCTACGATCCAGCATAGCGGAAAAATTGGCGGCAGAAATGACGTTGACGTTAACGTAACTTACATGAATTTTATAAAGATGTTTATTATAGCGTATATTTTTACAACGGAGAGGCGATTTTCGTGCTTATATACATATATTGCTGGATAGCGTTTGCGTTGCGACGCAACTCGCAAGACCGTTTCAACCGTGTCGCCACCAAAATCATGCCTTATATACGAACTAAAAATCGGGTTACTTTTTGATATTTAAGATATTTTTTTATTGATTGATAAATTTAGCCAAAAATTTCCTTTTTTTATGCCCGATTTTAGTGACGACACGGTATAAAAATTACGTAATCGTCGAACCAGATACAACGTACGCGGAGCTTTGTAAATAAAAAGCGAGCTTCTGCGCATCGGCGCTGTTGTCCGACCGACCGCTAAAGCGTCATTCGAATATGGCGCGTCATGTCTCGGCTAGGACAACCAAAATTTTGACAAGAGACAAATGAGTAGGTCGTGGACATACGTCGCGCTTTGCTCTGGCAAAGTTTTGGTCGCAGAATAAACACGACACAGAAGCGACAAAATGTTGTGTCAAAATGTTTCGAGTGAGAAGTGTGAGGCAACTGTCAAACCGGTTCCGTTGCCTTTTAATCCTCTGTCGTATATCGTTGCCCGGGGTTGGTGATTATTTTGGGCTTTTCGTTTGTTGTGTTTACTTACTGAAAAGAAAACGTGAAATGTGCCGAAAGACATTAATTCATTCATTCATAAGATTGTTTACTAATTCAAAAGGTTAAAAAGTTATATGTATAATATGCATTTCTTTTAATCTATATGGTTAAAGGCCTGCTATCGGTTAGACTTGCCTCCTAGGGCACGTACATTACCAAGGCTATTTTGGAGACAAATAAAGTCTCCTATTGTTTAATGTTAAAGTATATCTGTTTTCCATTTGAGGAGTAAATTGAACCTTAAAATTCTCTCTGCATAATATGGGGTAAGCGTGACGTCAAATAAGCAATGTTATTGTGCTTTTCTTGTCGCTTCTGTGTGGTGTATATTCTGGGGTTTTGGTCGCCTAGCTTAAATTCCGCAGAGGTGGGTGAAACCGATATTTTTTCGCAAAAGACTGTCGCGCGATTCAATTTTTCGGTTAAACGATATTACCATGATGAATTAATAACGTTGTTGACTCTTTTAGAAGTATAATTGTCGTAATTAGTTCGGTTGACTAACACGTGGAATTGTAAGATATGTAAATTTTAGCAAAACGTTTAAATTGTGATATTGTAAATACATCAACATATACCGGGCGTTTTGTTTACGAACGCTTGCAGATCGAGTTGTATATAGGTATATAATATAGTTTTGTTTAGCAATATTGACTGTGAATATTTGTTATGTCTACACGCTGGATCGTTTTTATACGTGGGGTTCCGTTCGTTTGTTTTTTAATTTCTAAGGCGATTACCGCGAAAAACCCATCTCTGTCGTACCTACTAAATAGCGTTTTAATCAATGTCGTGGATGTTTTTAGGAAACCATTCGAACAGACTGACTTAAATGTCGAAATCTAGCTGATCGCATAACATAGTTTATTTCGCAACTTGTGAAACTCACCCCACAAATCTTTTCACATGAGTGTCTTAGACGGTATATTTGAGATTTATTCAGTTCCCAAATTGAGCAACCACTTTTGTAGTGTTTAATTATTGTTGATTAAATTTTATAATAAGATGTTTCTTGTTTTATTCCGGGATCAATGCGCTAAATATCAGAAATTTAAAAATATAATCAAAATCAGATATTAATAATCTAAATTTACTAATAAGTATAGTTTTAGCGTTCATTTTCATTCCATCATCCACAAGGTAAATAAAAAAAAAGTAAAGATAGGTTTAACTTTTAACATCTAACCTTAAAATTAGATTAATAAATTCACTGGTTTTTTGTTATTTTAATTATCGCATATGGTTCTTGTTAGGATCAAATGTGTTCCAAAAGTAAGATGACTTTTATAATTGCTCGAGCTACGTACATTTGATCTTCGATATTTATTTTTATGTTGGTACACATGTCCCTAACATATGTTCACAATTTTAGCCAGTGTACATGTTTACTTTTTTTTGTGAAACATCGTTAGAGGTGTTTGTGTGCTGATGAAAGCTTTGAAGAAGTGAAACAAATGGTATTAAAAAATCGTTGAATCACTATTAGAGAAGTGCTTAGTTAGTGCTTAATTTTGAACAAAAGGACCGTCGAAGGAGCATCATTCAAGAGCTGTTAAGCGACGTCAATGATTATCCTGATATGCTCAAAAAGGTCATAACTGATAACGAATCATGGGTTATCACGTCGAAAGCAAAGCCCAGTCGTCCCAATGGAACAACCCAGAATCGCCAAAACCGAAAAAGACACGCCAAGCTCGATCAATTGTTTTAGTTACTATTTTCTCTGTTGCCTCAGCCACCATATTCACCGGATATGGCCCCCTGCGACGTTTTCCTGTTCCCAAAACTTAAGGTTTGGAGCGTTGAGGAGATAAAGAAAAAAATCGCTGGAAGAACTTAAGGCTATACCAGAAGTGCTTCAAGGGGGCAACATTTTGATGAATAAATAAATACTTTTTGATAAAACTTAAAAGTCACCTTAGTTTTTTGACAAACCTCTATTGTAAACAGAATTCAGAAAGTGCAAAAAGAGTGTTTATGTTGGATTTTTGCCAATGGAAGAACAATTTCATGAAATCGTTTTTTTCCATAATATATTTTTAAATCCTACGCTTCTGTATCTTTTAGAAAAAATAAAATACATACACACTTTAAATCTTTGATATGGAGGTCTCACTTCTTCTCAACGTTTAAAAGCGCTGTCTGAAAGATTTTCCTACGGTGCTTACAAAGGTCATAGTATTCTGTTCTCAATAACATAAAAAAATAATACCACATCTTTCAGAAAAAAAATGTAAATCTTTATCATCATCGATCAATTTATTATCCATAGATAATTAATGATTTGTACACATGCTATGAGATTCAGTATGTATCGTGACAAACTTAAAAATTACGGACTGGACTTCTTTTTTAACTTGTTTTGCAGTCCCAGCCTTTAGTTTACTGCAATTACTATTATTATTAATTCCCATAGTAACATTCTTAAAGTTCGTTTTTTTTTCAAATATCTTTGAAATTTTTAATATCCTTTAAAAACTGGTGGTCAACAGTCATCAATATTGTAATTAAATTTTGTAGAACCGTGTATATATTATCAGAATAAGAACTAAGATTTGGAAATTTTGGGTGGTCTTCAACCCTCCAACGTACGTTAGTCAATTTTTCGAATATTTCCAATACACTCCTGCATATTATAAAATCAGACGCGTCGCGTTTCCTAATTATAAAATTACAAATTTTCGTAACACCCCGTATATTCACAAACAAACCGCATCCCGTTTAATTATAACGTACCGTTCGACTACCATAGTTCGCAAGAAATCTACACACGTTTATCATCTGCTGCTAAACGCGATATGGTCCAAAAATTTCATCAAGTCTTTTTTAAGGGCAATTTCTGACACGCTAGATCTAACACTCGCCCGATTTCTGGGCACCGCCGAAACCGACCGGAACTGGTTCGCTATAGGCGGCAGAGTTAACAGTTTTCCTCCTCGACGTTCCGCTCTGATGTCGGAAAAACCATTTCCGACGTCACGATCGTCGAGTCTCGCAGTCAAATAAGGCAGACCTTGCGGGATGACGCTCCGACCTCGGGCAACGTGCTGACGTAATCGCGTGTTTTGCAGAGAAGTGGCGCTTTGTTTTCCGATAGTCTGTGATCCCCTCGGTTTGAGCAAATACTTGTTTTTCTCGAGTCGCACGTCATCTACGTCGGAACCGACCCAGGTATCGGCAGAATTGGTATTCGACTGCGTATAACCTAAAATTCTAATCGAGGACGTATAAAATGGCAGCCGGTCGACAGTCAAACGTCGCGCGTACCTTAAATTTGGAAATAAAGTTTTCCATTCTTCGATTTCTTCTATGTCGTAATCCTGTGATGTCTCTAAACCGCGAACTACCTTGTCGAGGTGTTCCAATTTCGATTGAACTTTCTTAGTAAATTCCGTTTCGAATTCGTTGCTCCAGCTGAGCGAGCTGTTCGAGCTGAGATCGACTAGTTTGCTTCTCCCCGCAATCAGATCGTTCACTTCCTCGCTGTCGGGACCGCCTTCGTCCGATATGTAAAGTTCTGGAGTTTCGCGTATTATCTCTCCCAGAAACTCGATGTAACGGGAGGCGGGTTTCACATTTTCTGGCGATTGGAAGCCGACGGCTATATCTTCGAAACGGTGCGCTACGTTGCGAGTTTTCTTTTGGATCATTTAGGGTTTCGAATCAGGTTATCATGCTGCCGGAGCGCAGGAAACTCGCTCCATACAAACAAATTTTGCATCGCGAATATTGATTAAATACGGGTGTGTGATACAAACCGATCGATATGTGGCACAACCGACCAACACTTAGTGTAACCGAAGCAGTGTTGCCGATTAAATTGAATTTAGAGCAACTTTTTTGGACTGCTGGTAAAAGTTGGTTGAGAGTGTTAATTTGATCTAGTAATCGAGCCAAAGGCATCTTCATAAGCATAGTTTTTAAACCAAGACCAATCAAAGAACAGTTTAATCTATATATCATTTTTCTCTATTGGCAAAAATTTAAGCTGTTGCCAACACCGATCCGAAAACGTAACAGTACTATTCTGTGCCATGTATAGAGTTACCCCATATAGCTCCTACACAAAAAACGCCAGGACCTAGAAACACTATTCTTATTCATTTATTATCTTTATTATTGAAACCAGGGATCGAAAATCCTAGCAATGAAGATGTGATCAATGAAAAAAGACCGATCGAAATGAGAATCGACCCATACGATTCATTGCAATGATAAATTCAATTTTAACCATTGTCACGAATTATCCAGATCTACTGGCAACATTCAACAACCAACATGTCTACTGACAGTTCTTCAATTCGACAGGTTTTAGTTTAGATGTAGCAGTTTTATGGCAATATTCTCTCAAAATATGTCTCGTTAAATAGGGGAAAACGAGTTAATTGTGTGAAGGTTACTGTTTAGAAAGAAACTGGCGCAAAATGCAGGTTAGGAAATATAAATTATAATTTTTGCTGTACTAATTGATCTTGTCCTATTTCGTGATTTTTGAATTAGATTTTATGCTTACGTTTTACGTAGCTGCTTACCTATAGAAAAAGCAAATTTAATTATTTTGAGACCTAGATTAGGTATAGGTGAAACACCACTTGTCCTAAAGATAGGTTGATATAAAATGCGAATATTGCGAAGAGCACAGAGCACTACATTCTTAGGTTTACAAATTAACGAGTTTCTAACATATTGAGTATTTGCTAAATAAATTAAGTTATTTTTTGAGGAGGTAGTGGTCAACTATCGAAAATGTTCGTGGTTCAAAAGAGGACTCTTGGTAGCTTCGAAAAAATGCAATTTAAAGAGAGCTGCAGAAGGCTGTTCCAAGGCCTTAGGCATATTCACGGTGTACGCTTTATATATTTATGAAGCATTGATATTCTTTGCGGATATAACACCAGATCCTTGAATGGAAATGACCCAATTCACCGTTTAACATTAACTAAAATGAGTTACTGTTACATGTGCCTGAGATTATATAATACATTATGAAATTATGTAACAGCAATTGCAAATCTAAAACTCTTTAAGTGCACTATAAAAAAGTTACTAACAGATTTAGCACCTTACTCTCTAGAAGACTTTTTTCTATAGTGTTTAATTACTGATTAATTAATACAATGTAGGTAAATGAAATTTTTTTTAGAATCTAGCATTTTTTCCTTTTTTAACATCGATTTCCTTTGGTGAAGTAAAATTTATTATTATAATTATTAGGAAAGAGATTGCCTTTATCATCTTTGCGACTCATGTGTGGATTTTTGTGTTTGTTCACGCCGTTTCTTAACAATAACCGTAGTGTCGACAAAATTGATGTTTTTGCCAGGTGGTGAAGATAATTTTTATGTGTATTGTGTTTCATTCTTAAACATTTTTTAAAGTTGGTACTGTGTCGCATTGCTCAGGATCGATTTTTTTTTCGTCGCATTCGGATACTTTCATCGTTGTCACTACGAAAAATAAAACTACAAAAAAACCCTTTCTATACGTTTATTATTGTAAAGTAACTCAAAAAAAAAAAACAACTTTCCTCCACTCGAAACTCACACAGTACTACAATAACACTAATCGGAATCACTAGCGCTCGATTCGTAATCGCCCACGTCAATCGAAAACTTGTACTCCTGATCGCATCCTAAATAGGCGTCGCTCATGAAATACAGGGTGTAGCCGTGATGACCCGGACTGGGCGCGACGAAATCCAACTTAACCCGGGCTTTCTGCTGCAACGTCAGCCTCTTGATGGACAGCAACGAGTTAGTTTTCGGATCTCCTATGACCACCCACCAACCCTCTTCTCGTTTCTGGAAACAAAGTCAAGTCAATACGTCACACCTTGAGACCTGTTTTACGCTTACCTGTGGAAAGAAGGGGGCGATGACCGGTCCATTAACCTCGTCCTCTCTCTCCAATTGGACCGCGATGTGCACCGAGTGTCCGGACCTGATCGCGTCTTTATCCAACACCTCGTAGCTGAGTTCGATGTTGGGATACCTGTTGCAAAACCTGGCGACGTCCGCCATTTCCGAATCGGACAGTCCGAGCAGCTTGGTCCTGTCCTCGTCCTCGAGTTCCATTATATCGAACACCGTTTCGACTCCTTTATCGTGACACCTCTTGATAATTTCGGTCGTAAAATGAGGCAGTTGTTTCAAATAGGAATCTTTGCTCCACATCGCTTGGGTCACCATCTGAGCCAGTTCCATGGCGGCGACCGCAGGCGACAACCACCCGTTCGAGCTCAACACGTCGACGCACGCCTGTATCAGCCGTATCGCTTTGCCCAGTACCACTTCGGTGTCTCCTTGGAGCTCGGCGTTCAGTTGGAGCCGGCACAGGTGCGCTTGCAGCAACAAATTCGTTTTGACGTGCGGATCGTTGAATTTAGGCGAAGTCAACTTGTTGGGCAAGTTTTGGGCGAGCTGACGGAGGATGTTGTCCTCGCGGTGACGCACTGGGATGTCCTCGTATTCGGCGGCCGAGGAAATGATCTCCAACAGGCCGCGGATTTTGGTTTTGTTGTTCAACGACAAACTGAATAGTTCTAAAACGTACGATCGACTATAGGGGGCGCCAATTGTTACATGTAGGGCGGAAATTTTTTCGAGCGCTTTTTTTAACGCAGTTTGTCGAAATACTATTTACAAATTTTCTGGCGAGACATGAGTGAGTCAGAAGATTAGTAAATGGTAAACTATTATTGACTATCTAAGACCCTCCTATGAAATGAACCTGCCATGCAGGAATGAGTGGGCTCAGTTTAAGACTGATCTTATGGGGGCAAGACATCATTGGCATATTGATGAATCCAAAATACATGAAGGCGCTACGGATTGCAATTTATAAGCAGCACCAACAAACGATCTTTGCTTACTCCCCAACATATTAAAAGCGGAAGTACACGTGGTTGAGATCTACGCTGGAAAGGAAGCAATGAGGCAGCACTGAGGGCGTTAAAAACCCCCTCACAATGCGCATCTAAAATTGCAAAAAAAATGTCATGTTAGGGAAAAAGGCAGACACGTCACTACTTGGTCCACATTGGTCCTATATCACGCTAATCGTCAAGGAATGCAGTCAAAGCCTGAATTCTAGCAAGCTGGCCGCCGCGATTACCAGGGTGAGGATCATAAAGTAACAAATTAAATCTTAAAATTATCTTAAAAATATAGACTGAACACTACAGCCTCAAATACTACATGCACAAGGTCGGCTTGGTCAATGACAATGAGCGTCGGCTGTGGGAAGAATGAGTTACTCAAAACTGAGGACCGAAACCGTCAGACTTAAGGATATTTCATAGAATTAGGACTTTGTACATGGATTCAGTCAGATCATCAGCTTGCAGCGTAATACCGGAAGATACGCCACAGACAATAAATCCTTAATCCTATTTCTAATTAAAGTGGAGAGGAGTCCATAAAAATGGTGCTCAATTATTTCACATTCTCAGCTTCTTAACACTTACCGATCGTGGTGTAGTTGATATAGTAGTACGCGGCGATCATTCCCAAATTCAAGGGAACGCAGTCCATGTCGTCCTCGATGCTGATACACTTGGACTGCTCCAAGTCGGACAAAGTGTTCTCCACCAATTCGGATAAGTGGTCGGAGAGGTGCCTATGCGAGACCCCCTGCAAGTTGTAATAGTTCGGATTCTGGGTCAATCTTCTGTAGAGGAACGTCCACGTTAGATAATCGACCGCGTCTTGCTTATTCTCTATAGTTTTGGTCACGATTTCCGCGTTAAAATGGTCGTGGAGCCTGTGGTCGAGATGGCTCTCGACTGGTAACGGATCGCTCAGGAATTTCTTGAAGAAATCCTTCCTCGAACTCTGACACATCAGCACGCACTTGGCGTCGTCGTCTTCGAGGGGCCGGTTAGCCCTGCCCACCATTTGGAGGACGTCGGTGACAGGATACTCTTCGTACGCGTGAATTTTCCCGTTGAAAAACTGCGTGTCCATTATGATGACGAGGTAGGCGAAGATGTTTACTGCCCAGCAGAGGTCTCGCGTGACGACTGCGATTTGAACCGCACCAGAATCGAAAAGTTGCTCGACCAGTCTCAGGTCGCTCGCCGACAAGCCCTCGTGCATGTAAGCTATGCCTTGAGACAGCGTCTCTTTTAACGCCTTCGAGTAGAAAAGAAGAACGATTTGTTTTGACATTGAAGGTGTGTATCAGCAATAGTTGTTATGAGGTCATACACTAATATTACTTTTCACAAAACTTCTAGATTCCTCCTGCGTCGATTTTTGTTGAGTCAAACTTGCTAACATGTTGCCAATCATCCTGATTTACCATTGAATTAGAAACTAACAATAACCTCCCATTCTCAGATATTCTTATCAATAGAAACACTGGGGCATTGTGTTTATAGAAAATCTACGCACACAGACCGATCCAAAATTATCTTAAAATTATCTTTTGTTTACAGAGCCGTAAAACTATCTCAGGCTGAGTCACTGAACCCAGAATGAAAACACTTTACCTCTGCTCTTCTCTCTAATAATTTCCACATTAAAGATAATAAGCGTTCCATTACAAAATACACTTCACCACAACCATCCAATAACAATGAGGCCGAAAGCAATACCACACTTGCCACTGTTGTCCTTCTTTACATTCAAAACATCACTGACCACAGATCAAAAGATCTAAAGAAATATAACGTCAAAACCAGGTTTACCACTTACCCAAAAATCTCTGAAGACAAAATTCCATTTGAACATTACATACATACATTGGAGAGACCGGACGAAAAATATCAACCAGGCTCAAAGAACATGAAAAGTCGTTAAGACTACGATGAATAAACTCATCAGCAGTTGCACAATCACGAAACCGGACATAAAATTTTATTGGACAAAACTAAAATTCTTGCATGTAATCAATTCTTCTACCAACGAAAAGTCCGAGAGTCTATAGAAATCTATAAGCAATTTTACAGTCTTAACCGCGACTCAGGTCTTTACCTGTCACCAATATGGGAATCAGTCATCCGAGACGGTGTTTATGCTTCTCATTTAGCTCCGCCTCCCTCATACAATACATAAGCAGATACAGAGTAAAATGCGAGCCAGTTTCATTCAAGCTCTGAAGAAGTCAACAGGATGATTGGCGAAACATCAGCAAGTTCGATTCAGGAAAAACCGATGCAGGAGGAATAAAGAAGTTTTGTGAAAAGTATTACGACGGCCCATGAAAGTTTCATTGAAAAATGAATAATAATATTAATAATAATTTTTCAAAGGCACTTAAAACATATATTAAAATAGCCGTAAGAATCAAACTTAAAAGTGTAGAAACGCTGAGTGTAAAACGATTGGTCTTCTTTATAAATGTTACCATTCTTCAGAGCTCTAATGTGTCTAGGCAACATTCTACGTGCCTTAATTGCCATAAATTATGTTCCAGGCAATAACATAACTAATGAGGCAAAATACAGTGATGGAACTGTTAATATTTTAAAAAATAGTCCTGCTGTTATGTTCGGGTGAACATTCGAAGGACAAACCAGCACTGGAAATGTCAGACTACAGAAAGACACATTGGATGGGTTCTAGAACGAGCCTATTATCAAACAGATCCTTTAATACCTTACTGCTTCAGAGTAGCACCCTTAAAAAATGGAAAGTGTGAGCGAAAAGGTGTCAAAAAATAGACTTCACTTCTCTTTAAATTTGATTCTCGGTAGTGGTAGCTTCCAAGTGTCCTTAATTGTCCAAAACCTATTAAAACCACCCCTTATGCACTGTACCACCCACACCCCCAGCAACAGAACACAGCAGATAGCACTTACCTTATCCGACATTCTGTCCAAGAAAGGCTTGATGTCCTCCTCGTCCGCGTGGAAAAACTTATCCGATTGGCCCTCCGCAGTGGCGTACGTCAGCAGATCGATGGCCGTCAGTCTCGCTTGTTTCCTGGCCGGTACGAAGACGATGACCGGTTTGTGCGGGCTGTGGCGTACGATCGTATTGTAAACCGGTTTGCCCATCGCTATGAGCCTCGACGCGTTGTGGGTTAGATTGAAACCCTGCACGTGGAGCTCGAGCGGTACCGGTCTCACGCTCGGGTGAAAATTGAACGTCGCGTTCGAATTACACCCGAGCCACTGCGAAACGTCTTTGTAGTCGGCCAACGACGCGCTTAACGCGACTATCCGGATCGGTTTCTCGATTTGCGACGATATGTACCTGAAATTTTTGTTTTTATTGCGCATACGCATTTTCGACGCTTTTTTTACACTCCTACAGACCGTGACGCACCCGCCTTTGAAATAGGCAATCCAAATCAAAATGTATGGTCATTTTAGAATATTTCGCGCACCCTGTCTAATAGTCGAATCCCAAACCCAAAATGGTAGTTTTCCATCAGATATCTCGGTACAATATGCGAAATTTGTAAATATGAAAACTGAATATTTCGACTGCAAGCCAAATCGAAGCCTTCGTCAAGATTTTTCAGTTACAGCATCTGAAAGCCATAAATTTCGGGAATTATTGGTTTCTTGCTCGTAACCGACCAAACCTGTACGTTTTTGAAAAAATCGTTAAGAGGAAAACTTATCTCGTGCATTCTCTTTCAAGAATTTTTTCGATCAAATTTACAGTTTTCGAAAAAACAACACGCCTGTGCTCAAGGAAAAAAAAAACAATGAATTTTTTTAAATCCTCCTAGATTTCACATCCCTCACAGTTTCGATTGCTTCCACCTGGGGAGCAAACTCTACCCTCCTGCAGAATTTCAAGTCGATATCTTTAAATTTTGGACAGTTTTAATGTTTTCTAGCGATTTTCGAAAAAAATCTCAAAATCGTCAATAAGAGAGCCATTTTTTACTAGGTTCTGTGGCCCGTGCAGAATTAAAAGGTGTCAAACTTTCAAGTTTCATTCTAAAACTGAAAGTTATCGCTTTTTTGAAATATCTCGGAGAACAGAGAAACACACCAAAAACAATTCAATGTCAATAATTCGGACCGAGGTTTCAATTGCATTTTTAATCCGGATCTGTGTTTTTAAGCGTCTACTGAATTTAAATATGTTAAATAGCTTGCTAAATTTGGCCGGGGATTCACATAAGCATGGTTTATATGTAACATATGGCGTCTAAAGGTTAATTGCATAAGTGTTTAGTTATTGGTTTTAACAAGGTACATACATATTAAAAGAAAACATATTACACTAACAATAAAACAAAAGTTTTATATATTAGAACGACTAATTCCTGGTCAAAATTGAAAAGTATGGGCAAATCAGTAGGGTGTATGAACATCAACAGATTCAGATATAAAAAAGAACCAAGAATTATTATTATTATTTTTACGGACTACACACAATGATTGAGACATATTTTATGTTTTACACTAAAACCTACACAAGGGCTAGTGGAGGGTGGATTTCTAATATCAGAAAAAGGCATTGTCTACGTGCTTTAAAAGTGTACGTAAATAAGATAAAACAATTCAAACTTACAGGAGAAGACTGCACCAGGGGGTAAAATAAGCAAAGATCGCGTTAGTTAGGCTGTTAGTTGGAAAGCTTTCAAAAATGCGAACATACCTGTTGAATATTAATAACCTGCCAATGCATGGATGTCTACAGCAATTTTTGTACATTGGTTTCATCACTCTTTTAGTCAAGTAAAAGTTATTTAAGAAACCTCAATTTGCTTGAAAGAGCCTTGCAAATTGTCGATAAGGATAGGCAATTATACAACACTTTTGCTGCCTATTTTAACCCATATTTTATCTAATAGCCAAGAAAATTTGAACGATACTATATGTCTACTATGCAATATTTGGGAAAAAGTCTTTTGAATTGTGAATTGCGACTATTATCTGCCTTCTTCTGATAAAGAAGTAAAAAGTAAAAAACGTTTATGCTAATTTTGATTTTTTTTTTGTTACTTGTTTTTTGTTAATTAGATTTGTTACTGGAAGACATAGATGGTGCTGCTGATGAACAACATGGGAGTGACAATGAAGATACAAAATTAAATGATACAAACAACACTGATGCGCGAGTTTTACTGTGTGCACAAAGTGGACTGAAGAAAATAACATTCCACTAAATGATGTTCTTGTACTTCAAAGATGGAAATAAACAACATCGTTCCATATCGCGGCCACGCCCCCAAAATTTGCGTTACTAACCTCATTCTGGAACAAACTACCTCGATGACAGGACCGTCCTCCCCGCCGATCAAATGCAATTCGTCGACTATAAAGAGGTTGATATTCTGGACGTTCTTCCGCTGCTTCCAACGTCTGGATAGCACGTCCCACTTTTCCGCGGTGGTGATGATCACCTGACCTTTGGCGAGTAGTTTCAAATCGGTACCCGTCTCACCCGTCAACAGCACCACCTTTTTGCCCAACGTCTGACCGAACTTGTTGTGCCAATCGGCAAATATCAACTCCGCCAACGCGTCCTTGGGCACCAAATACACGCACCTTCCGTCGGGGTTCTTGTCGAACAGGCGCAGAATCGCGAACTCCGCTATGGTCGTTTTGCCGGAGCCGGTCGGCGCTCCGACGAAGATATTGTCGTCCCCGTTGTACACCGAGTTGAATACCTGGGTCTGGATGGGGTTGAACTGGGGGAACTTATCGCCGTAAAGAGATTCGTATTTTTCGTTCCTCAGGGCCGTTATGGGAAGCGGTTGCAGGTCCAGTAACTCCGTCGGTGGGAAGTTCTTTTCGGGAAGGATGAGGTGCCTAGAAATGGTCAGCTCTAGAGCCAGTGCAAAGGTTGCGCTGCCTAATGGTGACTGGCTCTTACACCTTAAGACCTTAAGATTATAGGTCCTGAGAAACTGAAAGCCGGGGACAAAGGGGGCACCTTGCTATCTATTACAGGCGGGAATCAGGAAATCCTCTCTATAAGAACCGAGAGTATTGAGGCTGATCCTTTCATACATCATGCAGAATGAAGATCCCTATAACGGACGACTAGCTTTGTAAAAATGTAAATATGCTTGTACCTCACAGGTCTGGTACACGGATACGTGCAAAACAGATACAGGGACAGAAGCTAGTGAATATGCCCGCTCTCCTGGAGTACTAGGATATATGTGACTCTCGGGATCTACCCCCAGTGTATTTTAAACATAGATTTATGGTATTGAGAGCAACGAGATGCCTACCAGGAAGTGTGCTGAAGTGCTTTCGGCACTTGGAGAGTTCATCGGGATTGAGGCAGTCAAGGGTTCTAAGTGAAACCAAAAGTGGGCTTTCAGTCTCTGTCGCGCACTACTACGAACGCTGCTGTGAACCCTATTTAAACTCCCAATGAAAGAGATAATGCACTTTCTTGAGAGGACAGAGCTGATCTAGGGGAGGGAGTGAAGATGTATGGTCTTAACAGATCGAAAGGTTTGAGGTAGTTAATAAAACTTTAATTAGTATTAAATCTAACGCTCATGGCTAAGACAGCATTAATATAAAAATAATTCTTTTGACTACTTCACATTTAGTGTCTGCTGACCGGGATTTTTCCGGACACATGGAAGCAAGCTGAAGTTATACCCGTTCCAAAGAAAGAGTGTCCAAATAGCATTAACAATTTTAGACCACTCAGTTTGCTGCCAACCATCTACAAAGATAATTGAAAAAATTGCAGCTAAACAACTTCGTCATTTCCTATGCGATAACAAGATCCTCCCAGACACTCAATCTGGGTTTCGACATCTTCACAGCACTACTTCTGCCTTGCTTCACGTTACTGGTGATTTATTGAGAGCAGCGAATTCTAAATTAAACTCTTGTCTCATACTCCTGGACTACAGCAAAGCGCTCGACACCTTGGATCATTTCCTTCCACTAGCTAAATTGGAATTCTTCGGGATAAAAGTTACTGCTCTTTCTTCCTTTAAAAATTTTCTTGGTCAGAGAGACCAAAGGGTAGTTATAGGACATACTCATTCGGATGCTATTGCTTTGGAGAAGGGTGGTCCCAGGGGAGTATTCTGAGACCCATTCTGTTCTCAGTTTATACAGCTGACTTCTCTACTTTTCTTAAATTTTGTAAATCTCATCAATACGCCGATGATACTCAGTTATATCTTTTGTTGCTAGTGAAGCTTTAAATGCCGCTACTAAAATAAATTTAGATCTAAAAATAATTGCGGAGGTATCTGCACAAACCGCAGATGTTATTATTTGGAAATAAAAGTTAAGATATTGTAAAAAACGTCTCTTTTAAAATTACACTAAATGATGAGATTATCTCTCCTTCTTCAGACGGGTATAAAAATTTAGTAAAAATTTGGTGGTGACTTGCGGTTTTCTAAGTAAATTCTTCTATAAGTTAAGGACATTGTATATTCATAAACATTTTGTCAGTTAAATTATTTAATGAAATTCTTTATGCTATAATTATGACAATTATGGTGTTGGTGCTGTGCGAATGTCGCCACTCTTGTATTGTTACTTATATTGTAATATTTTGATTTTCAATAAAGACAGTTTATTATTATTATTACTATTAATTGCAGCGCCCTGATTATTAGAAACCATTGGAGATAGAATAAGAACTATTAACGAATAAATACTTACTTGAAAGATACCGGCAACTGAGTCTCAGCACCGATCCATCTGTCCGACACGATCCTCAGGAAGTAATGAGGCGCCAGCGGTTCGAAAATGGGCACGTAAAACTTAACCAGGTGCTCGTCCTGACAGTACTTTGCCTTCAGGAAGAAAAACTCGTGGTGAAGCACGACCTCCGAGTCCACGTCCTCGACGAAGATCCAAAAGGCTTCAGCGTTGCCGTGGAGGCGGTCGTCCCATTGGAAATCCGGCGTGATGGTCAGCTCGACCTTGAGCATCGACCTCGTGATCGGCTGGATGTGAGTGGACAGCTCGAGCTTCGGGAACTGATGGATGTATTTGTGAATCGTTTTGCCCAATTTCGGTACCCTAATCAGTTCACCGATCTCGTTGGGGCCTAAGTCATACAACCTTTCCCACGGGAAATACTTTTTCTCGATCTTTTTGATGATTTCCTCGGGCATTTTTTTGAACTGCCTCAGCGGCGACATCGACTGCCACATCCTTTTGTCGACCATCTTGCATAAGGTCAACACTTTCTCCGCCAGCTGGGCCCATCCTCGATGAAGGACGATTTCAAAAATGGCCCTTATCAGACGCGATGCGGACTGCGTGACGTACACCATGTCCGACATCAACGCGAAACTTTCCAGCTTCAGCTGGGAAATGTACGCCTGCAGCAGCACGTTGACTTTTGCGCTGGGTTCCTCAATACTCTCTTTTATCGGTATCGGTACCCGTTCCATCAACTTCTGCAATTCACCAGGCTCTCCTTCTCTAACGGCGATGTTTTTAAATTCGCCGGACAGGGAGAACACCCTGAAAAGATCGATGTCGCTCAAATACGGTTTCAGCAACTGGTTGTACGTCAACATGGTCTCGTGGGTGCAGTAGTACTGGGACGCGATGCGGCCCAGTTCGGTACTCTGGAACTGCTCCGATTTTCTGTCGTATTTGACCAAACCGCTTCTGTCTAGGTGCAGGGCCGCGGTATGAACCAGATCGGCGCGGTGCTGTTCCAACCGTGGATCCTCTTTCTTCTGGTCGTGCGATATGCCGTACAGGGTAGGCTGACGCATCATTCTGATGTAGAGATATGTGTAGCCGAGCCAGGCTACCGCGTCTTTTACGTTTTGAACGGTTCCGAGGACTATCTCAGCGTTGAGCATGTCCGGTAACCTGGGTATTAGCTGGGACTCGATCGGGAGCTGCTGGTTTAGGAGCGACAGGTAGTATTGCAGCTCGCTGTGATTGGTTATGAGGATACCCTCGCCTTTGGTGTCGTATTGGGGTCTGCCGGCTCTACCTGCGATTGGTAGATGAAGCAAGGTTAGAGTGCTGGTATTGGAAGGTGACCGATGGGGGTTCCAGAAGTCAGAATCGAGGTATGGTATAGTGTGCACACAGACCTATCGAAATCGAGCCGGGCTATTGTTCAAGGTGTGAAAACAAAAACTGTGTTGGTTAACACTTGCTCTCTCTAAAGAACTCGCGTTTTCAGGTGCTTTCAATATTACTCGTGTGAAAAATCACTTTTTAAATACAGGTAGATACATAGCCGCGCAACATTTCATTTAATCAGCAATGGGATTGTAAAATTAACGGGTCAAATTTGTTTGTGTCAATTGACCGAAATAATTTTTAAAATACTCGCTGTCGGGTCGTCCTAAGAACCAAATAGAGTCGATGTTATTATAGAGTCGATGTTATTATTGGGATTCCTTGAATCGCTAAGTATCGTATTCGGAGGGTTATAAACGCATTATAATTTATTATAAAATACATATTGTTATTAAATAATGATAGAGTAACACTCTACAATTGCAAGATGTTATTTAAAACATTTTTTGACTAGCCAATTAATTAGTTCCACCATAATTTAGGTGATAATAAATTCAAATATAGAAAATTTTAAGTTGTGTAAATAGCTTTAGATTGTTGATTTTTTTTAGGTGCAAGATGTCTACGTCCTGGAAGTAAATATATATTTTAAAATTTGTCTTTAAATCATAATAAAAATGTTCTCTATTTTATTTTTAAACATATTTGATAAATAGGGTGTTTAACTTCTATTTAAATTAAAATTAAATTTAACATTTTTACAGTACAAAAAGGGTAAGGGTTGTGGAATTGTTAAATTTTTCTGTGTCAATTGGCCGATCAATTGATCACTGAATTGACCGAAATAATTTTTAAAATACCATTAAATTTATATTTATTTATATTGTGCGTTACGTCGCTGTCGCGTCGTACTGAGAACCAAATGGAGTCGATATTATTATTATTGAATCGCTAAGTATCGTATGCGGATGTCCCTTGAAGGAAAATTGGACATAACAAAAGCATAAAAAGTTATTGTAAAATACGTATTATTATTAAATAATGATAGATAACCATCTACAATTGTAAGATATTATTTAAAACATTTTGATCGAACACTACTAAAAGAAACAATTACTTAAACTAAAAAATTGTATTGTATTGTACAGTTACTGATCAGAATTTCTATGCTATGCTTGGCATTTCTTAGCACCGAAATTTGTAATTAACGAGAAGTCAACAGGTAAGTAAATAAGTACAACATTTGTATGACAAAAATGTTTCAAACAATTTGCAGTTTTTATAAATTGATGCAATTTTAAAAAATGGTCAGTTGTTTTTTTTATGTACATATTTGGACTATTGAAAGCCCTTGTGTTGCTCTCAAAGGACACAAAATCTAATACAATACAATAAAACATGGTATCAAAAAACTAAACGGCAAGCTGTTAATTATTGTTTATTAATATTTAATATTAATATTAAAAGCACTTTCGAAAATATTATTCCTTCAATATTACAGCATAAACTAATTTTGCATTGAAACATAGTTTAGTTCATAAAAAAAAACTAAAATGACGCCGACGTAGAAAAGACCCAAATAAAGCCGTGCCACATACCATTTTGGATATATTTACGTGGACATTTTGTCAATATTTATTTACTGTTTTATTATTTCATTATTTTTCATTTGTCCATGTTGACTTATTTATTTATTTTGCGGTGTGTGACACCACGTTACGTTCAATTTTATGAAACTCTTATAAGCTCGACTCACCCAACATCTGCAGAACGTCGAGCGCCCCTAACTCCACCCATCTGCCTTTGGTCGGGTCGTAGATCTGCGTGCCCTTAATGATAACCGTGTGCGCGGGCAAATTAACGCCCCACGCGAGCGTCGCCGTCGACACCAGCACTTGGATATGCCTGTCGGCGAATAAATCTTCCACGAGGGTTCGATCCACCCTCGTCATACCGGCGTGGTGGATAGCGAAACCGTACGGCAACAGATCTTTCAGCTCGTGGTTCTTCACCTGTTCCGCTTCCGTGCGCAGCACCTCCATCGAAGCGGAACCTTCTTTCAGGAACTGACCGAGCGTGTCCTTCTCGAGACACATGTCCCTAATAGCCCGGGCCGTCTTCCCGGTTTCGTTGCGCGAATGTACGAAAATCAGCACCTGGTTGCGGCCTGCGTGCTCCATCGTCTTCTCGTACACGATCTCGTTCATGATCTGGCAACGTTTCGTCGCTTTTTTCTCCGTCACCCCGATGTACTGTTGCTCTAACGCGACCGGTCTGAAGCTGTTGTCGAAATAGTAGAGCCCGACGCTAGGGTCGACCTTCAAGAAGGTCGCGACGTCTTTGTAGTTGGGCAGCGTCGCCGACAGGCCGACCAAACGCACGTCCTCTTGCGTGGACTCGATGGTGCGCAGGGTGCGCGCGACCAGAGCCTCGAGCACCGCCCCTCTCTCGTCGTGCAACAAGTGAATCTCGTCGATGATGATCAACCTTACCAGAGAGGTGAAGGTTTTCTCGCCACCCTTTCTCGTGATGATATCCCATTTCTCCGGGGTGCACACTATCACTTGGGCCTCGGCGATCTGTTCCCTGGTCAGTTGGTGATCGCCGGTCAACTCGTGCACCGTGATATTGTAACTGGCCAGACGTTTGCCGAAATTGCCGACCATCTCCTGGACGAGCGACCGCATCGGAGCGATGTAGATGATTTTGAAGGAGCTCGCGTTGATGGTGCCGTCCGGGTTGATGTGTTTGCCGATTTCGCGCATCATGCAGAGAAGCGCGACGTTGGTTTTGCCGGCGCCGGTCGGCGCACAGAGCAAAAGGTTTTCGTCGCTGTCTAGGGCGGTTTTGCAAAGACGACTTTGGATGCGGTTCAAACTTTTGAAACCGTCGAATACAGGTTGCACGTATTTGGGCAGTTGGTCGACGGGTTGGAGTTTTTCGTTTTCGGCGAACGGTTCGGCTTTGAGGGCGGGCACGTGCACCTCCTCGTACCCTTGAATAAGAATGCTTTTCAGAGCTAGACTAACGCTACACTACAGTAAGAAATACAGTAAGATATGTAGCTGTGGTACAAGTAGAAGTTAATAAATGTGGACTGATTTCAAAGTAATGCAAATATTTTGACGGTTGAGACAATGTTGCCAATGCTGCACATCACCGACGTTTCCTACTATACACAGAATAATACTTTTAAGTACTCAAAAGCACAGGTGAATTAATTTACTATAAGTTAACGAAACGTCTTGCTATATATTTCGTGAAACTGTATAGAATAACAAATAGTTCCTTTTTAACAATAGCTATATGGTTTGCGATAAATTTCTTTTTTTAATGTAAGCAGTTGGTTATTTTTAAGGAGAAAAGCAACTTTCTTAAAGTGAAAAGGCGTTTTTCCATATTAATATTACCAAAACTGATAGCAAAAATGCCGCAATCTCGTGAAGTTTGCAACGATTGAATTCCGAAGTGTCATTTCATGTGAATGTAAACAAATAGTCAACTTGTTTCATAGGCAGGTACAATATTCGTGCTTAGTGATATATATTACAGTATTATGTTATTGCTCCTCTCAGCAATCAGTTTCTCCCCCTTTACAAAGTTACCATTCATATTTAGGCAACTTAACTTATGCTATCTCTTTAAGTTGGACATCTGCGGGTGACTAGAATAGCATTAGTAAGTGCAACAAATATTTTATTAGGCGCTTTTACTCACTTGCTGAACTTTTGCAATGAATGCAAGCCATACTTGCACAACCTTTACGTTGTTGTTCCATAAGGAAAGCTTTTGAGAAACAAAAACGTGAAGATATCAGCTGTAAGCCTCTAATACAAACCATGACTTCGCCTGGTTAGGAGATCGTTTGAAAATATTTACAGAATGCTTGAAACTTTAAAATATTTTTTAGTTTTAAGAACACTGTTTTTAGACTTAACTATATGATTCGATTGATGAAAAAAAATGTTAAAGTTCCCACTGTCCATGGACCAGAGTTAGTGGATTTATATTATGCGAAGAGGAACAGACAAATCAATACCCGAAGCCGTAAGTATTAACTCCGCCCCCCAAAAATTATGAAATGAAAAGCTCTTGTTAGCCCACTAGTGATAGAATGTGCCCTATCGTGTGGCAGAGACATGCCAATTTATTTTTATACAAGTTAAACACAGGCTCTGAAAAAGCAAAACATGAAAATATAAATAAAATACAATGAGAATTTTAAGGGAAAAAGCACTCATTTTCAATTTTAATAAGGAAAGTAGAATCCCGGTTGTTTTAATTCACGGAATGAATCCTAAATACATTTTAATTTCTACATGTTATAAAGTAATGTATTTTTTCTACTCCCGATCTGGGGGCGAGAAGCGTCACTTTACCACGTCAGTTTCGTTTCCCATGAATCCGAGCCACTTCGGACATTTCCGGGATTTTACCGCACGGATTTGGGAGCAATCGGATGTTTTCGGAGATATTTCCCACGCTTTGAATTTTGACGTTTGTTAAGCGAATGTGTTCGTGCTGTCTTGCGAAACTGTACCAAAAAACTAATGGCCGTAGAAAAAGTATAGTATGCAACAGGTTCGGTAAACTTTTTAATTACTTACTCGTTTATTAAAAACTCGCTCCCCTGCGCTACCCTCGTGTCAAATAAACTCGTGAGTCAAATCCCGTTTACCGCACTTGTTACATAATACACTGTTATTCTTTATATTTTTTTACTGCATACTCTTTTTTAATTATTCCTGGTGCCTCGATTTTCCCCATTGAGAATGATGCTCGAAAACTCACCAATCTTTTTTTCCTTTTTGCAGATGAATATAAATAACCAAAAAACATACAAATTTTAATTTAAAAATATTCATAAAAATGGACTGAAACATTTTTGAAAATGTCCCACATTGTGTATACATCCCACAAAAAGTAATTCTTAATTGTTGAAATAGCTCACTTAAAAAAGCGGGGAAGTAGCAAAACATCGTAAATGGCGTCATACGAAAGTAAATAATTATCAAAACTCAAACGTAGCAGCGAATTAAGGATCAGCTATTTGTGTTAACGCCAAAATAGCCTTAAAACAAATTCAAAAATCGATTTAAATTGTCATATTAACGTAAATACCTCTTACCTTTTCGTTGCTTCCTAAAAGACCCGTCTGGCAATTGACACCTTTTGTTTGCCATATAGTGCGACCCCTGGGAGAACACCAAGTCCTCGAAATCGATCAGTTTCCGGTTACCGGACACTTTCTTTTTATCGGAGTCGCCCAAATTGTACTCTTCGTCGTCGCCGTGCTTGCGTTTTCGCGATCGGTGCGCCGTTTCCTCGCCGCCATTTTCTTCCTCGCCTTTGCCCGTCTCAAGCTGTTTTAAAATACGACTGAGCGCAGAATCCTCTGACATTTTATCCTTGATTATCTGACGTTCCGTCTCGCTCTGCGATTTCGCCAATAGTGTACAATATAAAACTACAATTAAAATGGTAAGGCCCTGAAATTGCACTTCCAGAAAAAAAACTTACTCATTTTTCGATTTTTTTTCAGCTGTTTGATAAAATCGAAGCAATCATAACCCAACAACAAAACGAGCTGGTTTTCAAACTCTCTGTCGTCGTTAGCGTCGCGTAACACGTTTAACACTTCGGCTGCCTTCGCTTGAGACACCATCGCATCATCATATATCTTAGATAATTTCCTCTGCAGCCAATAAGCGTCAATATCCATCGGATGAAGGGCTTTCTCCTTCTTCATTTCATCCACATTGCCCAGCTAGAATATTACAATGATGTAACACTAATTTAATAAAAAAAATTAACTCTTTACATTTTCTGCATGGATAGCTCCGTCTTCTCTGGCTTCCTCCCCCTCCTCATCATCAATATCCTCTCGGACTTCCCCATACATATCTTCATCATCTTCTTCTTCAGATTCTTCAAACTGCACATTAATGCCATAAGTTTCATCAATATTCTCTTCTCCGGTGTTGCTCTTCAATTCGTCAGAGCCAAAATCGGTGATCTTTTTACCCAAATTTACTAAAAGGGCGAACCTCTCTTCAGCAATTGGACCTGCAAAGTTAATCATTAAGTTTCCACATTTTGCAATGCTACTCGACGTTTTTACCAAGCAATTGTTCAGTTTCCTTCTTCTTCTCCCTCTCTTTTAACTTATCATTCTTCAAAACTGACAAAACTTCATCGGCGGCTCCACAAATTATATCCCTGGGTTGATCCCCTAAAGCTTCTTGCAGAAAACTTAAAAGCACTTCGTAAGTTTGTCTAGTTTCTTGCGTTTTTGGCCTGTATATAATTCCCACCATTTCATCAACCCCTTCTGACAGCAATGTTGCTCCTCTCATTCTCGCAAAATCATATTGGGCTTCGTCCCTTTTTTGTCGCCTAAAGCACACGAGGTGATGAATGATACAAAATTTTAAGGTATAAGTTAAATACATACTTTACTTTACGTTCCTCAGCTTTTCCTGGGCGAGTTCGCTGCGCCCTATCTCCCATTCTTGTACTTGACAATTTGCCCACGAGGGACATAACTTCTCCGGTCGCCTCATCTCGACTTCGTCTTTCGATAAGGCGTACATCCGCTTGGAGTACAAGATTGGAGTTCTAAAAAATAAAAGGACGCTTACTTTATACTATCGAGGAAACTGGCTTAATGCCACTTACAGCCTTATACTCGTATTGCAACTGCCTCGCTGCAGCATCCGCCATGCTTTTCGATGCGGATTTGCTTAAATTAGTGGAATTGCAAGCAGATTTTCGAAAAACAAACGCTAACGATTAACTTAACCTCAACCTATCAGTAGAGTTTGGTTAGGTTAAAAAAAATCTAGTGCCTTGTTCTTAAAAAATGCATCTAAGCCCAGCGGCCATACCAAAATTTAATTGACAAGTAAATTAAAAAAAAAACTCTGTTGCGTCATCAATTTAAGCACCGCCTTTACTTAACAACGGTATTCAAGGGCTTAAATTGATCTGTCGTTTCATTGGTCCACGTATACCGCTTAATGTTATTCAGAAATGTGAATATGACGCGAAATAAAAACCAATAAAGCAAGTAACATTCACATGAGTTAATTCTAATATTATTTATAGCGCACTTAATAATTTCAACATTGCTAAAGACGACAAAAACGAATACGAATTCAAAATATTTTACTAAAAAGCACTGGAAATTGTGTATAAAAATGTACAATTCATATATTAGATAGCAATAAAAATTCTGCAATCGAGCAGGGCGTTAATGTTTGAGCACGAGAATTTCGTAGTCCTTGAAGCCCAGTTCCTGTCCGCCGAACGGGATGTAGCAGCTGCCGTGGCTGGGATGCACCTGTCAAACGCGAAGTGATTTTAGAAAATCAACCTCTCCCAATAAATAAAATGCATACCTTTCCTACTGTGTTCGCGCCTTCATGATGAACTCTACCGATGTAGAGATTTTCTCCGTCGGAAGTTCTGCCACCAACTACCGCGTCTTGAGGTATGTGTCCGTCACCGGCGGGAACCCAGTCAAAAGTTTGCTCGCAAAGCACCTGAAACGTGTTATGTGAGTAATGTTTGCCTCCACGGACTTAATACACCCCTGTGTGGAAGGACCTGGTTACTATTCTGTGTGTACACGCAAGCAATCGTTAATTTGAAATGTTAGTACAGAGATGTAGTGTAATATATCAGTGTAGTGGTCCCATAAAGTAGTATTAAGTATATTTATAATAATCGAATTACAAAAGCCATTAAAAGATGAACACGTCTTAAGGCGAGCTAGTTTTCATCGAAATTGCTTCTGGGTCCATGGCTAACCACAGATAACAAAAAAATCCTGTTACCTGGTATTTGTGTACGGGGATTTCCTGACCGCCGTAAGCGATGTAGGCGACTCGCTTGTCAGGAATAACTTTGGCAGGAATCCAGTCGCCTTCGTGGAAGGCGCGTCCGACGTAAATTGGGGCACCGTCAACGTCGGTGCCTCCGTGGAGGGCGGAGTGCGGCACTCCCCCCCTGGACACGGTATCGACCCAATAGTAAGCTAAAAGATGAAGCAATTCGACTCGATTTTTTTAAAAGTCGAAACGCTCATTTACCTGCCATTTTTATTTCAATTCGACGTTTGATTGTCTAATCGGAAAAACTACTGGATCGATGATGTGCCTATTGAATTTATATACCTTCGGTGAAGAGCCTTATCTGGACTTATCATGGACATTAAGATTTGTTTGCAGAAGTGTTGAGTTTTATCTACCAACATAAATATCGTTTTTCGTTGGATTATTCCGGGAACGTTATTGTTTTAGTCTGATAAACGGTTGACGGCGATTGATTCGAAAAAATTCCGAATTAATCACCGGCAAGAAATAGTCAAAAAATCAAACACCAAACAAACACTCCAAATGCCAAAATTCTCCAGAAACGATAAATTTCAGGTGATGGAAAATAATTTAAAAAGAACTGAAGTTGAATTCGCGCCTGTTAAAACAATATGACGGATAATGAAAAATGACATCATTAAATAAACAAGGTTCGCCTATTAGGTAAGCTATTTCCGATCCAATTTTAAGTTGACAAAAATAATCCAAAATTGAGATAACTGGAGGGAATCGATAAAACTTATCAGCTATTTAAGCTGTAGCTGCAACGAATACGTATTTGTATTTGTAATACACTTGAAACTTGTTTTCGTGAAATGTTGAGCTTATCTCGCTCGACGTGTCAATTCCACGAAGTAGGCATACCTTGAAAATCGAGAATAGGATTTTTGTGTCACGTCGAGTTTGACTTTTGAACTGTACATGATGCTCACGAAAATTTAAGGGCACCAAAAACCATCAAGAACCAAAATGTGCGCCGCCTTCTTAGATCTTTGAAGATAATGAAATAAAAAAAAAGAAATATCTATCTTGGACAAAATAATGTCTGAAATGGAAAAGGATGATTTTATTCGACCCATGGGGTAAAAAGAAATTGTTGAAAACTTTGAAGAAAATGAATTTTAGTTTCATTTCTGTGGACTCCAACGACTATAGTTCATGCCAACATAATAAAGAAAAATTACAAATGAAGTTGTGTTGTAAATAATATATTTTTTAAAAATATTATTTATTACAATTTATCGGTTTTCATATTATTCTTATTTAAATATTAGTTTTTATTTATTTAATCTTGACTCCTATACTCGACATCGTATTGTACAATTGGACTTGCGCCTGTAACACAGAAAGGTTTATGCCGTCTTTGTTGATTTTCGGGGAGCTTTCGACTCTGTCTTTCATAACTTACTGTGGCATAAAACATTGCTATGGTGTCAGTTCCAACTTCATCAGTGTTATAAAAAACTCATACGAAAATGCATCTTTCAGTCTTGAGTCCATATCTTTTTTTAATATTTCTGGCAGACATTCTTGACTTCTTTATGCAACACAGTGCGCGTGGTCTGTCAATCGACACCACCAACGAACATCTTATTTTGGCCTAGTTATACTCGGTCGGTCCGCCTTGTTTAATGATTACTGTCCTTCCAAATTTACATTAAGAAACATAGCATATGATTGGTAGTGGGTGAAGGAGACCGAAATATTAACGAGATATTTTGAAGAGTTTCCAAATCAAGGGCATCAATCAATCATCAATCAATCAATATGTACTAAAAAATGTTCTCATATTTGATGTGCTAATTATAATTGAATGCCTTTTGAGGTTAGTTTTAGGTACGTTAGCATGCTTCTTTTCGATTTGAAATTAATTTAAAAAAAATAGGAAAAGCCTGGGCGAAGAAAAGATAAATAAATGTACTGGATTGTCAAACTGGCATCACTTTTCGCAAAAATGGATATGATGGATAACAGAAGAACCTTTCAAAACACTAATAAGAATACCAACATTGACATTTGTGCCTACCACGTTTTCGAATCCATGTATTCAGATATACACAAATTTAGCGTTAGGTTTTAATTGTGGTGAAATCTGCTCGATTTTTGAATCGACGTTGGTGTAATGCGATTTATTAAATTATTAATCTTCCGTTATTTGATTGCTGCTTCGTAGAGTTGATAAGGGATAATCAAAAACGCCACAGCGCGGATCGATGAATCAGTTGCAGCGAAAGCTCGTGTCGTGATAGCAAGTTTGCCAAGTTTTCATATCATAATGGCAGGTATGACCCGCATAATTTTCTTAAACCATTTTACTATAATTAAAAACATTTTTCTATGACGTCGAAAAATGGCTATATGCGCAGGGACCATTTTTCATTCTCTTAATTGAAGAAATATATGATGGTTTAACCTTTGTGCTAGAAATCCAAGAAATCGTTTGTTTCTAATGTTTACAAATAATTTACACTTTTTTCACACTTCAAAGTATGACCAGACCACCTAATTTTATTTTTCATTTAAAATGTTTGCATAAAATTTTTTGCTAAACCAGATAATTTAGATTCAGGTCGTGATATTGGAGTTGTAAGGGTTGGTATCTTTTTTGACGTGGATTTATCCCTTCGGTCACCGTCGAAGATCTCCATCCTTCATATCGCTTCAACTATCATTGATTATTCACAGCGAATTGAAAGTTTCTAAGCATATTAACTGTATATATGTAATAAAGTTAGCAGAAAAATTATTGGCACCAAGAATATGCAAAACAAAAAGATTCGCTTCAATCAAAAACTCTTTTATAGTAATACAATATTATATACAAAATGATCCATAATATGTTGCCAAAGCATTCGACACATTTCACAAGCGAACAAGACACAAACTCAAAAAGCATTATTTTAAAAAGAGCTGATACTACCATCCCATATCAAATCTGCCATAGCCATGAATAAATTCAATAGAAGGATGTCCATTGAAGCTAGTATTCAATTACATATTGTGATATATATACAATGTATATTCACTTCTTTTCTATTGATTTATAGCAGCTTTCATTCTTTCGCTATGTATACCATCATTCGCATTAGTAAGAAGTGCTGCTGAAGTTTCTTTTTAAGTGATTTGTTGATTCTGTGGTGAAACATTGCACGCGGCGGTTTAACCTCCGTTCGTTATAGCAGCTTTCATTCTTTCGCTATGTATACCATCATTCGCATTAGTAAGAAGTGCTGCTGAAGTTTCTTTTTAAGTGATTTGTTGATTCTGTGGTGAAACATTGCACGCGGCGGTTTAACCTCCGTTCGTTCCCTACAGAATCCTTTGTAATCGTCCAAAAATTTTGAAATCGGTCTCCACTGAGTGGATTTAGTGTTGTCAGTGTTTTGTGAACGTTGTAAAGTGATAATCGTCGCCGATCCCTTTGTTTTTCCCCGTTCAAGCCGGTATGGAGGCCGGATGGGCCCGGATGGTCCGGGGCGGAAGCGGGGGGTGTCGGTTTTTTTTGGTATCGGTCAAATTTGTTTTTTTGCTAGTTGAGCAAATATTGGTTATATGTTTTCTTTGTACGTGTTGGTCAATGATCAAAAGCGAAGATCCTCGACGGAAGTCGGCAATGGGCGAATGAACCTAGCAGTCGAGCCCAACATTTTTTGTGAAACGCATACTTGAACTTGAATTTGAAGTGATTTGTTACTAGGTACTAAGTATCTTTTCTATACAACTTATTCCGATAACTGGGTTGAAACATATCTTTTTTTTTTTACTTATATAAATAATATTTGATTTGGAAACTATAAAAATTCGTTGTATATTCATTTTTGTACCGGGTTCTTTAAAGTTACTAACCAAACTAACCAAAACTGACCCAAGTACAAAGTAATTTTAAAAACATTAACTGTCATTTTATTTTAATAGTTACCCTAATTAGTGATTTTAAGCTGATATCTGCTGGCTTGATGTAGTTTTCTGCACAATAAATGTCGGAAAAGCCGATTTCACTAGGAAAAAGGTAACATTTGGTCCAAAAAGTAAAAGATAATTTGTTATGAATCCGTATTTGTGGCGCCATCTAACTGCGGTAGAAAGAAATTATTCGTCTTCGTATTCTTGTTATGTCTAGAAAAAAGCCGCTAGAGGGCGCTTGTGCTAGGGCATCCAAAGCAGCGCCATCTATTGGATTGTGAACAATAATAATGCTCTTTACACTCAACGCATTAAACATACTAATAAAAAGGGTTTATGCAATAAATAAATAATAGTATGGTAGCAGGAAAATATTTATCTGATATCGGTGCAATAAAAAATATATCAGTAGCTTTGGAGAAAAGGTAAAATATTTAATGTCTCATTTTTTTAATTTCATTCAAAATCTCACATTCAGTCTCGACACAGACGTCTCTAGTTGCAGCATGTCAATCAAAGTCTTTATTTCCTATCGTAGTGTTGATTTGCTGTGAAGTATACACGTTTCTTCTTCAGAAGAATGAATCCAGAGTCGAACCAACTAGGCAGGACTCCGTAATTTTTCATGATTATTTATGAGTGATTTATTGCTTTCTGTGGGTTTATAAAAGACGTTGATTGTCCTTGTCGAGGATCCTGTGGTTGTTGAAGTGACCAAAATGTCCAAATCTTTATTTGTTTTGCCAATATTATCAAAATATAATGGTTTTGGAGTTATTTGAGATTTTAGCAAATTATGCTGACCAATCAACAAGTATCTGTTTAGTTAGTTTATAAAAGTTAATAAAAAAAAATTGAGCCTTTTTATAAAACCACATGAGTTGACATTTTCAGACGCCCAGTGATTATTAATTAAGCTAAAGTTACTTTTTAATATTCGATTTATCCAAAAATTGCGAAATAAAAGTAACTCCGTTTGTTTTTAGCCTATTACTGGGTCGATACAGTGGCGCGCAGACGCGTTCCCTCTACGGCCCTACGGGGTGGAACCGACGTGGACGGTCAACCCATCTACGTCGGAAGGGCCTTCCACGAGGGTGACTGGATCCCAGCGAAGGTCATTCCCGGCAAGCAAGTCGCTTACGTAGCCTACGGCGGCAGAGAAATACCGAAAAGTCAGTTCCAGGTAAGAAAATATCCAAAGAAAATCATGAGCTTGAATGCAATTTCTGGTCCTTGAATATTAATTTTTATGAATTACTTTATGTCTTAAGAAGACTTTTTCATTGTTTGAATTGAATTTTATCATTTTATTTTTTCATTTATCATCATGAATTATATCATTATGAATTATTGTCCCAATGTTCCATGTGAAACTTTGATTTTTTCATATTTTAATTTTGCTGACACCGTTTGTTGGCCATTTTTGGTTTCTATTGACATTAAAACAATACGGGAATTTCGAAATTGCTGTGTACGACTAATAAATGGGAATAGGCAGATGCAGAAAGTTTCCCACAGGCTTGAAGAGTTGGGATAAATTTCTATGGTTCAGCGGCGTGCTTTGCAGTATTTGTTCTTGCGTCGGTTGGCTTAACCGAAATTGACTAGCATTCTACTTTGTTTAGTTTAGTTTTTTTTATTAACTCCGCTCAATGTAATGTTAAATAATACAATATAATATAGGATCGTCAAGAATATAAAATAAAAATATGTCAGATTTACCTTCCATTCCTTTCCTTCCATTATCATTATCATCTCCAAGGAACATAGTGACAAAATTTATATTTAATTCAGCAGTTGATTCGATGCGTATCTGTCTATCTTTTACAATCCTTTCGGCATTCAGCAAGGGGAAAATTAGATCATCAACTAGACGGAGTTTCGTTGTTATGGGGATAGACTCGTCTTTCCATATTTTGTTTAGCTTGTTATCTTGCCAAGGTCAGACGACGGCGTATTTCGGTTTCACATTTTCCAGTGTTGGTAGCCTGCAATTTCTGATGACTATGAAAAGTTGTTTTCTTGTCTATCAACAATTATTAATTTCGTTTTCTTCTTTTTCTTGTTGTATCAGCTTCTCCTTTCGAAATTGCGAATAGGCGGATGCAGAAAATTTCCCACAGGCTTGAAGAGTTGGGATAACTTTCTATGGTTCAGCGGCGTGCTTCGCAGTATGTCTCCTTTATCAAATAAATCACAAAATCCACCTCCAACTCTCTCGAGGATTTACAGAGACTATTAAATAAAGTAGTGAAAGCTAGCAAAGATTACGGTCTCAACATGAACATCAACAAGACTAGAATGATGGTGATAACAAAAAGGAAGCAAGCAACAGGTCGTAGACGGGAAAACAATTGAACAAGTAAGGCACTACAAATACCTTGGCACCATAACTAATGAAGATGTTCAATATAAACAGGAAATCACTAAGAGTAGGAGCAAAAATGGTCCAATGTTATGTATTTCCCTTGTTGCTTTATGGCTTGGAAGGCTGGACGCGGCATAGAGAAACCACAAGGAGGTTGGAAGCTTTTGAAATGTGAACTTATAGACGCATCCTGAGAGTCTCGTGGATGAGTAGAACTATAAACGAGGAAGCGAGCTGCAGAAGCTCATTATGGAGGGCAAAATTATAAGTAAACGAAGTGTAGGGCACCAAAGAATCCCTTGGTTGCCCAATCTGCGAGAATGGTTTGGTCTATTGGTCTATCGGCAATTGAATTATTTAAATGAGCAGTATCAAAAGTGAAGGTAGCCATGATGACTAGTAACCTCCAAAGGAGAAACTGATATAAGAAGAAAAAGACGGAAATGATAATAATGATTGTTGATAGTCATAGTCATCAGAAATTGCAGGCTACGAAGTGATAAACAATTTTTTAGGTTTCTTAGTTCCTTAATTACCAACACTGGCAAATGTGAAACCGAAATACGCCGTCGTCAAGATAACAAGCTAAACAAAATATGGAAAGACAAGTCTATCCCCATAACAACGAAACTCCGTCTAGTTGATGCTCTAATCTTCCCCTTGCTTATATAAGTAAAAACCGAATAAAGGCTTTCGAAATGTCTGTTTATAGACGACTCTTACCAGTATAGTGGACAGAGCATCTAACCAACCTATCTGGCTTACAAGAAATTGGTCCACACAAAAGGCACTTACAACCGCATATATCTGAAGTACCCTTGGCATATAGCTAGAAGATCAGGAATAATGACACGACTAATCATGCATGGGACATTGAAATCAAACGCCCAAGAAGCAGATCGACAATTAAATGGGTAGACCAGACAAAACCCTTAATAATTATAAGAATGCAGAAAGGATTGCAAAAGATAGACAGACACGCATGGAATCAACTGCTGAATTAAATATCAATTGTGTCACTATATTCCTTGGAAATGATAATGGAAAGAGGAAAAGGTAAATCTGATTTTACTAATTTTTGATATGTGGCAAGTGATGTTTTGAATGTAAGGAAGGAGAACAGTGGCAAGTGTGGGGTTGCTTTCGGACTCATTATTTTTGGAAGGTCGTGGTTGGAAAGAAAAATGGAAAATGGAAAAAATCCATAAGCAACCAAACAATCTTTTTACAATTAACTACCCAAAGAATCTTAATCAAGCCTCAGATCTTTATCTTTCAGCAAGTAAAAAAATCATATTATACACTGTCCGAATTTTTTTGACTCTAAGTGTATATTTGTTGTTTTTTTTAAACGTATATTTGTGCGTTACATCAGTTTGTATTGTGCATTACAACGTGATATGTTTTTATTTTATTTATGTATTGTATTATTTAATTAAGTGATCCAGGAGGAACCCAGGAAAATTTGAAGTTCGTAGTTCACCAATGTTCATGGCGAAACTTCCCTTTCTTTTCTTAGTATTACCTATTTCTCTTTTTTCTCTTTATTTCGAATTCCTGTTTCTTTTCTATCAAACCGTTAATGCTAATTTTGCCCTCGAAAGGAAGCTGCACTTAATGGACCTTTATTGTAATTAAATTCTTAAAGTCAACGATTTCGTTTTTTTTTTTTTACCAATAACCGTATAAACTAAAATGAAAACTCTCCACTCTCCGTTCAAGGTTCTCTGCGAGCAGCAATTCGACTGGGTACCATCGAGACACGGCCACGTCCCACCCGACGCGGTGATCGGGGGGAAAACCTCCAGTGGGGAAAACCTCTATATAGGCAGGGTTCGACACAGGGGATCGCACACTGTGGGCAAGGTATAGTTGCTCGAAAATGAACCGAAAAAAACTTGGTACTAATTATAATGCTCCCTTGCCAGGTGCACCCGAGTCACAAATGCTGTTACATCCCTTTCGATGGGAAAGAGGTACCCCATCAGGATTACGAAATACTGGTACTTAGGGGTTAGGTTGGCGCACGCGTAGTTGGGTTTTTGTATTTTCAATAATAAATTTTAACATTTGATGATGGCTTTTATTTTCGCCTATCAAAAGTCTGACTTGATATTGAGCTAGTCGAAAGCAGCAATTTGAGATACTCTCTAGTGGAATCTAAGGCACTGGTAAGAACCCTAACAGGACTCTGCCATCTAGGAAATTCCTGCATACCATATTTTAATAAATTATTTCTTAACGACTTATCGAAATTAATGAGGTTCTATACTACTTCGAGAGTACTAATGAGGATACCAAATAGGTTAATGATTTGTATTTCTATTGCGAAGAGTTGATTACATGCAAGAATTTTAGTTTTCATTAGTTTCGTTATCGGGTTCGGCAACTGTTGATCAATTTATATGTCATAGTATTAAGGCTCTTTCATGTTCTTTGAGGGTACTTGATATTTTTATTTCGGTCTCTCCAATATATGTATCTCAAACGAAATTTTGTCATTGACAGATCGAAGATGTGGAGAGATTTTTGGATTTTTGGTAAATCTGGTTCTGACGTTATGTTTCTTAAGAACTTTTGATGTGGTCAGTGAAATGAGTAAGTAAAGAAGGCCAACGATGGCAAGTGTGGGGTTGCTTTTTTCATTGTATTTGGAACGTTGTGGTGAAGTGTATTTTGTGATGGAGCGCTTATTATCTCTAATGTGGAAATTTTTAGAGAGAAGAGTAGATGTAAGATGTTTTATATCTGGGTTGGTGGCTCTATAACCAAGAGATAACTGATGATTTTTGGGTCTGATGATAAAGTGTGCTTAGGTTTTCTGTACATAGAATGACCTAAAGAATATCTAAGAATGGAAGGTTATTATTAGTTTCTAATTTAATGGTAAAACGTATATTAGGGTGTATACAGTTTAAATGGTCTGTAAAATCTCGGAGGGATTCTTGACCATGAGGCCAAAGCTTTCTTCTCGCGATGACTGGTTGTAATGGAGAATCCATTACCATTCCGGACGTTTATTACAAGCAAAATATCTTCCAGACGAGCGTTTTTCAATTAAGATGAGATGGTTTGGTTTCAAATTCTCGGATTTTAATATATCTGAAATAATGTTGAGAGTTCCAGGAATAGGGACTTGAGCAAATACGGGTTCTAGGTCGAAACTAACCAGAATATCGAAATCGGAATCTAATTTGGATCTAAAGTAATGATTTTTAATTGTTCAGGTATTGAACTCTATCTATCAGAGAAACTAGAGAATATGATATGATGATGGACCTTTGATGTAAATCTTGAGCGGGAATCTAGAAGATTTGAAAATTATATTACAGTAGAATATGAAAGCTTCTTTGAAAAATTATGTATTTTTTGTGGTGCTGAGTTCCCTTCCCCACCCTTAAAACAAGTCAGGTATTAATCTCCTTGCGTGTGGTAAAAGACAAAAACTAATAACAATAAATAGAAGTTATCTATTCACATAACACGAACGACGTCAACAATATGGAAAACAATACTGAAACCGAGCGGCACTGCTAATTTATGGTAAAAACAAGTTGTCAAAGGGCAGGTTGGACAGTACCCCGCCTCCGACCCTGCGTGCTATGACGGCGATGGTGGTCTGTATAGCCCCGCCCAATTCTTTGGTGACCTCTTCCCAATTCTCGTTGAGGAAATTGTTCACGTTGTCACCTGAGAAGGAAAAAATGTCCGACGACGATTCAGTTTTGATACCAGAAACCTACTCATCTGTTTGTTCCCGTTGAAGAGATTGTCGAGTCTGAAATACGCGTGACCGACTTCAAACGTCAGCTGGTCATCGTCCTGGATGATGGCGTAGTTGATGCCGTTTCTGTTCTCGAGCTTATAGTTGAATTTGTATTTGAATTTGCCGTCGTCTACAATAAAAGGATTTTACAATTCTCGTTCTTCGTCTCTGAGAATATACAGCGTGTTATTGAAATGAGATCGCATAATTTAATGAGGTAAAGGTTTGGTATAAAATGCTTGTCGAGCCACTGGATCTTTTCGGACTGTAAAAAATAATTACAGCAATATCCGACGCAATAAGGCTCCAAATTTGAAAAAAAAAAACTATTCAACACTGCAAAAATACTATTACTAAAAAAGAAGGAACAAAATTTTCTCTTCTTCCACAGACCACATTATTCAAAGAGTAAAAATTTCAGCACATAATTTTGAATTTTAACCAAACATACACTACGCCGCTGATTACTAAAACCGTCTAAGATTTGAAATTATACCGCAACTATATTAAAAAGCAATTTACTTTTTAGGTAGGTACTACCGTGCCGAATAGAATTCGAGTTGACATTTGATATGGCTCATATTTTACCACCGTGCGCATTTGCCGTGTTGTTAATTATTTAATTCGCCTTCAGATGACGAATTGATTTAAATAACTCGTTCCCGAAAATAATGTCCTTCTAACTTTTCTTGTCGATGAATATTTTATTTTCGAATTTATGGCGTTTCTGTTTGTAATGATTGCAAGATCAGCGGCGTAATCAAACAAGATGGATTTCGGAAAATCGTCGATGGGCGGGGCAAGTTCGTAGCGCGTAGCAGCTTTTCCTTGTCCTAGAGAGACGCATTGTTTTTCCATTGTGCTCCTGCGGACCACTATGGAACTTTCGCAAAATCGATGTAATTTTATTGTGCATTCACTCTGTATAAAGTGTCTTTCAAGTCTCGCCGAAGTTCAAAGTTACGGCATACTTTGTTAAATATTAAAATTTGTACAAATAATAGCGAATGCTATTTTTTCTAATATCTTGCGCGCCCTGTATAATTGAGGAAACCTGAAACTCTCTTTCGGTACAGTTTATGGTACTGTTCTCAAATCAAATTATAGCATCTTTAGCACTTTTTCATTTATCCTCAATAATTTACCCACAAAAACGGAAATTTTTAGCATGTTTTAGATTTTTTTGCCGATAAACGACACACATATAATGCAAATAATATTCGAAATAGAGGTTACAGCCCTGGATCTCCTATGTTTCCTGGTATATGAGTTTTTACAAAAGAGTAAATGGTTTTCGAGAAAACACTTCTGAAATCATGCAGTACGTTGTAATACTAAATTGACGTCATCGCGTCTAGATTGAGGGCGGGAAATTGTAATTTTCATTTGTATTTTTTCAAATATCTCGAAGAGCGTATGTGATAGACGAAAACCGTAAATTCAAAAATTGTAGCTCTCGATGTGGCCTATATCACTGTTTAAACCAATTGGCCATATTTTCCTCGAATTTTGATTTACGGCTAATAATTTACTCTGAAACACTGTATATAATGGAAAAATCTCTCGCATTTCCTGGTTCACAAATTTTGCCTATCGGGTTAATAGTTTTCGAGAAAACATTTTTTTATAGAAGTCAAAATATACAAAAAAAAAATCAAAAATTCTTAAAAAATACTTTGCGAGATTTGAGTAAGTCCTTTTTCAACAGATGAAATGCGGGTGTGGACTTCAACCCTTCTGCCAAATCTGATGTCGATAACTGTAAATTTAAGACATCTGTTAATTTTTTAATACCTTGTACAAAACCTTAAATACTAAAGTTTTAACTGTTTATGTGGGCTATATCTCCATATAAAATGAACTGACATCCGAAGCACAGTCTCTCAGTCATAGCCAATTTTCAATAATAGGGAGACCCATTTTTCAGTTTTTTTGAATTGCATATTTTTGAAAAATTGTCAAGAATAAAAGTTTATGGACCTGTGTCTTCTGCGTCTTCTGGTTAGTTTTGGTTAGTTAATAATAAATAAAATAATTTTTTCCTGCTTTATGTAGCTTGTGCACGGCTTAAAATCGTTCAGTAGATATAGCCAATTAATGCCAGGTCTGCAGAGAAACGGATAGCTGATAACGGAGAAAGGAGAACAGAAAAGAAATTTTTTTTTCGACACTGATTAGGACATCCCATTGCCGAGATAATTGCTGGTTGGGAGAACGCACGATATTTAATATAGGGCGTAAAGTGAGTGAGTGGGGGACTTACCGGCAGTGACGTTCGCTGGCCCTTTTCCTTCGAGTGGCAATATCAGAATTTTACCCCCGACCTCGTAGTTTCCGATAATGGAGACTCGGCCGACGAAAATGTCCAGTTCGATTTTGTGCGCGTCAAAATCTACGCTAAAAACGTTGAAAATTAGACTGAAATTTTAAATAGAACGCCCGATAGTTTCTCATCATCTGTCCTGTCTAATTTTCTTATAAAACGTCTAGTAAGTGGATAACATTAACGTCCGTAAGTAAACATCATTTTTGTCATTTGGTTTAGACGTGTATATGAAAAGAACTACATCCTATATTAGTTTTACACTGGCCAAAAATTCATAAAATAATTGATCAATTCCTAATGAAGTTGAAGTCGTTTAACAGGTCAACCAAGTTTTAATATTTAGAGGTTATGTTAGACTGTTGTTGCTGTATTTTTTTAAAATAATCTTTTATTCAGTCAGATAATACATATACATATTATAATTATATTGTAATACACTATTATACGACCTAGACCTGAAGTAAGGTAACTTTCTAAACAATGCATTAAGCATTGGTGCCGAAAGCATTTTAACTGAAGTCTCATTTTTCACAATTGGATATTGCAATTCTTTATTTGTTCTGGCTTTCCGTAACTGTAAGTCACTGTGATTTCTTAAGTTCTGTGAATGTATTTCATTGATATGGTGTTGCTTTTCGTTTTGTTCTATTTTATTTTAAAGGTAAGTTTAGATTGTTCAGATTTAAATATAATTTCAATCGGATCAATTTGAATTGAATGATACAGCGTTTGTAATCTAAATTAAATAGAGTTTTAAGGATTTTATTTTGCATTATTTTTATTTTATTACATGTACCCCAGACTGCAATAAGATATCTTAAAAAATAGTTATCTGTATAACGCTGCAACTAAGAGAACTATTTTGTTCTTTATATAAGCATAGGCCTAAATATTTTATTTTATCAACTCTTTCCAAACTAAAATCATTTATCGTAATGTTAATTTTTTTTTATTTTAAATAATACGTATTTGTTTATGTATATTTTTAATTTGTTATTTAATATTCAGTTGTTCCTTTTAAGTCATTGCTTGCTATATATGCCACACACGTTTCGTTATTTTGGTCTCAAGTTTCTAAGTATTTGCAATGACGGAGGTCATTTGGGTACTATGTCATCGACAGTAACCCCATCGCTTAACCAATTAAGGTCTGTTCAAAGATATAAGAAAATGATCAATTGCTTTTGAATAGGATGGTCATTAACATACAATGCATCAAGATTATTACCTAAAGTTTCGGAATTTAAAATCAGGTAAAATTGTGGTCCGTAATAGAAAATACATTGACGAAAATTTCAACGTCAACTGTATGGAAAATTGTGAATAATCCCATTTCAGCGAGGAAAAAAAGAAGCGATGCTGCCATTCTCTCGAGTGTAGATGAAAGTGCTCAAGATATAATACGGCGTAAAATTTGTCAGTTATTCGAGGAACAAAGCGCGCCTACATTAGATATCTTATTTAGGAGGCATGAAAAAGATGAAACCGGTGTCAAATGTGGCAGAACTACCTTATGGAAGTGTATTCGACACATGGGTTTTAGATTTAAAAAAATTGACGAAAGGCAAGTTTTAATGGAATCTTTTGAAATTTGGAAATGGCGACTGGAATATCTAGAAAAAATTAGGATTTACAGAGAACAACAAAGGCCAATTATTTACTTGGATGAAACCTGGTTCGACACTTATGATACCCCGGAAAAGTTTTGGGTTGACTCAGCTGATAAGTGTAAAACAAACGAGCCATCAAGAAGAGGTAAAAGAATAACTATTTTGCATGCTGGCTCTAAAATGTGAAAAATATTAAAGATTTTTCTCTAGATTACCATGAAGACACCACCGCTGATTTATTTGAAAGTTGGTTTAAAAATAAACTAGTTCCAAACACTCCTGCTAACAGCGTCATTGTAATGGACAATGCAAGTTATCACAGTAGACAGTTGACTAAAACCCCTTTCTCATGTGACACAAAAGCAACAATCCAAAACTACATGTATAATAACGACAGTTATTTTCACGAAGATTATACCAAAAAGCAATTAATTAAGGTTTTACAAAGCTTGAACCTACAAAAGGAATACGTCTGTGATAATTATGAGAAAAATCTAGGGCATACAGTTTTAAGGCTTCCACCTGTATATTTAATCCCATTGAACATGTTTGACACCAACTGAAATCTGCCATTCGTCGTAACCGAAGTTTTTAACATCCCTCCACAAAGTTGGTCAAATTCTGTTAAACATATAGAAAAAGCGGAACAATCGTATATCCATATTGCAAATAATATAGAACAAATAATAGTTAGAACAGGCAATGATAGCGATAGTGATACTGATATATTACGTGAATAATTTGAAGTAATTTAAGTAGGTAATAAAAATAATTTGTAATTTTATTGTAGATTTAAACATAAATACATACATGAATAAATAAATATTGTTTAGTACCTTTCCTAACAAAACCCCAAATAATTAAATTCTAAGCAAAGTACACACATGTTCGGCCATATTTCATTCTTACCGCTTGCTCGGGTCTTTCCTTAATTAGTATCAGTTAGTCACTTTATCTATCTATTTATCTATGAACAGACTTTACCTCATGTCGGTCAATTTGGCGCTGTCCAAACCCAGAAGCGACACGTCCAGGAAGACTATCTTCAGGGAGTCGGCGGTAGCGACGTCGATTCTAGGGATCTGCAGCGGGGTCAAGTTCGGAATGTTGAATTTGGGGTCGCCCTTGAGCAAAGTAGGGAGAGCTTCGTTGCCATGAGCGACGCAACACGCTTTGAAGTCTTTGGCGCTCTTGGAACACGGTTTGAGGTACGGCGCTGGAAAGAAGTTATTTTTAAACCGAGCTACTACAGGGTGTTTCGTTGACAAAACAAATGTTCCTTTTGTGTTAGTTTCTATGTTATATTTTCTGAAATTGATCTATGCATTTACCTCACCCTCTGCGATATTTTTCTATTGAAGTAATTCTAGTAAATAATTTTCAAAGTGGACTTCACTCTTTCAACACGGCAACAAAAGAAGAAAATATTATTTATATTATTATTTCGCCCGCCAAAAGAAGAAAGTAATTAGAAGTTAATTGTCCTTGTAGATATTGTAAAAAAAAATTGAACTGGAAACTGATTTTAAAAGTGGCAATCTACCACATTAATTGCTTTAGTTAAAGGTTAGATCATACAGTTTACCGAATTTCGTGTGGGATTTCATGTCCTACCGACTGCGCCATACAGAATGTGCGCTATATTTGGTGAATCCTACTGGATGGTGTTAACTGCACGTCCTTATTTTTGGTTAGTCTGCACTCGAAGTTAAATATCACAATTGTCTAAGTCATGTGACATCCCTCCTTTTTTAAGTAGATTTCACATTTCAGCAATATATAAAAAGTTAATTACCCATGTTACAATAAACCACATACAGATTTGTTACTCGTCTCTCTTGACTTTAAGTTTACCACAGAATGGTTTAGCTAAGGAAGATAGATATTAAAGTATTTGATTTTGCAACTATTGGTATAGTCAAACTTTGATTATACAGTTTACTGTATATCGTGTTGGATTTCAAGATCCTACCGACTGCGCTATATTATGTGTGCTTATGTTTAATTTTTGGTCTGGGATTAGCTACATAACCAGTTGGCAAATTTTTATTTTTGGTTAGTCTACACTCATAGTTAAATGTCATCGGGTACTTATTAAAGTTACATTAGTGTGACAGTCCACAAAATATCCGAAGGACAATATTAGTTTATTGGTCTTATGGACATTTACATTTAAAAAGTTACGTCCATTGTTATTTTGTTATTGTTATTATTTCGACCTTTTTCCAACATTAGAAAGTGTGTTTGTTTTACCTGTTTTGCCTAAATTAATTATTTTCAGACTAGTGGATACGTAACATCTGGTTCAAAATCAAGTTCATTTTTTAATTTTTTGAAGCCACTGTGTCACTCAGTCACCGGGATTAGGTCCTTAAATGCTATGTAATCGTTATTTGTTTAAATCGATCTTTTAATTACTCAAAATTACTTTTATTTTTTTTTTAATACATTTTTAAGTTCTTTTATTAATTATTCTCTATTTTACAACATACAACAGGAAAAAAAGTCATAAAATACTTTTGTTTTTTTTTATGTATTTAATGTTTATATATAAATCATTTTCGTTGGCTTTACTCAAGAGTATCTTTATATTATATACTACCTATACTATATTATATACTACCTTATTTTAGGAACTAGAAGGCATTGAACAAAAAGTTAAATATAAAAGCTGCTTGGGTTAATTATTTGCATGTATACAGGGCGAGTCGTTTCGCCGTGTCCACTACAAACTTTGTTTCAAATGGAACACCCCATAATAATATATATTAATACTGAAAGAGAAGTTCAACGATTTATAACAGCATGAGGTTTAAACGCAACGTTTCGGAATCGTTGGCTAGACGTCCAAAATGATTTATTTGTCTAAGGTCTTTTAGTCATTACCATCCAGCTCAAAAATAATCGGTTATCAACTTCTTGGGTACAGAGACGTAATACTATGTCAACCCAAATCACTGAACCTAAAACTTAAAACACCTAACATATGCATTAGAGATACGAAGCGTTCCATGACAAAATACACTTCACTACAATCTCCCAAAGAAAATAAGTCTAAAAGCAACTCCACATTTGCCATTGTCGTCCTTCCTTACATTCAAAACATAAAAATATCAAACCAGATTCACCACTTTTCCCTGCCTTGACATGGGCAAGATTGGGAGTTTTCGGAACGGCCCTGATCGATCCGGACTCAGTGCACGGTATTGGGCTAAAGGAGTTGCTTACCTTCTACAGGAGGGGCGGCATTCTGGACGCCCTCTAGAGAGGCCTGGGGGCACAACGGGCCCATCTGGTGGCCTAAGTGCTTGGACGCCCGCGAGGGCCAATACCAATACCAAGGTCTTTTAATCTTCAAAATAGATACCCTTTTCTTTTATTTATTTGGCAAAACTTGCATTTTTAAATGAAAAAAAAAACGCTGCTGCCATACTTCGCGCACCATCAGTTTTCTCATTTTTTTTCAAATGCCGGTCTATTATGTTATGTCTAGAGAGAACACTGAACTAAGAATTCAACGATATGTAATAGGAGGGGTCAACAAATCACCATTTCTGAATTACTGCTCATCATCGTTAGTACGAAGCCTATTTGCCAAATAATTTTCAAAGCATATTTTCGAGAAACCCTTTTAGATAGGTTTAATTAAGAATTTTGATTATTTTTGGTTAGTTAAAATGGAACTTACTAGCAGTACAAATATCAAACAAGGTCTTTAAGAGTACTTCATACAAGAAATAAAGTGGATTTAGGTCTGGACTCCTTGGGGGCCAGGCATAATCATCGTGGTCACCAATCCATTCCCTATCCCACTTACTTAATTAGTTTTTATGACAGGACTATAGTGGTAAGTAACAATACTCCGTATCTGACGACTGTTTTTCTTTTTGTTATGCCGACTTCCTTCCCTTCTAAACCGGCGGTAGATTTTGTAATTTTTTTTTATTTTTGTTTCCATAGCAAATATTATGAACGAAGAAAAAATAATAAAAAAAAATTAATAGTGTAAATACTGGATGAAGGAAAAGTCAATATTATTTACTAGTGTAAGAATAATTATTGCTGTCAATGTCTACTAGCGCAGAATTCATGACCATTGGAGAAATGACGCTGCATGTTTTAAATGTTCTTCAATTCTTCGGGATATTACACATCGTTGAATTCACCTTTCAGTGGTCTATCTAGACATATCATAATATGATAACACTAAGATTTTTTTTCATTTAAGAATGTTAAAAACTTTTGCAAAATAAATCAACGGCAAGAGAATCTCTTTTTGTAAGCAATTTGAAACAAGATTGACATACCTTAGATAAATCGCCTTAAATATCGGGCTAATAATGAAGATGGACGTCAATCATTGCGAAACGTTGCATTTAAACCCAATACATATACATATATACATATACATATATACATATACATATAAACTTCCGTGCATAGAAATCGGACCACTGCAAATTTTTGACTAACATGCTATTTGGAAGACAATTTAATATGCTGTATAAGTCTAAATTTTTCAAGAGTGCTGATCTTTTATATATCTTTTAGAAGGAAATGAAACGTGTTCATGCAGTAGTTATAGTGACATGCAGTAACAAACTTGTTATAGACTTAAATTGCAACTGGAATTTTCACATTGTTCGTTTTTAACCATTTGGATAGCGTTTAATTGTATTACCTTGATACATACTACACAGCAGAAAGCCGCTCAAGTTGCCCCTTCAAACCCGAAAGTGGACTTCGCCAGCGAGCTGTTGCTGTCAGTGGACAGTGAGACGAAGACTGAAGGAAAATAACCTAACCCCAAAAACAACTGCAATTGGTCCAAAACTTACCCCATCTGAATTGGATATTGGACCAGAATATGGCTTTTTGGTAGTGCATTGGAGAAGAATTCATTTTTAAGCATGACAATGCTAGGCCGCACACGGCAAGGATCGCGCAAGAGTACATTACAGAAGTCTGTTTTCAAGTTATGGAGTTGCCAGCAACCAATCTCGATCTCAGTCCGATCGAACATTTATGGGATGAGCTGAAACGGAGAATTCGAGCTAGACTTCGTACCCCAACCTCGATCCCAGAGCTTATTGTTGCAGTAGAAGAAGAGTGGCTTAACATTCCACAAGAAACAAATAATCAAGTAGGATATTATTAGGAAAGAGGGGGTCATACAGATGAATAAAAAATAAGTGTTGAGTTGATAATTGTTAATAACCCTTTTTTTTAGTAATAAAATTTGACTACGCTTAATCTAAAAAGCAGAAATAAATTTTGATCAATTTAGACTCGTATTAAGCAGCATATTTTGAATGGAATTGAAGTCAAAAGTTCACAATGGGCCGATTTATATGCATACAAGTTTATAATAAATGAAAAGTCCAAATTAATCCAAGCAACTTTTTGTTCAGTCTCTTCTAGTTCCTGAGATAATGGTACGTTTTCCTGTTGCATGGGTTACTTACGAATGGGTTTCGGTCGTTTTCTTCTTTCGGATTTCGCCGAAACCATCACCAGGACGGCGAGTACGAATACCAAAACGACCTTAGCGGACATCGCGCCAAACTATTTAAAAAAATGACGCGATCGAAAACCCGGTAGCGAACTGAAGACGCGTCTGGGCTCTTTCAAATTTTTATATCCGCGACTTATTGCGATTAAAATTCGCCGAAAAGCGAGAGAGAGACGCCGAGATGGTATCCCATTAATTTGCTCGGGAATATTCATGTCCGAACGATTTTGAATTAATTCGTCGAATTTCGATTGGCGCGTCGTCATCGTTCGCAAACCGATTCGCTGAACGCGCGTAAATAGGAAATCGCCTTTTAGCGAAGATGTCGATGACACGTGTCGACGTGTCGTCCACCAAGGCTCCTCAAATTACCTCAACGCGATGCTGTTAGTCGCCGGGTCGTTTTTGCATGTAATGTGCCGTGTAGGATTAGGAAAAAGACTCGCCGATAACGTTGGGACAATATACGGGGTGTCACCGTTAAAACTCGAACAACAAACTTCTAGTAAATGTGATTTTTTTCGTTTTTCGTAACAGAATGAAAGGAAAAAAATACAGCACCGGAGAAGAAAGCGAAAAACGAGAAAAGAGGAAAGTAAAAAACGCCAAAGCATGTAGATCGAAATTAAAGTAATAGCATTGGTTTGTCCACATGGTTCTATTAAAAGACAGTATATTAAGGGAATTCGAAATATCTCCGAGGACATTACCTTTTTCTTTTTTCTTTTTCTTCTCTAGTTTCACGATGTCATTATCGTGTGCCATCTTATTATTATTTTCTGACGATAAACACAGGACAAAGAAATACGATTTATTGGCATTATCATAATTAAAAATGATTAGTGTTATTTGAAAGACGAGGAAATTGAAAAGTGTGACAAATGCACATCTCCAACTCTTCCTATTCTCATCAATTTGCTTTATTTCTGTAGACTTTTTCCATTCTCAAATCTACTTAAGGTTGATGATCATTCTGGCTAACTGTATTTTAGGAGACTCTAGATTATAAAATAAGCATGACAAAATATTATTGTTTAAAATAACACTTTCAACGCCCTCTATTATAAATTGTAAGGAAAATCCGTTTTTTTCCCTACTAATACTATCCTTAGAGCAGAAAGTCCTATTTTTTAGTTTCAGGCACATGCCATATTAATGTAACAGGTTTTCTTATAAAATATAATATTTTCATTGGAACTAAATTTAAACATTATTTTAAATGCTTAAAATAAAAATCTAAACATGCTATATCATAAATTCTAAGAAAAATTCTTTTTTTTCTGTTCACGCTATCCCAAGAATAGAAAGTCCTATTTTCGAGTTTCAGATACATGCTTATAAAATATAATATTTTCATTGGAATTAAATTTGTCCCGATTTTGAATTAATAATCTAAATCATATAATTATGTTCATGGTTTAGGGAAAGATTCTCACATTAAATAATGAAAAAAAAACAGACTTTTTAAATCATTTAACCTAAAATAAAACGAACATATTTTGTTTTCAATCAAAGCTAATTGCTTTTACTTAGTTTTTGGCAATAAAATCAAAGAAAATTATTCAAAATGAAGGAGCACGCATTCACTAATGGCGACTTTATACCTTTGTTCTATTGGCTGGTAAAAACCACATGACAGAAGTCCCTCTTTTCTTCTCAAAATGTTAAGAAATCTTTTACAAGTAACAACCGGCCGCCCTTAACACATAAACGTTCAGGTTTGGTTAATGCAGTCATCTTATTATTATAAAAGAAAAAAAACGTCCTTTTTTAATAATAATAGTAATAATTTGTTTTAAAGTATATTAAACGGCATTTGACTCAAGAGTTTATTTCACACGAGCGGAGCGAGTGAGTTAAAAAGTTAAAAAGTTTACCGAACGTGTTGCATACTATACGTTTTCTACGACCGTTAGTTTTTCGGTACATTTTCGCAAAACAACACGAATACTACCTACTATCAGAATCGACAAACGTCAAAATTCAAAGCATGGGAAATATCTGACGCTGTAAAGTGACGCTTCCCGCACGCTAGATGTTATATTTTGATTTGTTAAATTGTAGAAAGATTTGTTTTGTTACAAGGTGATTTTCTGCGCATTTAGTTAGTTTTCTGAGTGTAGTTTCTCTATAGCTTTTAAAACGAACGATACACTGAAGCAATTTCTATTCTATTACTATTCTAGATCTGGAGTTTATATCAGACAGTCTTCCAAAAAGATTTTCATCAGGGTTCACGAATATAGAAAAAAAAAACAATACAACTGATGTGACAGGGATCAAATTAGCTTTCGGCGCTCATCCACGAGCCGTAATTTTTCTCTTAATATAAACGTAGCCATTAGAAATCACCAATGCCAAAATCAGTTCTACATTTGATGACATTTTCTAGACCTTGACTTTTGGGATCCTTCATAAAATCCTCAATTTTATTGACCTCGTCCAAAAATATTCTACATTCTAAGAAAAAAAAAAGATCGAAAAGCTCTCGCCATCTCACAAGGGACGTATTTTATTTCGACATTTGGAAACTGCGTCGTTTAACCGGAAAAAAAAAACACCGCATGTGCGTAATATGATCGGAGCTGGTCGATTTTTCGGAAAAGATAACGACAAAAGTGAATTATTAGTGGTAAGCAATGACGCGCCACGTGCACAGATACGTCTTGGGCAATTTCGAGGTTCCGATTGCTATTAGAAAATTAAACCAGTCACATCTGATTACGGTCCTGTGCCAGTCTTATTAATATTCAGTGTTGACTGCTAATCGTCGCAATAATGATACAATCAATTTGAAAGCTAAGCTCAAGAGGGCTGAACTAAAGATTTAATTTCTTAATTTATTCCTTTTAAAGTACACAGAGTGTTTCAAAAACATGCGCAAAAAAAAGAAAAAAGATGCATAGGTCCGGAAATGCTTAGTTTCCAAAATACAAGTCCGAAACTCCTTACTTCAACTAATGGTGTAACTAAGTATATTGTGGTATGAAATGGTCCAAAGTAAATAACAAAAATTGCAAAAGGTCAGTGGCGTACATATCCTTCACAATACAATTGATTAGGATGCTTCCTAGGATGGCACTGGATTTGATAAATTAACCTTTCGTCATTACAACAGTACAACCAAATAGGCCAAAAAATGTTTAAGATACTTTAAAAAATCCTTTTTTTTTAACATTATGTAAATGACAAAGCAGTAACAAATTAAAAATAAAAACCTAATGTAAGAACAAATTTTAGGAACTGTTTTTATTTCCTACTTTCAGTTGCCTCCAAAGTATTCACAACACGAGCAAAAACATTTTTTTTACTGCCGTTAGTTTTTTTTAATCCCAAACACACGGCCATTTTGGTTCTTAATTTTCCGTTTACTAACTTGTTATTTTCTTTTGAATCAGGCGTCTACTACAGCACATGTTTATTTTTATAGTTTATCCTATAGAGGATAAGAAAATATTTTTGAGTCAAAAAGGACCAGCGTTAAATCAGATTTCGGGTGTATTCTTAAAAACTTTATTTTTTAAGATCCTGACGATATTGTATGGGTGCCACTTAACAGGTTAGCAAGGTATTATTTTTGTAAAGACGAAAATGTATTCTATCAACCACAATGGCTGGTTAGGAACTTAGCTTCAGCAAACATTTCTAATCAGTCCGGGCTGCCCTAAATTCATTTAGTTAGCAACATAAATATATTGGGTTGTTCGGAAAGTCATTTCGTTTTTTTTTGGGGAACATGAAAGACAGTTTTCGTATAATGAATAAATATTTTATTAAATTATATATTGGCCATTCTGGTCCAACACCTTTTGCCATCTTTCTGGCAGTAACATAATTCCCCTCTCATAAAAGTTTTGGTCCTTGCTGGCAAAAAACTGGTTCAGGTGGTTTTTGACATCTTCATTTGAGGTAAAGGTTTTGCCATCCAAAAAATTCTGCAGGGACCGGAACAAATAGTAGTCGGAAGGCGCCAGATCTGGAGAATATGGTGGATGTTGCAGTACGTCCCATTCAAGCTGTAAAAGTTTTTGGCGAGTGACCAAACTTGTGTGAGGTCTCGCATTATCCTGGTGGAACACTACACCCTTCCTGTTGATTAATTCGGGCCTCTTCTCTTTAAGTGAATCATTCAATTTGTCCAGTTGATGACAATAGACTTCTGAATTAATCGTTGTATTGTCCGGCAAAAGCTCAAAAAAAAACGATTCCTTTGACATCCCACCAAACGGAGAGCATCACCTTTTTTTGGTGAATGTTGGCTTTTGACACGCTTTGAGCCGGTTCATCTTTTCTGCTCCATGACCTCTTGCGTTTAACATTGTTGTATACAACCCATTTTTCGTCCCCAGTAATAATCCGCTTCAAAAATGGATCATTTTCTTGACGTTTGAGGAGCGAATCACACACGTCAACGCGACGACACAAATTTCGCTCCGTAAGGACATGGGGCACCCACACATCGAGCTTCGAGGTTAAGCTCATGCCTTTCAAATGGCCATAAACAGTCGAATTCGACAAATTTAATCTCTCACCGATCTCTCGTGTGGTTATTCGCCGATTTGCATCAACTAATGCCTTTATCGCATCTTTGTCAGCTTCGACCGGCCTTCCAGACCGTGGTGCATCTTCGACATCAAAATTGCCGGATCGAAATTTTGCAAACCAGTTCTGGCACTGGCGTACTGTTAACACGCCTTCTCCATACACATCCGTCAATTTTTTTCTCGCTTGGACAGCATTTTTACCTTTTCTGAAGTAAAAAAGTAAAATATGACGAAAATGCTGCTTATTGCTCTCCATATTTAAAAGGGCACCAACCAAAAACTACTGCGTAGAATTAATAGAACTTTTTCACACACAAGCCTTGCAATATCAGCTCTCAAGACATATAATGATTATGCGACTTAAGTGTGAAGTTGGTTTCGAAAAAACGTAATTAAGTCCTCTGACGGGAAAAAACGAAATGACTTTCCGAACAACCTTATATAAGCTGCACTGAGCGAGCCACATTTTATTCAATTTTAATAAGCAATTATAGGTTAAACTAACGAAAACTGTTTATGGACATGTATTCACTACTGACGAATTGTCAAATCTTCTTGACCAAATATT